TCGGTGCTGTATATTTTTTGTAAATCTTTTAAGTGAAGTGGTTTTGATGCCGGGAGTATAAATCATCTAACGTGAATTGAGGCACAAGGTTATGGTCATCGAAAGGGAATTGAGATGTCATGAAGGCAGCAATCTGTTCTTTAAATACTAGAGTCCGCTCGTTTTGAAGAGTGATGAGGGAGTGACTACTAAGATGCTAATTGAATAAAACTCTTAACTTTATAAATCACAGTGATGGAGAACATTCGTTTAGCTGACTGAAAATATTTACAGTTTCATGTAAGGATTGGATGATCCTGTATGTGCTGTATATCACCCACATTTAAGGTTCTCTTACCACACAGTATTCTGGTTTGAAATTTTTGGAGCATGCTCTTTGTAACTTCTCTACCTGTTGAATGTGAGTAATGGGTGTTGGGTGTGGTATGGGGCGTGGGAGGAGCAGACATTTGATTTGTACCCTTCTCAACCAAATTGCCACTGACAGAAGTACAAGGGAGGTGGTTATCAAATACCTTGCACGGAAGGGGTTGTTTATGTGTGTATTTGGGAGGATGGGTTGTCTGGAACTTCTGTCTTTCAAGCCTCATATCTAGGCTTTCAGTCACTCAGCTTTCTCTCATTTCTGTAAGATTGTCTGCCTCCGCCACTATCTCTTCCCCAGCCTGCCTCATTCACTTTCATCATGTCCAGGCTTGATTATTCCAATGGCCTGCTCGTCGGACTCCCTAGCCTCTTCCCTAAATAAGCTGCACACTATTCAGAAATCTGCAGCTCATGTTTTGTGCACAGGCTCTGCAAGCCTATTGCTTCCATCCTTGCTTGGCAACACTGTCTCTCTATCCCCCTTGTGGGTCAAATTTGGGATCATTCCCACTTTCAAATCCCTCTATGGCTTTTCCCCATCCTACCTTTGTAACTTCCTACAAACCTACCAACCACTCCCTTTGCTAAGCGAACACTGGCCTTCTTTATATTCCCTGGCTATCTTTGGCAAGCAAGCTTCTAATCATTCTTCCCTTGCTATCTAGAACTCCATCCCAGAGTTCCTCAGACCTGTCTCCCTGTCTTCCCACTCTTAAAGGCCGACTCGAGATTTATCTCTTTGACTATGCTTTGGTCATCTTTCCCTCACCACCTCTTTAGTTCCCATCCCCTGCTCTGGTGCCAAGCTAGCAGCATAAAGTGCTTTGAGCGCAAACAGTAGTTTGGTTTAAAATCTCATTGGAAGGGATGGCATCTCTGACAATGCACTGCTCCCCTAGCCTAACTCACGTTCTGATGTGGGGTTTGAATTAACAACCTTCTGACCCAAAAGTGAGTGGTACAAACAAGCCAAGCTGATAACCTATCATGCAACTTAACAGGCTTTAAAGGTTTTAAATTGTTTACTGAAGTTGTAAGAATTGCAATCTTATCCCTGAGAGCAGTAAATACAAGCTTTAAACATTTGCAACAGGCTTGTTATTTTGCAGGTAGTAAAGTGGCTCATTGTTCATTCCAGGATGGGAGGTAGTGAGGTGGGCTTACCTGTAATATGAAAGGGGCTATACAAATTTTGTTTTTGTTTGTTTGTAATGAAGGCCTGAACGAGTGAATTGTTGGTGGTGAACGTAATTATACTTTGTGAATGAGACTCTCTTCTGTTTGTTTCTGTCTCACACTGTCCTGTCTCACCGTGGGTTTGCTTTTCTCTGTGTGCATCACTCTGTCCCTCTCTTGTCAGTCTTTCTCTGAGTGTTGCACATTGTTTCACCTTCTCCTCCTCCTCTCGCTCACTTGCACAAACCTGTTCTGTCTCAATCCCAATGTTTGGTGTGGTTGATGTAGCACTTTAACTACTGTTGTCTACTTGTGTCTCAGTTTTGTTATTGTGGCATATTGTCCATCATTCCTTTGAATGACAATACTTTTGCAAGGCTTGATATTTGTTGACGTTTTTGAGTAATTATTCTTCTGATTCTTATACGAAGAACCATTTTCCCAGTGTTTTCCGTATATAAAGTGTGGGAACACACTAAATAAAATTGGTCATTCACTTCATAGCTGTTGTTGGACATTGCTGTGCACAAATTGACTTCCATAGGTGCCTAAAATACTTGTTACCATGTACAGTCCTATCTGTTTATGTCGTAATTGAGAGGACCAAGCAGATTTTGTCAACGAATAACGCATGCACATTCATTGTGGTTAAGGCATTTATTGACTAGACTGAAATAGAAAATTGATTTGTAAAATGCTGGAAAATGCATTAGAAGCATTGATTTACATGTAGTTCATATAAAATACTTTAAAAGCAATTCTTTACATGTATTTCATATAAATACTGTAATTATAAGCTATTATTTACATGTATTTCATACAAAATACTGTAATTAGAATTGCTGTATTATTTAAAAGTACACTGTCGCATATCGAAAATTGTTCTTTTCAGATTAGGACTTACTTATCCAAATCCTTAACTGCTTCATCCATTTCTTTCAGTAGTTCTGATTGTGTAATAAATGTATGCAATCCTTCACATATGCTAAATGCTTCTTTGCATGTCACGCGTCAAATACTCTTCGTCGTTGTTTTCAGGTAAACAGAGGCTTGTGGAGAAAGGAAACTTATCTAAGGTCTCACCCAGCCTGGGAATCCAACGAGGGTCCTCTTGCTTGCGAGGCGAGTGCTCTAACTGCTATGCTACAGGACTCCACGATAACTGCTTTTATCGCAGTTTCCAGCAATGAGTTTCACACGCTCACCAACTTTTTTGCAGAGAAGTTCCTCCTAAACTCACTATTAGATATATTACTACGGTCCAGTTAATAATAATTTAATAATAATAAAAATAATAATAATTGATTGATTTGAAATTATTTATATAGTAGCTTATCACATCGTCAAGACATCTCATAGCACTTCACAGAATATACTGTAAAGTGAATTGACTGTAAATTTGTAGGAGAAAGCACAAAGTATATAATAATAATCTGTTATTAAGGTCCAGCTAATGCAAAACTCCGCCACCTGTTTCCTCACCTGTACCAAACTGTAACTGTAACAATAACCCCGATCCTCACCAGGCTCCATTGGCTCTATGTCTCCGAATGGATCAACTTCAAGATCCTTGTCCTCATATACAAAAAAAACCCTTTCCCCAAGCACATCCCCGTTTCTTTGACCTGCTCGGACCCCACTCCTCTGCCGCCCCCCCTTTGCTCAGCGAATACAACTCATCTGTACATCCTGACTCTTCTGCGCCACCTTGGTGGCTGAACCATCAGCTGCTACATCCCTAAGCTCTGGATCTCCCTGCTTCAATTCCTTGTTTCCCTATTTTTATTTTTAAATCCCACCTGAAAACCTGCCTCTGAGCATGCCGAGTCAAGCCCTTTTGCTCGTATCCAACTGTATGGAACTCCGACATATTATCCTATTTGCTGGGTCCTACATAAATACAAGTTGTTGTAACTGCCTGTCTTTTATAGTACAGAATAAGGCCACTGGTAGCCGTGTACAGTTCTGTTTTGTTTGGGGACAATCTAGCAATATGGCAATAGGGAGGGATGGGGAGAATTCGTGTGTGAAAAGCATAAGGATTGAAGTGGATAAACTTCAAGTATGAAACACTAAAACTCAGTAGCTTCTTACACAGTCAATGTTTTTTTCCAGAGTTATAGACAAAAAATAAATAAGAGGAGATTTGCAGAGAATTTTTAGAATAAATAGTTATTTAGTTGGGAAAATACTTAAAAATCTAAAGTACTCTCTCAGCATTCTTCATCCATTGAAAAATAAAGGAAAGGAGAAAGAAATCCAGCTTGTGAGAAATGCAAGTGGATAGCAACCATTGTGGAGGGCAGCAATCCTCAATGATGAAAGTTCCTTCTCTGAATTGAGAGAGAGAAAAAAATAATAATTCTTGCATTTGATATAGCGCCTTATCGCATCTTCTAGGCATCTCAAAGCGCACCACAGAATATACTGTAAAGTGAATTTATTTTTTTAAGGGATTATTATCCCTGGAAAAGCAATCGCCAATCGACTAACAACCATGTGTGAGGTAAGGAAACTTGCACAATGTTTCGCCCTGCCAGGGAATTGAATTCAGGTTCTCTTGCTTATGAAGCGAGTGCTCTAACCGCTAAGCTACAGGAGTAAAAAGTATGTATTCAACTGTGTGAGACAGCAGAAGAACATAAGGATGGAAGAGATCTTCATGGAATTGCAACTTCAGCTTCAATTGAACTTGGAGGTTATCCGGGATCTAGATTTTTGGCTGCAATCAGAATTGGAAGGAGCCTGTGAACTTGATTTTGTGTCTTTAAATTATTGGATGTGAAACATTCTTTCTGTTTATAGTAGTTTTTTATAATGCTTCTCTTGTATAATGTTACTGCCATTTGTAAAGTTACACTGGCTGCTGCCTTAATATGTTTCAGAATGTTTTATCAGAATTAAATTAGAATAGATGTAGAGTTTGAGATCCAAATAAATTATTGTGAGGGATGCACAGAATGTGATAGGTATATTTCTTAGGGATCGACAAATAGGGCAATTTGCAACAGGGAAGAGAGTTTTGTCATACATACTTCAGTGGTCTCCCGTTTCTCCTCTCCTGAACGATTGCTTAACAATTTGAAATAAAGTATACATTAAAAAAACATATTTCTTGGAGATTTTGAGACTATCCAGAGTTAACACTCTCAAAAGAAGATTAAATTAAAAACGATTAGAACTATAGAATTTTATGGTAAGGAGTTGAACTGGCTTCAAGGTGACATGTTTGACAACAGAATGTTGGAAAGGAGTCAACCTTCTGTGGCAGTCTTATCAGTTTGGCAAGTGAGCATAAAGTGCTACCAATTAATCTAGGAAGACACTTAGTTAATGGGTCAATTTTATTAGATCTGAGTTGTAGAGAAATTATGTTTTCCTGAGGGTATCCCTCCCTATATTCCTTCATCAACTAGTGAAGTAGAACTAATGTAGACTCTTGTGCTGCTATCTTGCAGGTCTGCGAATCAAACAGGAGTCAATAACCAGCTACCCTCAGGTAGTGGTTGTCAGAGTTCCCACCCCCTGGGTGCAGAATGACAGTGATATCACAGTACTACGGCACTTGGAGAAGATGGGCTGCCGCCTGGCCAATCGTCCTCAGGCAATATTAAACTGCGTCAACAAGTTCTGGACGTTCCAGGAGTTAGCTGGTCATGGAATACCATTACCAGATACCTTCTCTTACGGTAAATACAGCTAACCCTCTGAGTTAGCCTTTGAGTCATTTGTAATGAATGGCATTTTTATTATTGTTTAGAACCATATACTGTGTTTGTTAATTTGGCATTTGCCTTTGCTTCTGTGACAGGTGGGCATGAAGAATTTTCAAAAATGATTGATGAAGCAGAACCTCTGGGTTATCCAGTGGTGGTTAAAAACACTCGTGGCCATCGAGGTATAATTCCCTTTTCATTTTGCAGTTTACAATTGAGATGGAATAAAACCACTTCCTTTGATTATTTCCCTTGATGGGAGGGAGATAAGTGGGCTCTCTGGATCAAAACTGGCTCTAAGGTAATATGTTTAGCAACGGAATGTCAGAATTGAGCCAGCTCTCTGTGACTATCTCAGTTGTCCAGTTCCTGAGTACTCAAGGGCACTGCTGATGGCAGCACAGCGAGCACGGCTCATCGGCAGGACTTGGGATGGGCAGACCTGGGGGCAGGAACTCTTCCCACTTAGTTCCCGATAACCCTGCAAGACATAGCCCTAACAGCTATCCTGATGGCCAAACGAGCTGCTCCTGTGTGTAACATAATATTCTGTGATTCTTTAGGGAAAGCTGTGTTCCTGGCACGTGACAAGCACCACTTGTCTGATTTATCGCACCTGATCCGACATGAGGCACCATATCTATTCCAGAAGTACGTGAAGGAGTCTCATGGGAAGGACATCCGTGTGGTTGTAGTGGGAGGCCGCGTGATTGGCGCAATGCTGAGATGCTCCACTGACGGCCGGATGCAAAGCAATTGCTCTCTGGGTGAGATGTTTCATATTGTTACCAGGGGTAGTTAATACAATACTACAATACAAATTTACATTTATAATGAGCTTTCCATGTTAAGTGTATGTCCCAAGTGCTTAACAGACCCACCCAATCTGGGGTGGGGGGACTTCGGGGACAGGGGGCAGGGGAGAGTGGGGATAGATGGCTGTAGGTCGGGCAAGTAGGACGGAGGACGTGAAGCAGGCTAGTGCTCACTGAACGAAGGAGTGCCTGGGTCAGTAAGGGTAGGCAAGGTCACAGAGGTCGGTTGGGGCAAGACTGCGGAGGGTTTTAAAAGTGAGGAGGAGAATCTTGAACTTGATCCATTGGAGGATGGAGAGCCAGTGGAGCTGGACGAGGATGAGGGTGATAGGCTTGTGGAGCCTAGTGAGGGAGAGGGCATGGGCTGCAGAGTTCTGGAGAGTCTGCAACTTGTGCATGGAAGAGTTGGATAGTCCGGTGAGCAGAGCTAGCGTAGTCAAGTCTGGACATGACAAATGCATGGATTAGGGTCTCGGCTGCCTGAGAGAGAGTTAATGGAGGCAGGCAATATTTCAGAGGTGGTAGAAAGCTGAGCAGGACAAGGATATTTTTAAAGTATAGTTTGGAGTTGAACAAGACAGAGGTTCCATCGCTCTGTCCATGCTGATAACGACTTAATCCATTAACTTGCTCCCTTTCCTTCCTCCCTGTTTCTCCCACTCACTCCTTTTCCCCCTCTTTGGGGTCCCCAAGCCTTGGCTCTTGTCAACCTGCGCCTAATACTTTCCGGAATTAGGTAAGCATGATGTGTCCCTCCAGAGAGAGAGTGCGCATTCCATTCCAACAATCTGTCTCTGGAATTACCATGTGTAGATGGGATGCATAGAATTCTCAGTTTGGTTTGGATACTCTTAAGGGTGATGGTTGTTTTTTTATTTCTAGTATGCTCAAGATTACTGGAGTAATCATAAAACTATAATTGGGATCTCGTGACATTTTAGAAAGAATTCCTGTGAGGCTAAAATTGTAACCATAACAACAGGGCTCCCTCTTGTGGATAATTGGTACTTATACAACAAGTTTGATTTTTATAGCGCCCTTCACGTGGGATAATGTCTCAAAGCACTAGTTTCAGGTCACTGATTACAAAGGGATTTAGGAACAGGAGAAGGCTGTTTGCTATTTTCTGTCATCTCATCATATCCATTAAGGCTTTTACGTCCTGAGTATCTATTCATAAATAAGTAAACCTTGCATTTGGTATAATGCCTTACATGTTGGGAGGACATCACAAACACTTCATAGGATTTTTTTTACTTCAAAATGGTGTGACTGTATTTGTAGCCAAATATGGCAGCCCAATTGCGCACAGCAATGTCCCACAAAACAGTGACCGATTTTATTTGGGAGATTTTTGGCCAGAACACGCAAAAGAAACTTCCTTCTCTTATTGAATTGTGCCATGGGATTGTTAACATTCACCTGAACAGGTAGACGGAATCTTGATTTAACATTTCAACCAAAGAATGGCAGCCATGACAATGCAACACTGCATTGGAATGTCAGCTTAGACTATATGAAGTCCTGAAGTGGGGCTTGAACCCACGACCTTGTGACTCAGAAGCGAGAGTGCTACACTGAGCCACATGTCACACTTTGAGTAGATAACTGTGTGACTGCCTGGCTTAAGAACTTACAGTCTGGGCTAAAATCCAGTGCAGTACCTGGGGTGCACTGCATCATTACAGATGCTATCCTATGGATGAGACGTTAAACCAAGGTCCTGTCTGCCTAGTCAAGTGGACATTAAAGATCTTATGGCTGTATTCACAAACTCCACACTCTAGAGTAAATCATGTGGAGGGATTTGAGATGTTCTCCTGATATGAAAGAAGATGTATCAAGTGTAAGGATTACTATAATATTTCTTTCATTATTCCCTCTCAAGGTGCAAACTATAAAATGCTGTTCTTCCTCAATTTAATCCTGTGACATTTCCAGTGTGGTTAAAGTTGGGGTTCTTGTGTTGATCGAGGAGCAGGACAATGGAAATTAATATAACTACTTAAGACAACACAGGGTAGAAATTGCTTGAATTAATTTTGTGACAAACCACAAGAACAATTAATTGTTTGGGATCTGTCATTCAGGGACATTTCACGGCAAATAAATTAAGATTAGTGTGCTGACATTTAGTTTTCCATTAAGGGCTCAGATTTCAGCTACTAATACAACAACAACAACAAGATTCCATTTATAAAGCGCCTTTCACATCAGGAGGACGTCCCAAGGCGCTGCACAGTTGGGTCATGACTTTCATAATCTTTCTTAAGTGCTACAAGCTTTAAGGGTTTTAAATTTAAAGTGTATTATGTCCTCCTTTCAGGATGGATTGCTAATCTACAAAACTTTTAATTTTACTTCCAAAACTCTGAAACAATTGTGCTTTTTTCACACTTGTGTTTTGACAGGAGGTGTTGGTGTGATGTGTCAACTGAGTGAACAGGGCAAGCAACTGGCAATCCAAGTCTCCAATATCCTGGGCATGGATGTATGCGGCATTGATCTCCTTAGAAACGACGATGGTTCTTTCGTGGTGTGTGAGGCCAATGCCAATGTGGGCTTCATAGCCTTCGACAAAGCCTGCAACCTTGATGTGGGTGGCATCATCGCAGACTATGCTCTTTCGCTGCTGCCCAGCAGACTGACCAGGAAAATGTCCCTCCTCTCTGTCGTGTCGAGCGCTAGTGAAACTAGCGAGCCCGAAGTGGGCGCCCCAGTTAGTGCAGTCCCCGAGAGTGTGTTCACCATGAGTGTAGGATCCAGTTCTAGTGAGAGTGACCCCGAGATAGTGGAGGTCAGGGATTCTGCCACTCCTGTCTCCATGTCCATGCATACCACACTGCCCGAACCAGGGTACAACATGAACAATCTCATAACGCCTGAATGAGTGAGGCTGAGCGGGAGCAAGCACACTAACAGGTATAGAAGACAGCTGCTTCCTCAGTTGAACTGTGGATAAAAGGGTGAAAATACAGGTGAAAGGGGAAAATAAGAGAATAAATGACATGATCCCTGGGCACCCCGAGTGACCCTTCAACTGTGTAACTTCCTCTTGAACCTTGAGTTCATGACTATAAGCTCAGTGTCACTATGGAGTTTTCTTTTTTTAATGCAGATGCTGTTCCAAACTATTTGGTTTGAGAATATAAAAGTTACGTATAAATTTAATTGCAACACCCATCATGAATAGTACGGAAAAGAATTGCAGATAAAAGATAGACACAGCCTCCTGCTACACACATCTCAGCTGTGATTTGAGTTAACCATTCATCACTCAGTGGGTTGATATCTAAATTCAAGCGTCGATCACCACGAGTACTAATTTGTAGAAAAACATGTTATTACCAGAATGATAATGATAATTTCTGTGTTACCTATTTTGTAATTGGCTCAGTTTATATCAGTCTCGCAACTTGCTCTGATTAGCAGTGAGAGGTGCTGAAGAATCTTTGAATCCACAACTTTCTGACTCAAGAGGCAAGAGTGTTACCAGCCCAGCCAGGTGGTCACTCAAACTGAATTTAAGACATTTCTAAAGTTCTGCCTGATCTTAAAGTTTAACCAAATGGTTTAAAGGCTAAGGCCATGAGGAAATCTGGGTAACTTTTCCAGTACCTAAGGAATGCTGTAATTATGCCGCATTTTTGTGTAATGGATGGTTTCAGTGTTTGCTCTTGAGGGAGTGGCACAGACACGATCAGCCGAATGGCCTTCTGTGCCTTTCTATAAAAGGTACGTTTCTACGATTCCACAGAATGCACTTTTAGTTATTTACTCCAGTTCAAGATCCTGGTCCTCACATACAAAGCCCTCCAAGGCCTCGCTCCACCCTACCTCTGTGACCTCCTAACCCCTTACCAACCCTCCGCTCAGCCGACTCCGGCCTGCTCCATGTCCCCCGACCCAGCCCCCCACCATTGGCGGGAGAACCTTCAGCCACTCTAACCACAACCTCTGGAATTCCATCCCCCAGTCACTCCGCCTCGCCCCCTTCTTAGCCTCCTTCAAGTCCCGCCTCAAGACCCTCCTCTTTGACCATGCCATCGGCCACCCCCCTTCCCCTCCCCTCCTTTACCCCTCCCAACACCAGCTCTGGTCTGAAATGCTGTACTCTGTCCAGCGCCTTAGGACATCCTCCCGACGTGAAAGGCGCTATACGCATGTAATCTTGTTGTTATTGTTTACTAAAATTCGTTAAGCAAATGTTTGCAAAACAAAGTGTGTGTTGCAGATCATTGGGGCGGAGGCAGAATAAATAAATAACTTGTATTTTTCTATAGCTCTCTATTTCAAAACAATTCCATTTTCACTAAAAAAATGAAGAAAAATGGAGAAAGAACTTGAACGTAAGATTAATAATAAAGGTGATAACAGTGCTGCAGACACGAGGTGATTGACATTCTGTAATTGCCAATATAAATGCACTCATCCTCTGATTAATAATAAATAATCCTCACATTTGATATAGTGTCTCACTTCAAAGTGCTTCACTGGATACACTAAAGTGGAGTGACGATTTTGTAAGGAAACAGTTATGAGTAAATTCAGATTATGAGCCATTCTGAAGTTTCTAGCACCTCTCGTAGCTCTTTTGCGTTTGTTCAATGTCTTTTCTTGGGATGTAACATTTTTTAATGCACTTTCAGTCATCTTTCCCTCTGCCTCCCCCTAGGCTTCAACCTCCAGCTCAGATGCCCACCCAGCAGTGTCAAGCACTTTGAAATGTCCTCCCGACATGTGAGACTCTTATGTAAATCTAAAGTATATTGTGTATTCAAAAAAAGAAGGAAGTTTTTCACAGTATCCTGGCCAACATTCCTCCAGATACATTGTTTTTTCATGACATGGCTGTTTATGGGACCTTGCTGTGCTGTCTTGTTGACTACATTAAATAATAATTCTTGCATTTGATATAGCGCCTTATCAAATCTTCAAGACTTTTCAAAGCACACTATGATTGCCTATGAAGTTCTTTTGATAAGTTTCAAGCACAAAATGCTAGAAAATACAAGTTCTTACCAATTATTTAGGATTTATTGAACTTTTTTCCAAAAAAGAAAGTATACTTACAGTGACACTGAAATAAAATGGTAAGGAGGGAGCAAGAATTTTTTAAAACCTTGAGGTTTTTACGCTTTTATCCACACTATCTCAATTCAAAATTTTGCTCAGAGGGGTGTGAACAAAATATCAAATGCACATTTCTATCTTTGCCTCATCCTAATCATTGATTTTTTTCTCTCTCTGTTTTACTCACTGGCCATTTTCCTCCCGTGGACATAAAAAAATTACTGGACTAAACCAAGGCAGGCTCGCCATTTGAAACATTCCACTGCAGAACCAATCGCTGGAGAGCCGAGAAGCAGCCCTGTCGCATTCCCCAGGCATGAGTAGAGCTATACATATGTAGTTAGGAATGAAATTTAACTTGTATTTAAAATATCAAAAATTGTTGAGTTTATACTTTACTGCTTATAACTAAAAGCTCAGTGTTCTTGTAATATTGGGGAGGGGAGGGTCTTAAAAGTGTATATTGAGACTATGCTGTGTGTTCAAGTGTACTAAGCTACAGCTGGGAAATGTGAATTTACAGAAGGGTTTACTAACTGCATTTCTCTGTAGAACTTTGACTGTTTGCAGTAAGGTTGGTTGTGCTGTTGAGACTGAGAGTATGTGTGTTTGCAAATGTGTTGCGGCTGAGTCCAGTATTATTAGGTTGTTGAGGCTGAGTGCTTGTTGAAATGTCATGTTAAACAAATTAGCGAATGAGGGTGAGTGAGTTGAGATGTAAGACAGTTATCCAACAGAGGATCACTGCTGGTAAACTGTTTATCTAAACCTAAGGTTCGAAGCCTATTTAGAATATATACAGTACAGTGTTTGTTTTAATTTATTTTCAAGGGATAAACTATTTTCATTTGATGCACCTTTTCTCATTCTGTCCAGTGGTTGTGTGACAATTCACTTCCGTTTTCTTCTAGGAGAGGGTTAGGGTGAAACACTGGGCTGTATATATTGTGATGGGACTGAATAAGAAAGGATGCAGCTCAGGCTTACTTGTAATGAGTGCACTTTGTTGCTGAGCTGCTCACAACAACAACAAAATGACATTCATATCGCGCCTTTCATGTCGGAAGGACATCCCAAGGCGATCTCTTTGCATCAGCAGCTCTTGGGAGTTGCTACAAAAACACTGATTGTGACATTTTTTAACAATGCAAAATAAAACTGGGGGTAGTTTTTTTTCAAATAAACCATTAGATCCTTGGGCTCAGTTTGGATGCAATTGACACATAGCCAGATGATTTTAATAGATCACCACTAGTACCTTGTTAGGTAAGGATTTTTTTTATAGACCTGTTCACCTCAAATTTATCTACCAACCTTGACCTTTTCCAACCGGCAGCTAGAATTACAAGTTTATCAACTGAAAATCCTCCACGTGTGTTTTTGTCACGTGAGGGACTATTTTATAGCCTTTATGGGAAATGAAACTATTTTTAAAGTATTGGTTTTTGAATACATTTCTCCTGGGCATTGGGGGGTGGGGGAATTGAAGTTGAGTTGCCTCCTGCTGTGGCACTTGTTCATTTAACAGGTAAGTGACTTAGCTCTGAAGTGTAAAAAAACAACTACAGACTTATTCAGCCATTTGTGATCAGTGTCCAATACTACCCATCAGCCCATTGCTTTTGGTATTAGAGCACATCTGTCCCTCTGCCAATTGTTTAGCACTATTTTATTGTGTGTCATAGATTTGATGTGTTTGAGTGTGCATGCGTATGTCAGTCAAGCTTGTACAAAATTTACAAAATGTGGTTAAATTGTATGTGGTTTGACTTCTGATGTCAACCTGGAGGACAAATAGGATTCAGAATGCATGGTAGGGGTTTCATGACTATTGGGTAATGAGTGTATGTTCAGATCGTAGCCAGAAGTATTCCAGCTTACGTTTCCTCAATGTACCTGGGCTATTTATGTGTAGCTTGCTTCAGTCTGAGAAATAGTTGTGAACAGAACACACCCTTTTCATGAATCTACCTGGGTCCCAGGTTCCTAAACTCCTATCTGTAGTTTTGGTGAGGTTATGATTGTGGTTTTTCTAAAAAAAGGCTTGGTTCGAAGGGAGGAAGGAGGCATTGGGGGCTCAAACAAGCTATGAGAATAAAATAGTTCTCCCCCAGTGAGAGTGCTGCTGCAGCAGCGAAACTAGAGACTAAACTCACCATCATCTATGTTCAGGGTCAGCAGAAAATGTGGGATTTTTAAATTAATAAACCTGCTGCTCTCCCACTTGCAACTTCTTATGGCCATTAACACGTACATATATAATTATATGATCATTACAGCATGGAAGCAGGTCATTCGGCCCAATATTATTGGTAATATTACTAATACTATTAATATTGTTAAGCAAATTATGACTTGCATCAGTAACGTGTGCTGCGCTACATCTACTCACCGCCTGTCATTGCAAAGCATCGTATTGTGTGAATTTCCCCCTATTGCTCCCACACAAACTGCCATATTAACCTGCTGAAAGTGGTAGTTCTGGCAGAGAAATGTGAAACATGTATTTGCCAGGCTTTTTAAACATCCCAACCATGAAATGTGAAATATTCCACTTTAAACCACACTGAACCGTCCCAGCCCCTAATCCACCCAAACAGTGCAGACTACCACCTCTTATTTAGATTTGATGAAAATCTTTCTGAAAAAGTAGTTTGATTTTTTTTCATTTTAAAAAAAACTCAGCTTTGCCTTTACTTGGGAGTTTTGGAACAAGTGACTAATGTGTAGCAGTCTGGAAGTGCAATGGTCCCTACCAAATGGCGCAAACTGACCGAGTGCCAGTGAAACTGGACAATTAACTACTTGAATAACTTGTCGGAAAGGCAGGGACCTGCTGTTACTGTAACATTGATCATGAGGAATACTGTACATATACTTCTGTTTTAATTTTTTAGAATGTAATAAAATGATTCCTAGCGATTAAAACAATGTCCTAAGAGAGTCGAGTGTTTTTGTTAAAGACCATCTGACTTGTTTTTATTCTTAGTGTTCTTAACTGAATATGTGACTCAGTGAAACATCCTCTCTGGAAGTTTTGCTCCCACCAGGATTTTTTTAAGTAAAATCCGGCATTACTGGAGATTCTGAAAATCCAAAGAGCATGGAGTCCATTGTACAAACTACAAAGAGCAATCTTGTGTTCCAGAAAAGGCTCTGAATGAGGAATGGGTGATGGATACAGCATGAGGCCAGAAAGCAGTCTTTCGTAATCCCAATTCCCAGTTCGTTCCCAGTCTCCTCTTGTCCAATTCTGTTTTAAACACCCCCAATTGACTGTGCTCTAACATCCCCCGGCCTCCAGGGAAATCATTCCCCCTGACACCCCTCTGGGTGAGTCTTACAAACCTCTCCTTTTACTCCCTGAGTCACAATCTGGAATTCACTCCCTCTCCTCGAATCCCTTTGGATTTTTTTTGAGAAAGAATTTCTTTGCGTTGAAAAAAATGTGCTGGATTCCCTCACCCGAGGAAATAGTTTCTCTGTATCTACCATTGTTTCAGGCAGCAGGATGACAGTTGACTACTTGCTTCACTCAGATCAGTGTCTGTTATGTGTATGTTATGTGGTATTTTTTGAACAGTGAGAAACCATAAAGCTCAACGTGGAGTCCTGCAGCTCAGTGCTTAGAGCATTCGCTTTGCAAGTGAGAGACCTGAGTTCAATTCCAGGCAGAGGGCGAAACCTTGGGCAAGTTTCCTTACTCCACACAGAGCCTAATAATAATCCCTCCAAAACCAAAACCAATAATAAATTGGTCATTTTCAATCCACGACTGTTTGTGGGACATTGCTGTGCGCAATTGGCTGCCGCGTTCGCCCACAAATATACAGTCGATTCACTTTACAGTATATTCTGTGAAGCACTTTGGGATGTCTAGAAGATGTGAAAAGCGCTATATCAAATGCAAGGATTATTATTATTATCATGTGAAGAAAATAGTGTTTATTGTTGTTGTTCCTTCCAGCACCCATGGCACGGACTTGATCCTGAAATCCTTATTGTTTGGACGTATTGGTTGGTTGGTTGGATCGGTGAGCAGCATGACAGCTGGAGACATGAGCGTTTAGCAGGATGTGACCCACGCAGTTGGTGATGGCCCTTGCCCCCCGGGGTATCCGAGTGCACTATGTGCCATTTCGAGAAGATTCTCAATTGATTCAATTTCTTTGTCATTGTTGAGCAACAACTTGCTTTCCTCTAAGGCCTGACTCCCATAGTCGATCACCTACAATAGGGTGAGAGAAGATTATTGAAGCAGTTGTAAATCTATAATAAGAAAGATCTTGCATTCATATAGTCCTTGTATGACTTAATGTACCTCAAAGCTCTTTGCATTAAATACTGTCAAGTGTGCTAACATGAAACATTGCAGCCATTTTGCACACAGCAGTGTGAGGTGAATGTTTGATTAATCTGGAGGATTCACACACAACACTAAGAGAAATTTACTTTTTTCAAGAAGCAAAATGGGATTTTTAACACCTGTGACCTGGGTTTAACATCTCATCTAAAGGACAGCACCACCTCCTGCCAATGAGGCATTGCTTTGGAGTGTCAGCTTGCCCTGAGATTTGAACCTATTATGGGGCTTGAACCCACAACCTTCTAAACCTGAGATCTGAAATATCCCCACCCTCCTGGCCAAGGCACAAGAGTTTGCCCCTAAACCGGCTAGAGCTTTCCAAGATCAGTTGATAGCTTTAGATGAAGAAGGCCCTTCAGACCATCTGATCTCATTCCTCCAGAACCCAAACTCCTGTCCCCCATCACAGCATTGAGCTGCTTTTTAAATGACTCCAGTGTCCTGGCCTCAACCACCCATCCTGGCAACCGTGTTCCAGTTGTTGACTTCCCTCTGAATAAAAGCAATTGGGAGTTATGGCTCCTTGTGTTTCAGTGCCTCTTATTGGGATAATGGCCTAAATCAGATTTGACCTGCTCACATCACATTGCCCCCAAACCTACAATTGGAAGTTATACATTTTTAAATATTTATGTGAAATGGAATTTGGGTCAATGTCTGGCTACCTTTCTATAGTCCATGATCACGTAATACAGCATAGCCAGTGCGTGAGCGACCTTTCCAATTCTGCCATGTTTTGGGACGAAGCCCTGGTCCCGGATGTTGTTAATTGCATTCAGTACTTGGACAGCTTCTGCTTGCTGAGCCACATCTACAGACAGACAAGACAGAAGCACATTGTTACTGCTGAACTTCTGTACAATAGTCTCATTGCAGGGAGCATGAAAGTTTTAAAGGCTTTAAAGGACCTTAAAAATAAAAAAAATTATGATTATTCTTTTGGCCAAATGTTTTTCTTTCAAGCTGTTATGCCCCCATTCGCCAAAACTTTCTTTCAAAACCCTTTGTCTTCCATTTTCTCCTGCTTTCAAAATTCTCAATTTCCTGTTGTGCAAACTTGGCCTCCAGTTCGATCCCCAGCTTTCATTTCTCTCTTGCATCCGGGCCCTCAGTAAAATCGCTTTCCTTCACCTCCACCACATTGCTTTCTCCAAGTTGAAACACCCATTTCACGCTTTAATCACATCCCTGCTTAGTCCTTTCTAATGCACTCCTTGCTGGTCTCCCTCGCTCCACCATTCACAAGCTCCAACTCATTGAAATCTCCATTGCCCGCGTCCTCACCTGTACCAAACTCCACATGCCCAGTATTTCGGTGCATACCAGTATCCACTGTCTCCCTGTGGATTGATTTCAAGGTCCTCATCCTCACCCACAAATCCATCCACCACATGACACCCTCTGATCTCTCCAATCTCTTATCTATGTATCTACCCATCCCTTCGCTCAGCTAACAACTCCCCCTTCCTTTCCAAACCACCATCAGTGGGGAAGCCTTCTGTCAGGGACGTCCTCCTGACGTGAAAGGCGCTTTATAAATGGAATCTTGTTGTTGTTGTTGTTGTTGTTATGCCCGTTAAACCTCTGGAACTCCCCTCTAGCACTCTATCTAGTACCCACTCTTTCTGCCTTTTAATCCTACCTCTTTGAACACCCCTCTGGCTATCCCCCTCCCCCTTTTTCTTGCTCGGTGTCCAACCCCATCCCTGTAAAGAACTCTTAAGACATTACCTATGCGTATGTAAATACAGGTTAATAAAATCAAGACATTAAAGGGTACAGGAGAGCGAATGGGAAAGGAGGATTAGACTAGCCAGTTCATGTGGAGAAAACACCAGCTCAGGCTTGGTAAACCCGACGTGAAAGGAGCTTTACAACTGTATTGATTATTGATGTATTGAGATTATGATTATTTCAAGGCACTAACCGAGACTTTCCTTGTAATCTTCCATGCCTGGGTCTGGGTCCTCCAGAGCAGCATTCATTCTTTTCCATTTTGGCTTTTCCATCTCAGCCTCTACCAGCTCACTCAGGTGTTTGTGCCAGATGTCGACCACCTACACACAAAGCTCATCCAGCAAACAAACCTTTCATCCATTTCCCAGATGGTTACTGGAAATCTTTGTTCAATAATTCTGGATTTGCCCAGGGATTGCAAGAGTTATCAAGACTAGAAAACATCTACAGTCACATAAATTGGTCCCATGGCCTATCTCGTAACCCCGGGTGTTAGACTTGCTCAGTTGACCCCTGACCTCTAGGTCAGACAGTTCTGGGTTCACATTCCAGGTTGATATTTCCAGTGTAGTACTGAGGAAACTGCATGGTCAAAGTGCTGCCCTTTAGATGAGATGTTAGGCCAATGTCCTATCGATTCTTCAGGTGATATTAATATTCTTGTGACAAGCATGAAAATGTTTCTCCTGGTGTCCTGGCGAAGAAATCGCCAGATTAATTGAGTAAAAACAATAGGGGTATAATAGGGGCAAACTGTTTCACGAAGTGGTTCATTTTACACTGAATGTTTTAATAAGTGCATTACCTCGGTGTACATAGAGTCTGCGATGTCCATCTTGCCTTGTCCAAAGAACACATTAGCCATATGGAAGTATCCACCAGCTGTGTGAATGTCTTCGGTCCCAAATACTTCACTGGCATGGTAAATCTGAGCATATCAAAAATCTAGATTTAGAATCATCAGACAGATACTGAGCAATATTCTAATCCTAGTAACAAATCCTGATCTTTACAAAAATCCAAACAAGGTCCAGAAAATTAAAGAAAATGCAGAGACGCAGTGAGTTTACACAGAAATAATAATTTCTTACGCTTGATATAGCGCCTTCCAATTAATAAACTGACTGGCACAGGGAGCAATTCTAAGATTATTACTCTTGCGTTCCTGCGCCTCAATCTAGCTTCTAATTTCTGGAACTATCCACAAGACACAGTATCTATTTTTTGTTACGTCATTGGCTACTACATGACTACTACGGCTGTTCTCCATCTTTCTCCAAAATCTTCTGCACCTCCTTGGTTACGTCCTGTATCCAGGCACCTGGGAGGCAAGAGACCATTCGGGACTTGTGGTTTCAGACATCTGAGAACACTCAGGTGTCCTCACCGACAATTATACACACTAATTGGGCATTCGCTCATGGCTGTAAGTGGGATCTAACTGCAAAATGTTTACTTTTGTAAACACTTTGAGCCATTTAGATGTAAGTTATAAAAATGTTCTCATAAAGCAAGCATGATAAGGTTCGCGTTACGAGATAAGACGTGATAAGGCACTATATCAAATGGAAGGATTACTATTAGTATTAAGCAATAGAGTTGTCTGAATCATGTAGAAAAGGAAATCAAATAACCTGTCCTTATTTGCTCTACTTACATCATCAGCCAGGTACCACAGTGCCTTCTCATAGTTCCCTCTGGCAGAGTACAAGAGGCCCAGGTTCCGATACAACTTGTACTCAACGCCGGTTATGCACTCTGAAGTCTTCATCACCGTCCATTGAGCCTGAGAGAGGTATTCCTCTGCATCCTGTAACTGGCCCAGACCTGAGCAACGATAATCATGGATAAATGTGAGTCACTAAAACCAGCTCAAAATCACCCAATTCAGGAATATTGCCCACTCAGGTCTAAACTATTTCCTTTCTCCTGCTGTTCTCTCTACTCTCAGTGCTCAGCAAATCAGGAAAACCTGCTTCCAGGACTTTGGATATACCATGAGGAGGCCCCTCAGGAGTCAGGGAGGAATTTTCCAGGTAAATATTTCTGCTTTCCACCCCCCACATGGTCAATGTTTGTTTTGGTTTCCTCTTTTGTTTCAACCGGCATCACAAAATATGTCATTGTATATTGTGTGTATGGGTCTGTGTATGGAGGGGGGAGGAGGGAGGGAGTCTCCTGGCACAGTGGATCTGATGGGACTTGGTCATTTTTCTGTTCTTTGCTATATCATATCATCTCCTCTGCACCCTCTCCAAGGCCATTCCCTTTGTCCAGCAAACACTGACTTGCTTCATGTTGCTCCCACTCCATCCGCCATTTTGCTCCCGCTCTCTGGAGCTCCATCCCTGAAATCCCTCCAACTCGCTCCCTCCCTCTCCTCGTTCAAAGCACATCAAGACCTAACTCTTTGACTGCGCTTTCAGTCATCTTTTCCCCTCCCCATCCCAGCTGTTTCAGCTCCCACCCTCAGATTAGGTGCGGAGCTGAAAGCGTCAAGAGCTTTGAGATGTTCTACCGACTTGAAAAAGGCTCCCTGTAGCCCGACCCGCCCTACCATCGGTGGCCAAGCTTTCAGCCTCTCTGCCCCCACACTCTGGAACTCCATCCCACAGTCCCTTTGCCTCGCTTCATCCCTTGCTTCCTTCAAGGCCGGTCTCAAGACCCTCCATTTTGATCGTGCCTTCCCTCACCCCTACCCCACCCCTCCCCCATGCTCGGGTCCTGACCCCTGACTGCTTTGGGACGTCCTCCTGACGTGAAAGGCGCTCTATAAATGTAATGTTGTTGTTGCAAATGTTATGTTTCTGGAAGGGAAACACAAAAATATTGCTTATGCGGCCCATGGGCATTTCTCAAATAGGGAATCTCGCCCATAGCAGCCCGAATGTTGGACCTTGAGTCAAGTGTACTATATCAAATGCAAGGATTATTATTATTATTATTACTCACCAATGCTGGCCTCTGCCAGGAGCAGATAGGATGGCACTAACTCAGCAGATGTAGTTCCGTAGACACTGGTGGCAAAGCGCAGAGACTGCAGAGCACCGGGAATGGCCTCGTCCGGTTTTCCTTCGAAAAGCAGCTTCTGGGCCACTGTGCGGGTCAGGTCAATCATGTGTTTCTGTCCAATGGGAGGAGCCAGAGGACAAATTACGTCAAGCAGTCTGGGAAACATCCTCTTATTTACTCTCTGCTTCAGCCATCTCTGTATCAATATGGCCTTAATACCGTGTGCTTTCATTTTTGCAGCTAGCCTCTCAGGTTGCACCCTTATCTAATGCTTTCTGGAAATCATTCTACACACCATCCACTGGTTTCCATTTCTATCCACATGTTTTATTTTGGTGAGGCGTTAAACCGAGGTCTCGTCTGCCTGTCCAAGTGGATGTTAAAGTTCCCATCCCACAATTTGAAAAGAGAAGGCAATTTCTCCCGGTGTCCTAGCCAACAATCCCCAAATAAAAATTGGTCACTCACTGTAGGACATTACTATGTGCAACTGGTTGCCATGTTTCACTCACAAAATACACAGTCAATTGACTTTACAGTAAATCCTATGAAGCACTTTGAGACGCCTAAACAACGCAATAAGGAGCTGCATCAAATGCAAGAATTATTATTATAACAAATCTGCTTTCACCTGTCTCTGCACTATCTGTTGCTGTGAATGCCATCTCTCTTTCTCAGAGCTGAAGAATGGTATTGACGTGCGCAGTGGAATAAGGAGCTGGCAAATCTTCTCATGGATTCCAATCCAGTCAGCCTTTTGATGTTCTAGGTCACTAAAAGAAGAAAAATATTGATGCATATTCTCTGCTCAATAGCCCCATCAGAACCAAACAATCTCTGGACCTTGGTGCAGCCCAATGGATCCAAGGCACAAAATAATATCATCTGGATTCATGTTCACGATTCCTCACACTGCAAGTTGCTGATCTGTGAAACACCAAAGGAAGGTTGGGGAGCTATACTGTGGTGTATTCTGTATAATAATAATAATAATAATAATGTATTCTGTATAATACATGCGCTCCACAGTTAGTAGCACTCTCACCTTTGGGTCAGGTAGCTGTGGGGTCAAGCTCACAGTCTAGGCTCATATCCCATTGTAGTAAAGGAAGTGTTGCAATTGAGGTCCCATCTACCTGTTCCACTGGATGCGAAAAATCGCATGACCCTACTCAAAAAGAGGGAGTCTCTCTCTCCTGGTGTCCTGGCCGACAATCCCCAGATAATATTGGTCATTCACTTCATGGGTAATTATCTTAATGCTTTTGAGATGTTTGGATATAATAAGGTGCTGCTCTCTCACAGCTCCATTCACTGTCTCCCTCACCCCTGTCTCCGTTCTCCCTCTCCTACTGCCCCACACTCTCCACACACTCTCACTCCCCCATTCTCTGTCTCCACCATTCAGTCCCCGATATCCCTTTCCGCCTACTCTGTCTCCCCACTCACCCAAACATGCTCTCCCCTCTAATAACAACTTGCATGCAGCCAGATTCCTAACAAGGGAGAAGGGGGAGAGGAAGATGACCGTAGGTCCAGTTGAAGAGGTCTTAAAAACCAGGATTTAATGACAGATAAAGAGGGGACAAGACGGAGGGATTGGGGTAGGGCGTTCAGAGGTTAGAAGTGTAGTGGCTAATTTTGGTGCAGAGGGGTTGTGGGATGCTCAACAAGTCTGTGTGAGCGAAAGGGTCGGACACAGGAGTGGATGAGATCCTGTTGCCAGGCGAGGATCGGGGTGATGGGCATGCGGAGTTTGGTACGGGCAAAGGCACAATGAGTCTTGAACGAGCTGGACCTTCCTTGTGTATGGTAGAACTGGGGAGACTGGGACAGAATGCTTTTGAGAAATTGAGGCAGAGCGTGACAAAGGTAGGGTTGGAGCCAGGCTATGTGGCTAAGGGTCTGGTCAGGGCCCGAATATGGGCTAGGAAGGATGGCTGAAGATCAAATCTGACGCCCAGGTTGTCATGGCTTTGGTGAATTTGAGGGATCAGCCGGGGAGGTGAGGAAACATTGACGGGAGCCGAGAGGATGGCTTCCATCTTGTCCATGTTTAGCTACAGGAAGTTGTTGCTCATCCAGGCCTTGTTATCTGATAGGCAGCAGAACATCTGCGGATCTGAATCGCAACCAGAGGAAGAAAAACAGATTTGAGTGGCACTCGGATACATGTGGAAGTTGATCCTGTGTTTGCAAGTGATATCGCAAAGTGGGAGCATGTAGATGAGAAAAAGGAGTGGCCGAGGATATACCACAGGTGACTGGGCGAGGATTGGAGGCGAAACCATTGGAGGAGACAAAATGGAAGCAGTGTGTCGGGTAGGAATTGAACCAGAAGAGTTGAGTGAGGGCGGAGGTGATGGAGGAGGATGGAATCGTCCAGCAATGGAGATGTTGAAAAGTGTAAGGAAACAAGAGGTCAGAGCACGTGGTCGGTAATAACTTCCCGCTCTGTCTCCCCCCCTCTCTCTCTCTCTCCCCCATCCCCACTCTCCCCATTCATCCGCTGTGTCTTTCTCCCTCTTTCCCCACCACAGGGTCACTCACCAGTAGTACGTCACTCTACATTGTGTGCACATGTAGTGGGCGGTCTTTTTGCACAGTTCACACAGCAGTTTGACCCCTTTGGGGTTTGCGAGTGGGTACACGGAGCTGCTGAGCATTCCGGCGGCTCCCGGAGCACTGGCGGCGCCGTTGCGAAGGACAACAAACCGTCGCCCTCTGACCTCACGATCGCCACCAGAAGCAGCGCCGGGGCCTGCGGTGCGCTGAGGCGGAACCTTTGTGCGGGGAATGTGTGTGTCCGGGGCGGGAGGGAGTGCGGGACGGGGGCGGAGCGGGTGGACCGGTTGCCATGGCGGCGGACTGCGAGTCCGAGACCAGCGGCTTCATGTCGGACTGTGAGCCGCCGCCGAACGCGGCCCACTCGGCGCGGGCAATGGCGCAGTTCGCGGCGGGTCAGGCGGCGCAGGGCCGGCGGGTGGTGCTGGTGACGTCGGGAGGGACGAAGGTGCCGCTGGAGTCGCGGACCGTGCGCTTCCTGGACAACTTCAGCAGCGGGTGGCGCGGCGCCGCCTCCGCCGAATATTTCCTTGGCCTGGAGTACGCCGTCCTCTTCCTGCACCGCCACCGCTCGCTCTTCCCCTTCTCCCGCCGTTACTCCGCCATCAACCTGCTGGACGCGCTGAGGGCCGAGCCCGAGCCCCGGGCCGGGGCCGGGGCCGGGGCCGGGGCCGAGCCCCGCTGGCGGGTGGAAGCGGACCAGGCCGTGCTGCCGGCCATCGTGCCTGTGCTGCAGCGCTACCAGGCGGTGCGGGAGGCCGGGCTGCTGCTGGCCGTGGAGTTCAGCACTCTGTCCGACTACCTGTATTTGCTGAGGGCGGCGGCCCAGGCGCTCAGCCCCATCGGTGAGGCGGCTTTACACCGCGGCTCCGGTCACACACTGTCCCACAGCACAGAAGAGGCCATTCGGCCCATCGCGTCTGTGCGGCTCTTTGAAAGAACTTCCAAATTAATGCCATCCCCGCGCTCTCCCTATAGCCCCGGAAACCCGTCCTCCGCCTCTGCTCTGACGGCTGTAAATGCCTCTGTTCTCTCAATCAAAAGCCTCTGTGGGGGATAGTGATCTCACAGTCCAGGGCCGATGTCCAGTGCTGCGGAGCGCCTTCTTGTCTGAGGTCCTGTTCAGGTGAACATTAAAGATCTCACGGCACTGTTCGGAAAGAGAAGGGAATGTCCCTCTCTTGGCCAACAATCCCCCTCAACAGAATTGTACACTCAGGTGATGGCCTGTTTGTGGGACATTGCTATGTGCAAATTGGCAGCAGCCTTTGTCTAAAATTACACAATCATACAAGGCACCTTAGCAAATCAAACATTATATTCGTACAAAAAATCCACCGTTGGGCCTCTGGGCTGATAGTAAGTGCTGGAGAGCTGCAATTTAGGCAATGCCATTCTTCACTTTAATCTATCTCTTCAGATGAATGTTGAAGATCTCTTGTTATGAAACAAGATTTTCTCCCTATGATCTGACCAACAATCTTCCAGATAAAGGTCATCATCTCGAGTCTGTTTCTGGGATATTGCTGTGTGCAAAATGCTGCAATGTTTGCCCTCAAGAAATCGTCATCACACTTCATGATAATTACTGAGAAGCACTTTGAGACATTTTCATGGATTTGTTGAATTATAAAAATAGATTATTTGTGCTGGAAAGGGAGAATCCACTTTATGTCATCAGTCAGATAAACTGAGAATAATAATGGTCTGGGTACGATGCGCTTCACTGTGGTTAAGTGTTCAGTAAGGTATAAGTCTTGTCGGCAAAATGTCAAAGCGATTCACAGGATTTTTTTGTAAATCAATAATGACAAATTGCATTTGCATAGCATCTCACGTCAGGAGGACATTCTGAGGTGTTGTACAGTTGAGGCTTTGCATCCAAAGCTGGGGATTGGATTTGAAAAGGGGTGGGAGATGGGAAGATGACCAAAGGCATGGTCAAAGAGGAAGGTCATGGTCTTGAGACAGACTTTGAAGGATGTGAGGGAAAGAGTGAGGCATAGGGTACTCTGGATGGAGTTCTAGATAGTGGGGACAGAAAGGTTGAAGACCCAACTGCCAATGTTGAAGGGAGCGGGTGGGTTGGTAGGGTTTTGGAAGGCTGCAGAGGTAGAATGGGGCAAGACTGGAAGGATTTAAAAGTGAGAGTGAGGATCTTGAACGCAATCCTCAAGGGGACTTGTGTATTTGTTGGTGAATGTAGCAGCTGATTTGCACACTCTTGCAATGCCCCATGAAGGGAATGACCAATCTTATTGTTGGCCGGGACACTGGGAAAAATTCCCTTTTCATTTTAAATAGCACCATGGATATTTGTCCACCTGGACAGACAGTCGTGACTTTGGTTTAACGTCTCATCCAAAGGATGCATCTCCCAACAATGCAGTGTTCTCCCAGCATGTCAGTCTAGACTGACCTTAAAGTCCTTACAACAGGGCTGAATCCACATTAGGGATCCCCAAATAGAACTGTTCATTCACTTCATGGCTGTGGGTCACTGCTGTGCACAAATTGCATGCTGAGCTCCCCTACAAAACACACAGTAATCATTGCAGAAATCCTGTGAAGCTCTTTGAGATGTCATTGTGATGTGAACGGCGTTGTATCAAATGCAAGGATTATTTTTATAACTTGGGTGTGTTTCATAATTTTTCTGCACTTTTAAGCCTTGAACATAGTTGCTGTGCCCAGGGAAGGAGTATGTTCAGGACTGGAAGATCTGAGGGTGAAGTAGTTCAAGTAGAATGTCAGACACAGCTCAGCTGTTGACAACCTTTAAAAGGAGAAAGAACTAGTCCTCCAGTAGAAAGAGTTCCATGTATTCATCAAGGAAAGAGTTAAGTGCTCTGGGATGCTACCCTGCGTGAGGGGTGCTATGTAATTGCAAGTTGGTGTTAATTTCCCACAATTGGATTGAATATTATTTAGTTTATTTATATTGTATAACATACATATTCTTAACAAGTCAGGCTGTCCTGTAGCTTTTCCACTCCAATAAGTGTCTTGACTGTGCAAAGGTTGTTTTGGTCATGATTTAACCCTTCTGTGTCCGTATATTCTCCAGGACCAAAAGCCATGTTCTACCTCGCAGCTGCTGTGTCGGACTTCTTCATTCCTGCCTCTGAGATGCCAGAACACAAAATCCAGTCAGGTGCTAGTCCTTTGCAGGTGGGTGACAGTTGGAGCTAACTTTATCCAAAGGGAAGTTTTGCTTCAGTGTGAGGTGGTGATCCAATTTCCCTCTCTGTGGTATTGCCTTGTCTCTGGTGATAATTTATCACTCAAGTATTAAATGAACCCGGTTGTTAATTTGCTCCTGGTTTCTGTTGCTGGTTAGTTTCCATGTGGCTCACAGCTTTCTATTTGATTCCATTCTTATGTCACAGGATAATCTCCTGCCTCAATTTCTGTCTTATTTGTGCTGTGGGCCATAGCTAAGATTTGACAAATGCACTGAGTTCAAGTTCAAATGATTCTCAAGATTTCCATAATCGAGCCTTGAGGTGACAAATGCGTGGGTGAGGGTTTGGGCAGCCTGAGGGGTGAGGCAGTGGGTGAGTCTGGCAATGTTGCGGAGGTGGTGGTGGGCAGTGCTGGTCATGGCGCGGATGTGGGGGAAAAAGGACAGTTCAGGGTCAAACAAGACCCCCAGGTTCCTGACTGGCTTAGTGAGGTTGAGTGTGCAGCCGTGGAGGCTGATGCTGCCAGAGCCCGAGGTGCGGAGATGCTGGTGTGAGCCAATCAGGAGGGCCTCGGTCTTGCTGACATTCAGTTGGAGAAAGTTGTCCCTCGTCCAGGATTTGATGTGGGTCATGACGCCAGTAGTCCTGGAGTTGGGGGTGGAGGCAAAGAGGTAGAGTTGGGTGTCATCTGCATACATGTGGAAATTTACCCAATGTCACCAAGGGGGAGCATGTAGAGGGCGAAGAGGAGGGGACCGAGGACAGAGCCCTGAGGAACACAGCACGAGACAGTGCGGGGGCTGGAGGAGAAACTGTTTGCCGTGACGAAGTGGAGGCGGTGTGAAAGGTAGGATATGAACCAGTCAAGGACAGAACCTTGAAGGTTGAGCTGGGAGGCGAGGAGGTGGAGGAGGATTGAACAGTCCACAGTGTCAAAGATCGCGGAGAGGATGAGGAGGCAGAGGGAGCCCTGGTCACACATGGTCAGGATGTCATTTGTAACCTTGACCAGAGAAGTTTCTGTGCTGTGGGCAGCAGGGAAACTCGATTGGAGGGGCTCATGGAGGGAGTGAGAGGAAAGAGCGAAGCTGGGAGGCAACAGCTCTTTCAAGTCTTCTCCACTGTTAAGCGCTCTGAGAAGCCTTCCAGGAGAAGGGGGCTACATAAATGCAATTTGTTGTTACTGATATTACCATTTGTTTGTTTTCGTTAAACGGTATGATTTATAGATAACCATGCGGATGGTGCCAAAGATGCTTTGTCCTCTGGTGAAGGACTGGGCCCCTCAGGCATTTGTCACATCTTTCAAACTGGAGACGGATGCATCACAGCTGGTGTGCCGGGCACGCAAGTCTCTGGAGACATACCGACACCAGGTAGTGGTCGCCAACACTCTGGACACCCGGCGAGTGCAGGTCATCATTGTCACCATGGACTGCCAGACTGAATTAAAGCTGACTGAAAGCGAGGTCAAGGAGAACTCAGAAATCGAGAAGAAGATTGTGGAGCACCTGTGTAAATGTCACACCAATTTTATAGAAAAAGGCAACAATCTGGTGTAGATGAGAATATAATGTTTTGTGACATAAAGGCCAGTAGAATCATGGTGATTAACACTTGCAAATGCGAAGACACTGAAAGGGAAACCAATTAATCAAACTCATTTTTATTTAGAAAAACATAAAATATGGGCACTGCTGTAATCTGGAGCTTTATCTGGAGTCTCATCACTGATGGTGTGTGTTAAAACTTCACTCCTTGAACCCCTGGATTACAAGATGGTAGGATAACTGATAATTATCACATTGTTGATTGATACATTCAATAAGGCCAGTCCATAACTACAGACTGGTCTATGGTTGTTACTCCCTCCCCCCACCCCCCAATGGTTGGAATCAAAACCACTCTGCAATCCAGTGCCAGTTTGGAAGATATGAGTTTAATTCATGCTGCGGTTTGCCCACAATACATACAGTCAATTCACTTTATAGTATATTCTGTGAAGGGCTTTGAGACGTCTCAAAGACGTCAAAAGGCAGTATATCAAATGCAAGGATTATGATTATTATTTTTATGTCGATGGTATTCTACCAGCCTGAACTTCAATTCTATAAAAGACGCGGCAGCAAATCCATTACCAACATGGGCAGCTGTGGTCTCAACCGTTGTACGTGTCCCGAGAGCATGGTGGGGGATTCGCAGCTTTGTCCAGTCAGCAGTCAACGGCTGTTAACTGGGGCCAACACATTAAAGATATCAAGAAACGGGATTTCATCTATATTTTAAATGAGATTTTTAAATGAGGACTCCCCTCCACCCCCAACCACCCCATTTCGTCCCACTGGGCATTGTTTACTGCTGTAGTATATGAGTATCCTTTAGCTTATTGTGAATGCATTGTAAGGCGAGGATGGTTGAGGAACAAACTAAACTGGAAAGCTTTTTTCAATAGAGTTTCATATTTGCTGGGCAGTGAAAATCCACAGCCATATATTGAATTGGGAGGCAACTTGCTTTGTGTATAGCACCCTCGTCAGGCGACGAACGGACAGGTAATGGGAGCTTTGAACAGACCTGTCTGGCTCAGAATTAGCCCATCTTAGTGGATTAATACCAAGTACATGCAACAAGTGTACAGCAGTTGTGATGGTTTGTAACATTCACTGATATCTAGGTTGTTACTTACTATTAATTTTTAATTAAAATATTCAATTCTCATGGTTTTTGTGCATGTTGAACCACAAGATAAACATTTCCCTAAAACTGAAGAACAAACAACAAATAATGGCTTTAGAAATAATTACTTTTGTCATGTCACACCAGTAGTGCATGGTGCAATTTCTTTAACAGAACTTTGGCTTAACATTTCATGTGAAGCACTGCATCGAAGCATCAGCCTAGACAATATGAGTGTGGGGCTTGAACTCACAACCTTCTGTCTCCGAGGCGAGAGCGTGAGTGATAAGAGCCAGGATGACACACCTGACAATCCTACAGTTTCAGCTTCTAGGATCTTGGCGCTGGAATACACATTCCAGATAAAATCCAGGATTTGGCCATGTATTCCCAAGGCTTCCAGTTTCATTATGAGGGCCACATAAGGCACTAGGTTGAAAGCTTTGGGAAAGTTGATGATCGCAATGTAAGTGAGCCTTACGACATTCTACAATCTCAGAGAGCCACAACCTGTCCCACATATTCCTCATGAGAACAGAAGTCAGCCTGCTCCTTGCTGATCAAATGCGTGCAATAAACATGCAGTGACTACCTGAAGCACCATTCTAAGAGCCACTGAACTCAGTGAGATCCCTCTGTAGTTATCGGTCTCACTGGTCACACTCTTGTGGATAGACATCTCAATTACACTGACAAGGTGCAGGCCTCAGAGAGAATCCTGTTGACCTCCATTAGGAGAGCAGCTCCAAGGCAAGTTGCGGGGTACTGGCTTGGACCTGTAAGATCCTAACTGTTTTCCATCTCCTCCCTCAGAGAAGCTTTCAGAAATTCAGCATTGATGCTGTCCGCACCATTGGCAAGGCGTAGTCCACCTCCTTCCAACGTTTGCAATTATATTTCTTGAACACAACAATAGCCCAGATATTAAAGGTAATGAACAGCCAACAGCTGCTTCTCAGGAAGATTTGCATTCCAGATTTGCATGACCAGCTGGGTACAAATTCTTTATTTTACAAATTCATTATTATACCATATCAAATAATTTGTAGCTGCTGATGATCTTACACTAAGCTGACACCAGCATCACTGGAGCTTGGTGCTCTTCTTAACTCCAGCACGAATACCAGACAGTTCACCGCTGTAACGATTCGCCTCCTGTCGCACCTCCCGCACCTATTAAAAAAAACACAGTCCCTCTGTGAAAGCCATTCATCTTAGCTTGAAAACATTTGAGAATTTCTCACAAGGGATTTTTAAATTCAGTCAAGTTATTTTTAAGAATTGCTGAAAATCACCAAATCCTATCAAATGTCACTCAACCTGTTGTTGCCTCTTCCTAAACTAAGCTGCATTGTTCCAGATTTTCCTGGAACCCATTTGTAAGGGAGTCGGGCGTGAAGGAGAATCCTCTTCACTAGGTTTTGTCGCTAGTCCTGGCAGGGACTGAGTCATCCTACAGCAGGACATGTGTACTTGTGACTGAGCTTTGCTCGCAGCAGGCCTGGTTGGTACTGTACTGCACTGGAAATCTCCAGCAGCATATGGAGGAACTGATTGAGGAAGTAAAGAGGAGATCCTGCAAGGTGATAATCTCTCATTTTGGCACAGTAGTGCCACTAACAGCCTTGGAGTGAGAGACCATTTTTATTCGGGGGGGGGGGGGGGGGGGAGGGGGATGTTGCCCAGCACATGAGGAGAAATTCCCTTCTCATTTTGAATCGTGCCATGGGATCTTTTATCATCTCCCTGAAGAACAGGCAGTCAGAACCTCATTTTATTATCCAAAGCACGACATCTCTAACATTGGCAGGTCTGTACTAGCCTAGTGTCCTAGAGGCTTGGGGTGGTGGTGGGGGTGCAGAGGCTACCAAATTAAGCCAAGGTGACCAAGGAAACCTGCTGCTCAGTTTAGAAACGAGCTCACACACCCTCTTCCATTCCAATAAAGTTATGCAAAGTGTTGCGCTACGAAATCTACAAAATTTTGCGCGGAGTAAATGTTTGTATTTAAAACATTTACGAATCCTCGTCCCCCGAGTCCTCCACTCCACCCGCCGCGGCTGTGCCTTCAGCCACTATGCCCCGAAGCTCTGGATCTGCCTTCCTCACTCCCTTCGCCTCACTCCCTCTCTTCCCATTTTCAGGTCTCTGCTGAAGACCTTTCTTTTCGACCGGGTGTTTGGTCACCTTCCTCCCCCTCCCCTTGGCTCGGTCCCGGGATCCATTACTGTAAAGTGCTCTGAGACGCGTCAGGCGTGGAGGGCACTATATAAATCCAAGTTGTTGTTGTATTTGAGAGGCTTTTTCCAGCTGAGAGTTAGGAAGCCCCTTATCGCAAACTTAACTCATTAAAAAATTGTCTTCAGGGCACAATGTAGCCATGCTTCACGATGTACCCAGGGCTTTACAATATCGTGTGCAATGTGCTCTGTGCTTTTCACATACCTGGCCTTTACGACGGATATTAGCTCGTCTGAATTTCTCCCTGTGTTTGACCCGAGGATTCCGATCAATCTTTCTCCTCTTGGGTGTGAGACCTTTATTCTTGGCAATCTACAAGAGCCCAGAGGTTACAATCAGTGCACGCAGCAGATCTGAACAGACAGGTGTATACAAATGATTTTCATAACCAAACATTTAAACATAACAAAGTTATCTAATTTAATGCCCCTGAATCCTGTACTGTCTGAAGGTACAAGGCTGAGCCAGTCTGTGCTCAACACAGTGCCACACAGTGCTGTGGGAATGAGAGAGTGGAGCGATTGTGACACCCGAGCGTCATTCTACCAATACTGTTACCGAGCGCTGTTGTTATCCATGGTAAACTGATAACAACCTGGTACGTGATCTTTCTCTTGCCGTCCGGGTGCAACTCCTCCACACCTGCATTTGCCTCATAGCTGAAACAACAACAACAAATTACAATGTATAGCACCTTTCACATCAGGAAGAAACAAAATCACGTGCATCACAGTCCGTCTCTGTGACAAGGTTTTGCTCCAAGCAGCAAAACACATTAAACACACCCAGGACAAGCCCTGCAGCTCAATATTACCATTTATTCATGAGATCGCTGTCTAGCAAGCTTTCCCGCTGTTTATCCAGCTGGGACCACTCTACCCATTAGAGCTTTGACTTGCAGGGTTAACAGGAGCTGAGTGGAAGCATTGCCCGCTCCCAGTTCTGCTGATGAGCCAGGCTGACTGGGTTGTGGACCAGTCTGGCTCAGGAAGTGGATTAGAGACGGCCACAGAGGGGTGATTTGATTCTGACAGTCTGTTACCAAGCATGTCACCTTGGAGCCATTTCAGCCTTGAGGGGACCTTGCTCTCCGCACCCCCCCCCCCCCACTGATGGACTTAAAACCACAATTTCTGAATCAGAGATGTGATCGTTTCGGCTTAGCCAACAGGTATAGTAATGGTGTTCCTGAAATATACAGATATTGTAGGACAAAGCTAGCGCTCTCAGGTCACTGTATGCTGATTACCTGTGCTGCTCCACTCCCTTCTTCCTCTTCTGTGAAAGCTTCTCCTCCATTTCCCTGTAATACTGAAGTGCAGCTTCCTCATCAAGGTCAGACTCAGAGTCTCGAGACAGGATTGCCTGCATCAAAAATAACATCTTACATTTGACACGGCCTTTCATGTCAGGAGGATGGCTCCAAAAGTGTCTCAGGATTTACTGTAAATTGTATATGAATGCTGCAGCCAACTTGTGCATTGCAAAGTCCCACAGACATCCATGAAGTAAATGACCCAATTTTATTTGGCAGATCACCAGAGAAAGAAACTTGTTTTTGTTTTCCAGTAACGCCATGGGATCTTTAACATCCACCTAAAAAGGCAGATGGGACTTTGTTTAATGTCTCATCCAAAGGATGGCACCTCTGACAATGCAGCACACCCCCAGCACTGCACTAGAGTGTGCCAGTATAGATTGTGAGTTCAAGTTGTGAAATAGCGTTGTGACACAACCTTCCAACTCAAAGACGACATTGTAACTGACTGAATCAGCCTGACAAAATATTCATCAAAACCCAAAATGTGTGAGAATTCAAAAACATCACTGAACAAAACTAAATGATTTTAAAAGAATTGATGGATTTGTGGCCTCTCGTCACCGACTTTCAGGAAAGTAGAACAATCTATTACTATCTTTGACTTTTGTCAAATCACTCCTCAACGTTTCCCAATAAACAAAGCCCCTAATTCTCAAAACTCTCTTCAACACTGATCACATTCCAGTGAACATAACCTAGGCGGTTGCAATCCTGGGATTTCGGGAGCACCATTACTATACAGGATCCTGGGCTTCCGATTGATAATGGTGCTCGTGAAATCCTGGGATCGCAACCTCTAACTTACACACCATCTTTTCTCTTGCACTGCTTTCATGTCAGTACCTCCACAAAACTGTACACAACCCAACGCCTGGGGCCCAACTAAGATCTCATTCAACATTAAACCCTTTCTCTTATATTCCAAATCTCCAGATAAAACAGACAAGCATTCCGATTGCTTTTTACAACAGTAGCATTTGTTCTCCCCTCCTCCTCAATTCCTGCCTAGGTCAGTCTCGGAAGCTTCCTTGCTGCTCACCTTCTCCTGTGGTCGTTGCCCGGCTCCTGGAAGCCTGTTTGTCTGGCTGAGTGCTTCCCTCACTGCCTCTGAGTGCTGCTGGTTCTCGGCCGCTCCACTGGCTTGGCTAACTTGGTCTTCACTCAAAAGCTGCCGGATTTCTGGCAACATCTTCTGGTCCACGACCGTCAAGTCATTGATTAGCTGCGAAGATAAATAAAACGAGAACCGTTGCCTGAAATCTCTGTAGGTTTTTATCCTTCAAAGCTTTGTCTTAAGGATTTTAGAAAATTCTTAAATTCAGCCTTAATGTGGTCTCTGTTTTCTTTAAGATCTGTGGAGGATTCATCTAAAAAAAAATTCAAAACCTCTTTCACTATCTTTCATTTTAAGACAATGGCTTTTAAAGCTGAGACCATGAGCAAGTTTAGTCCGTAGGAACTTAAGTTAATCACTTTCATCGACGGTCCCCACTCGATTGAACTCCAGCCAGTTGGGAGAAAAAGAGAAAATAAACCAACCAACATGAAAATGTAAGTGGCTGAGTGCCCAAAGGGGAGGGAGCGAGAGCAGGTCACAGGGGCAAAGCTCAGCCTGGAATCAGAGAGAGGATCAATCTGAGAAGCTCACGTTTCTGTAGGAGACAAGTCGCTCAATCACCGGGTGGCTGTGCGCTGGCATCCTCTTCGCCTTTAGCACCAGATAAAAGCTGATGTTTGTGCAGTAACTGTAGATCACAAACATTTCATCAATAGGACATCGCTCCAGTCTGTATTTATATAGATCTCCTCTCCCACCACCCGCTGCACCCCCAAGTTTACACAAGCCCCTCTTCCCCTCACCACAGGCTTCACACGCACTCCCTCCCCCCCACCTTCCTCTAAGCTTCACCCACAAAATATACGGTCAATTCACAACACAGTATATTCTGTGAAGTGCTTTGCGGCATCTCAAAGATGTGATAAGCCGCTTCAAATGCAAGGATTATTATTATTATTTTATAATTAAGCTTCACCTACACCCCCAAACTTGGACAAAAACACTTACTTCAGGTACAGCAGATATTTGGTGTGCAGGTAGTTCGCACCCTGTGAATAAATAAGATATTACAATGAATTAGAATGATCTGATCTCAGCAGCACACCCTTTAGGAATGTGCCATTCCCGTAACAGTCACCATAGCACATTCTAATTGTTCCTCATTATACCTTCCCTGCTGGAATCCTCCCACTCTGAACCATCTCCATCAGTGGCTGCAGATCATCTCTCAGTTCTGTGAGCTGTAATAGACAAATCAGGAAATGATCCGGGAACTCAAGTGTTCTGCCTAATCAGATACATGGCACAGCAACTCAGCAGCTAAGGTACAGACACACCTTCATTCCAGGCAGGTACAGTGCTAAGATGCCTCGCATTTGGATATAATTTATCTAATTATGAGGAAACTTTGCATCCATAAATTTTTTCACAAAGGAATTAGTTAGATGCTCGAAGGCAAGAAATATTTTGAGGAGTGGGGAGTGAGCAGGAAGTTCATTGAAGTAAGCCACCAGTGCAGGCGTGATGGGCTGAATGTCGATTTCTGAGGTATAACAATCTATGATCAATGTGAAGTGAATACACCCAAAACATTGCAGCCTAAGTTCTCTCTTGCATAAGACTAATCACACCCATTACTCCTAGTGTGATTAGCCTTGTGCAAACTGACTACTGTGTTTCACCCACAAACCAGAGTCGTTACACTTTACAATATATCCTGCGAATCACTTTGAGATACCTCAAAGTCTTGATAAGGCTCGATATGGAATGCAAGGATTATAATATCATGCTTTATCACATTGTTGAGATGTGTCAAAGTGCTTCACAGAATATACAGTGAAGTCTGTGGAGTCCTGTAGCTCAGTGGTTAGAGCACTCGCTTTGCAAGCGATTCCAGGCAGAGGGCGAAACCTTGGGCAAGTTTCCTTACTCCACACACCTAATAATAATCCCTCTAAAAACCCAAAACAATAATAAATTGGTCATTTTCAATCTACTACTGTTTGTGGGACATTGCTGTGCGCAATTGGCTGCCGCGTTCGCCCACAAATATACAGTCAATTCACTTTACAGTGTGTTCTGTGAAGCGCTTTGGGACGTCCTCCCGACGTGAAAAGCGCTATATCAAATGCAAGGATTATTATTATTACAGTAAAGTGAATTGACTGTATATTTTGTGGGTGAAACGCGGCAGCCAATTGCACACAGCAGTGTCCCACAAACAGTCGTGGACTGAGTGACCAAATTATCATTATTATTTTTTTGAAAGGATTATTACCACCGGTCCACCAATCGACTAACAACCAGGTTCCTCCTTACTGCTAGGTGAATAGAGGCACGGTGTAAGGAAACTTGCCTAATGTTTCGCCCTGCCCGGGAATCAAACTCATTATTATTACTACTGGTCTATTATTATCTTTCAAACCAGTTCTGCTCACCTTGGCTTTAAAGTCCTGGATCAGCTCAAGCAGTTCCGGAGATTCATTTTTCAGCAGCTTCATTTTCTCTTTAACAGACATCTGTTTCAAGTCTTTTTGTATTTTCTGTTCAGTTCCTGCCTCCTGCTGCTTCTGTGGCTGGGAAAACGTCTGTCACAAAAGCAAGCTGTTCAATTCCACAAGCACCATGAAATAGTCCTTGACACAGGTCCTGTGTTCTTTAAACAAGGGTAAGACTGCCGGCATGTACACATAAAATAGAAAAGAAAACGTAGCAGTTCATCTGGGTCAGAAACATGATGATTTTTGGGGGGTAAATGTGGACCAGGAGACATAAAACAGGATAACGGGAAAAAATCGCCATTTTTCTTTGAAATAACAATGGTAAAAGTCTTTCAATGTCCGCCTGAATCATACTCCTAGCACAGCACAATGGAATCAGGGGGTGGAGGAAAGGGGTGCAGAATTGTTGGAGGTGCTGTCCTTCAGACGAGACATTAAACCAATCCACACAAAACTTTTAACTTCTCCTTTGATATGTTACCAGATATGTAGCCAAACCAAGATGGTTTTTGCAATTTTAGTTTTACACAAAGATCTTAATATCATCAGATCTTGTGTGCCTCGAGTCTCTTTTGGTCAGTTACCTGAATGAGGTCCAGGCCAAAGTCCTCCTCTGTTAGATTCTCGGTCATCCGTCTCTGAATATTCAGGGCCTCCTGCTCCTCTTCCTCAGCCTCTGCCAGAGCAGCAGTCTGACTCTGACCACCTAGGAATGCAAAACAACCATTTATTGGGAATGTTCTAAACACAATTACTTTCTCAATCCCATTTAACATTTTCTACACCTCAATATTTGAACCCCTTATCAACCTGTCTGCTCCTTCCACTCTGCAGGCTCTGGCCTGCTCCAAGTCTCCGCCCGGCACGCTCCACCATCGGTGGTCGAACCTTTAGCCTCTCTGCCCCACCCTCTGGAACTCCATCCCGCATTCCCTTCACCTCGCTCCCTCCCTTGCCTCCTTCATGGCACACCTCAAGACCCTCTTCTTTGACTGTACCTTTGGCCACTCTCTCTGCCTTCCACCCTCACTGATCCCAAACCCACCCCCACCCTCTTGGTCCGAATCCCTGACTGTTCTCGACGTGAAAGGCGCTTTACAAATGTGATTTTGTATTATAAATTTTAGACATATACACTGAACACAGAATAAGTGAGAAATCTTAGAAACAACAACCATTCCTTCAGGACTGATCGTGGATTAGCAAAGTGATCATTGAATGTTACAAAATACACTCAGACTGTTGTCTTCAAGGATCTTTCTCCAGCTGAATGTTAGCAAGACCGAGGCCCTCCTGATTAGCTTGCGCCAGCGCCTCCACACCTCGGGCTCTGGCAGCATCAGCCTCCACGGCTGCACTCAATCTCACTAAGCCAGTCAGGAACCTAGACCCTGAAATGTCCTTTCTCCCCCACATCCGCACCATGACCGGCACCACCTCCGCAACATTGCCAGACTCTGACACTGCCTCACCCCTCAGGCTGCCCAAACCCTCACCCACTCATTCATCACATCAAGGTTTGATTATGGAAATTCTCTCCTCATCGGTCTTCCCAACTCTTCCCAGATCACCCAAAACTCTGCAGCTCGTGTACTCTCACGCACTAGGCTCTGTGACCCCATCACTCCCACCCTCGCCCGACTCCACTGGCTCCCCATCCCTCAGAGGATCGCATTCAAGATCCTCATCCTCACTTTCAAGGCCATCCATGGACTTGACTCTTCCTACCTCTTTGACCTGCTGACTCCCTACCAACTTGCCTGCTCCCTCCGTTCAGCGGGCTTCGGCCTGCTCCATGTCTCCCTCCCGACCCGCCCTATCATCTGTGGCCGGGATTTCAGCCTCTCTGCCCCCACACTCTGGAACTCCATCCCACAATCCTTTCGCCTCACTTCCTCCCTTGCCTCCTTCAAGGCCAGTCTCAAGACCTTTCTCTTCGATCTTGCCTTGAATCGCCCTTCCACCTCTCTGCCTTCCCTCACCCCTACACCACCCCTCCCCCATGCTCGGGTCCTGAACCCTGACTGTCCAGCGCCTTGGGACGTCCTCCCCACATGAAAGGCACTCTATAAATGTAATCTTGTTACTGTTGTCTTTGCTAATTACCCTTTGAAAGACTTTGCCTTAATGCGGTTTGCGGCACAAAATTCCATATTCGGGGGCACAGGGGAATGTCAAAAAGTTATTACAACAAGTTTTTCTGTTGTTTCAGGAAGGGAAGAGCTAGGTGACGGCAGCCTTCCCCACCTTCTTGACTCATAAGGGTGTGTATGAGCAGTTGGAGGTAGGCAGGTGCATGAAGTGATTTGTATGTGATTGTGAGGATCTTGAAGTTGATCTGTTCTGCTACAAGGAGCCAATGGAGCCTGATAAGAATTGGGTGATGGGGAGTTTAGTGTGGGTGAAGAAGTTCAGAATCAATTGGACTTTGTGAATGGTGTGGAGACCAGCAAGGAGGGCATTGGAAAAATTGTTGGGTGTAATGTAGGGTTGGAGGCTGGCGATGTGGCAGAAAGTGGTCCAGGTCAGGGACTGCATGCGGGGTAGGAAGGAAGACTGTAGATCAGTCCTTGAACATTTTCAAGGCTGAGACTGATAGATTCTTGAAAAATAGAGGGATTAGGGGATATGGGGATAGGGCAGGTAATCAGAGTAAGGTGAGAAGATCAGCCATGATCTTATTGAATGGCGGAGCAGGCATGAAGGACCGAATGGCCTACTCCTGCTCCTAATTCTTATGTTCTTATGATAGCTGAGAATGGTCGGTGGCTCTGACGAATAGGCTAGGCTGCTATATTCACAGGTGTTTTTAAGGAGACCCCAAATTAATGAATGTGAAATAGATGAAAAGAAAAGAGTGGAGTAAAGGTGCCAGAGAGTGGGAATTAAAAGATGTTATCCTGATTGGCGGAGAGTAGTCTGCCAATCAGGAAAATTAGAAGTGTTCGTCATAGGTCATAGGGTGTAAGGACCTCTCTTGTTCTCTCTATCTCTCTCTTTCTCTATATATCTTAATGATCAGTGTAGTCAGACCCGTCAGGTCACTATTTAACCTTTTCAATGCCAGTTAAAAAAAAGCCCCAACTTTTCAAGACTTTCTCAATAACTGACATAACACCCGAGCCTACAGTGAGGTAGAAATAACGTGCACTTACGAGGGATTTCATCGTCATAGTCTGTGCTGTAATATATGGTCTTCTTCTGACCCCAGGCCAGTTCATTTGGGAGGTCTGGAGGACAAAGTGCACCAAACATTAGTTTTGCTACAATTTTACAGCACATGAAGCAACATAACACATTACTAAGAGCTCCTCTTGTGACCAAGGGGTGGCAGATCAGCTACTGACCATCATTCACTTTGTCGTCCAGGTCGCTCTCCATGTCGATCTCGTCCTCGTCAGAGTCGCCAATGTCCAGGGCCATCACTTCTTCCTGATGAGAAACAAGACATCTGAGGAACATCAAAGCAAAGCCAACTGCCCAAGCAATCTATCAACATCATTTGAATGAAGTTGTTCCTTTTAGAGCTCGACTGGGAGTCTCCAGGAGCGAAATTTCACACGTGCAACATTTTACCTCCAATCGGATAAATGAACAATTATTGTCTGAACCATGACCGAAAAAACACCTTGCTGCCAAAAAGTCACCAGATCTGCACAGAGTAACGTTAAGGAGCCACCATTTTCTCTGTTGTGCTCTCTTTAGGTACCAACCTAAAGCTCAGTGCTCGGCAAGACTCACTTACCTCCTCCTCCGAAGCCTCCTGCCCGTGGTCCAGCTCCACTTCCTCCACCAACAGCTTCTAGAATCAAGGAAGTTACCACAATCAATGAAACCCTCACACTGGACTCCAGTGCCAGACAGACAGTAAGCAAACACATACCCCTATCTTTGTTAAGAACTCAATTTTCCCCTCCCTTTTCTTTGCTTCTCATGTCCTAATAATAATAATCCTTGCATTTGATATAGTGCCTTATCATGTCTTGGAGACGTCTCAAATCGCTTCATCGAATACTGTAAACTGCATTGACTGTATATTTTGTGGGCGAAACGCGGCAGGCAATTGTGCACAGCGAAGGTGCTAACCCTTGCTTGGGTGTAGTTCAACGGGCAGTAATCACCTTCCAGTACTTCACCCTAACAGCTTGCCTTTATGTGAGCCTTGGCAAGTGTGCCTGGATATTTAACCTTATCTAAGCCCATACCACACACTTTTAGGAAGGTGTCTGGATGCTGATCACCAGTCACACTGACAGTTACCTGTTACATCAAGAATTAATATTTTTCAAAAATGCTAGTATTATATACATATTGCCCTCTATATGTGGTTAGGAGCTTGTGAACGACATGATCGTAATCTTACCGTGACTTTCCTGTCATGAAACTTGTCCACCTCATCATTGAAATATTCGGCAGAGTTCTACAAAGGGAAAAAACTTTGAATGCAACAAAAATCTCTCCCCACCACCCCACTCAACCACCTGCCCCCTTCGCTCAGCTAGCTTCAGCCTTCTACACATCCCTCATGTAAATAAAGAAAAAAAGAGGGTCAAGGAAGGAACCTTTGGTACATTATATGTGATCCAGATGAGTTAGGAGGAAAAAATGTTTGCGGAGTTGTATTGATGGGAGTGGATTAGTTAGGGCTCGACCAAGAACCCGGTGGATGATGAAGAGGCAGTGGAGGAGGACAGCATGGTCAACTGTGTCAAAACAGTGGAGAGGTCAAGAAGGACAAGGAGGCAGAGGGAGCCGTGGTCCGAGAAAGAGAGAGAGAGAGAGAGAGAGAGAGAGGGCATCATTTGTGACTTTGACAAGTGCTGTCTCAGTGCTATGGCCAGAGTGAAAACCAACTGAAGGGTCTCGAGTAGGGACTGAAGGAAGAGGTATATGAGTTTTGATATGTAGGGGGAAGCATGGTTTGGATACTCTTAAACATGGTGATGGGTTTCCGTGGGTGTAACCCGACTGACCAAACAAAAGACAGCTTCTCCAAAAAGGTCTGCTACACTGAGCACACAATACTCACAACATCTGGCACTGGTAAATCCCTGTAAGCCTGAGGATCGTCACTATCATACTCCTCCTGCTGCTTCTTCGGTCTAGTAGATGCTCTACAAAGTGACACAACACAGAGAGCAGGCCAAAAGTGAATCAATCAGTATGCAGTAATCTGGACTCAGGCTGCTCATCACATTGAAGCTATGTTTAATATGATGCCTGGCGGTCTCCCTCATTCCAGTCCTCAAACCGTAGCTTGTATCCTCACCCACACCAGTATGCCATGAAGATTCATCCACACCCAGCTCCACTGGCTCCCAATATATTAACCAAGATTTTCATCCTGACCATAGCATTGAGACAGCAGAGGGAACAGGTGGGCCAAATGAAATGAAATGAAATGGAGGGAGGGAGGACTGGATGAAATTGGCCCGGGGACCGCTAGTTGGACCACCCTGATCTAACAGAATGGCGGAACAAGCTCGAGGGCCCAACTTCTCTTCCCATGTTCCCACCCTTTCTCCGTCCCCCACTCCCTCCCTCCCCCTCTCTCTTCCCCCCTCTCTTATTATTATTACACACAGCTCCTGTTAACCCTGAAAAGCCCTAACTGGACAGGCAGCGGAAAGGTCGCCAGACAGTGACATCAATGGCAAGCTATGCTGTTTTCGCTGGTTAGACTCCACCAGTCACCCCACCCCAATGCACACTCTGGGGTCCTAATCCTTGGCGCTTGCCTCATACTCTCCAGAATTAGGTAAGCAGAGGGCGTCCCTCCAAAGAGAGAGCGAGGCACGGAGCGCAATCCATTCAATCTATCAACAACAACAAGATTCCATTTATAAAGCGCCTTTCACGTCAGGAGGACGTCCCAAGGCGCTGCACAGTTGGGTCATGACCCGAGCATTGGGGGGGAAATGGTCAGGGTGAGGGAAGGGAGGGAGCGAAGAGGGGGAAGAGAGTCGAGAGGGGAGCTGAAGGCTCGGTCAAAGAGAAAATGGCTGGGATTCCCATGTGTAGGTGGGATGTAAGGAATTCTCAACTTGGTTTGGAGACTCTTAAGCAACGGTGAAGGGTTTCGTATGCGTCAGACACCCGACTGCCCCCAAAACACCTCCATTCTCCCCCATGCGCTCTCCGACAGCCCACCGCCCCCATTCACCCCATACCCTCTCCCTTCCCCCTTCTCTCTATCTATGCGTCTCACCTTCCCCTCTTCCCCATGTTTCCAACGCCGGCAACTTCCTGTCCGCGAGTGAACGTGTCCGAGTTCTAGTTCCGGTTGGTTCCGACAGCGGCTTCAGTCCCCCGGACAACATCCGGTGAGAGCGCGCGGACTGCGCGGGCCATGGAGGCCGCCAGTCAGGTGAGGTGAAGCCGGGGCTGCGGGTAGAACTGCCGCCGCGCTATCGGTGTGTTGTAGAGGCGAGGGGGGAAGCCACGGGAGCGCGAGCAAAGCAGCGACAACCGCTCGTGTCTTCCCGCCGGCGAGGCCGCAGGACAGGCGCTCCCGTGGCTCTGCGCATGCGCTCAATCAGCATCAATCTGGACAAGTTTATGAGAAAAATAATTATTATCATCATCATTCCGTTTGATATGGCACCAAACCGGGTCTCCGAGATGTCGCAAAGCGCTTCACAGGACATACTGTCAGTAATAATAATCTTTGCATTTGACACAGTGCCTTATCACTGCTGTGCGCGATTGGCCGTCGCGTTTCGCTCATGTAGTATACAGTCAATTCACTTTACAATATATCCTGTGAAGCACTTTGAGATGTCTCGAAGATGTGATAAGCACAATATCAAATGCAAGGATTATGATTGTTTTGTCCAGTTTCCCAGAACTCATGAAGATCGTCTGTTTGCCAAACTGTGGGAACCAGGACCAGTTTAGCGACCCTCCCCCTTGAGAGTGTGCCTTTTCCTGCTCAGGCGCTCAGCAACAACACACACGCTGAGCCAGCCCATGGAGAGCATTTGTTTGACTGCAATTTATTTGACTATCTCTATTGAATTTGCACAACTAAGTTATGCTCTTGAATAACTGCCCTCATGTCTTTCCAGTTTCTGCAGTTATTTGTGATGTTCTATTGCTTCATGTCCAATCCGCGCCCCACCCCAATCTGACCCCCAATCGCAATTTTGCCCCCACTCTCTGAAGCCCCATTCCTGGAGTCCTTACACCTTGTCTGCGCCCTTCCCTCTTTCAAGACCTAACTCTTTGACTGTGCTTTAGGTCATCGTTTCTCCTCCCTATGCCACTTCTCTCAGCTCCCTCCGGTCGGGTGCCCAGATGGCAGTGTCGAGCAGTTTGAGATGTGTTTTCGATGTGAAAAAAGGGCTGTCTTGTCTAAATGTTTGTCTTGTCCTGTTTCTCGAAAGGAAACACAAAAAAATTGCTTATGTGGCCTGCATATGTTTCTCAAATATGGCATCGACCCAGAGCAGCCAAAAGGTTGGACTCCCCTGGTCTAGATTGACACTTAGTGCAGGGCTGCGGGAGTGCTAAATTGTTGATCATCAATTTCTAAATTTACAGATTAACAAGAACAACTTGCATTTATGTAGAGCTCCTCATGCAGAGCGCTTGAGAGTGGCGGAGCACGACTCCGGGGATGGGGATAAAGTGATTGTAGGCACTGGTTGAAGAGGAAGGTCTTCAGGCGCAATCTGAAGATGAGGAAGTAAAGGGGCAAGGCTGAGGAATACAGGAAGTGTGTTCCAGAGTTTCGGGACATATTGGATGAAAATGTGGCCACCGATGGTGAGACGGAGGGCATGAGGGACATGCAGGAGGCCGGAGCCAGTCAAGCGGAGGCAGTGGGTAGTGGGTTGAGGAATAAGCAGTAAGTAAGTAAGAGTAAGAGTTAGGGAGGTGCCAGGGCATGAAGGGATTTGAAGACAAGTGTGAGGATCTTGGATTGATCCATTCGGCGATAGGGAGCCAGTGCAGCCTGGCTAGAACTGGTGTGATGGGGGTACAGAATTTAGTATGGTGAATATGTAATAATATAATCCTTACATTTAGTGCCTTCGTGTCTTATCATGTTGTCGAGATGTCTCAAAACACTTCACAAGATGTACTGGGAAGTGTAGTGACTATCGTTTGTAGACAAATACGGCAGTCCAATTTGCACATAGCAAAGTCCCACAAACAGCCATGAAGTGAATGACCAATTTTATCTGGGGGATTGTTGGCCAGGAAACAGGGAACAACTTCATTCTCTTCCCTTTTTGAAAAGTGCCATGGGATCTTTATCATCCACCTGAACATGCAGACCTCGTTTGATTGTCTCATCTGAAGGACAGCATCTCCAAAGTGCAGCGCTCCACCAGAACTGCAGTGGAGTGTCAGCCGAGGCTGTGAGCTGAAAAGTCCTGATGTGGAACTTGAACCCACAGCCTCTGACTCGGAGGTGAGAGTTCTACCAACTGATACAGCCTGACACCATCAATGCCAGGAACCGACGACTCAACTTCAAGCAGCCCTTCTTAAGACTGGTCAACAAGATTGTCACTGAGGCAGACACAACATCATTGTTCCAGAGTCAATTGTGGTATCTCCCCATTTGAAGGACGACCCTACTGAGACTGAGAACTACAGTGGAGTCTTATGATGTCATTATTATTATATTATTATATTATTATTATAAATTGAACATATTGGAGTCTCGTGGCTTGATCAGAAAAGGAACCTTCTGAAATCCATTCTCCTGAGTTATGTGGGACAGCTTATGGATTCATTTGAGATCGTGAAACATCAGAGGAAACCCACCTATGTTGCGTTTATCGATTTTCCATATGGCTTTCAAACAGTGCATCATGAGAAAGTGGAAGCGATGGGAATACAATAATAACCACGACAACTTGCATTCATTGTAGTACCTTCATGTAGAATAATATCAGAGTGCTTTAGGATGGCAGAGGGATATCGAGCAGAAGGGGAGAGGAGGGAAGGAGATGACCGAAGGCACAGTTGAAGGGTTAATTCCAGATGGTCGTAGAATGTTGTTCGTATAATAATCCCTCCAAAACAAAACAATAACAAATTGGTCATTTTCAATCTACGACTGTCAGTGGGACGTTGCTGTGCGCAATTGACTGCCGCGTTCGTCCACAAATATAGTCAATTCACTTTACAGTGTGTTCTGTGAAGCGCTTTGGGACGTCCTCCCGACGTGAAAAGCGCTATATCAAATGCAAGGATTATTATTAATTGAAAAGCTCGGCCTCCAATAGTGGCGTGGGTAGGGTAGCGGGTGGACAGCAAGACCGAATTAGCTGTTTGGAGTGGGTAAGCAGAGAGGTAGGGTAAGAGGAAGTCAGAGAGATAGGGAGGTGCCAGGGTGTGAAGGGTGAAGGTGAGGATCTTGAATTCAACCCGCTGAGACACGGAGTCAATGGAGCCTGAGGTGATGGACAGACAGAGTTTGATGTGGGTGAGGATGTGAGCAGTGAAGTTTTGGATGAATTGAATGTTATCAATGGTGGAGCAGGGAGACCAGAGAGAGAAGAGAGTTGAAAAATCTAACTGGAGGCGTGGATAAAGGTTCTGGCAGCATTTTACAGTGATCAAAGGGATATTCCAGTTATGTATTCCAACTCCGAGATCCGTGTAAGGGTTGATGAGAGATTCGCCAGATCTATCCTTCCCAAAGGGGATTGAGCTCTCCATAAAACCGTAGAAATTCACAGCACAGAAGATGACCATTCAGTCCATAGTGTCTGTGCTGGTTCTTTGAAAGATCAATCCTTTCAATCCTATTTATCTGCCTTCCCCCACACCCCTGCAAATGTTCTCTCTTGAAAGGTAATATGGATTCTGTCTTGACCACTGCACCTGGCAGGATATTCCACGTTCTCTGTGTAAAATAAATCCTAATTTCTCTCTTTCTCTCCAGCACCTCCTGACGTGAAAGGCGTTATGTAAATGCAATTTGTTGTTGTTGTTTGCTATCTTAAAATGATCTCTTCTAGTCACTGACTCACCAACGTCTCGTCACGGACTTCATAAGGAGTACAGACTTGGTCAGTGTGATCCAGTCATTTCCGACAGGATTGCTGCGCTTCTGTCTGCAGGTGACATTGTACTGTTGATGGACTCACCTGGGATCTTGTGCACTGCATTCACCACTTGAACACTGGGCCACTCAATGGCTCAAGAGTGGACCTTAAAGGAATTGTTTGGAAGATACAAGGTGGTTGATACATATGGCTATTTGGGGCGGGGGAGAGAGGTTGGTGGTTATCAACAGTGCCCTGCACTGAGAATGGGCAAAGAACACTCTGATCGTTCTCTCTTCAAGGACAAGTTTCCAAAGCAGGTTAAGCTTGCAGCATATAATACCTGTGTTCAAACAGTTCTCCTTCATGGTTCCAAGCTCCTGGAAATGTAGTGGAGAAGCTTCGATGTACCTCACACCCAACACAGTAGAAACTCTCGTCCATGCTTTTCGCACCTCCTGGCTTGACTATTCTGAGTTGGGAGGTGACTCCTCCAATAAGACCAAAGCACTGCTACTTGGCTTCCTTTAGCGTCTTCGACCCTCATGCATTAACCACTTTGATCTGCACTGATGCTGACTCCCATCTCACAGAGCCAGTGTGTCTTGTTCAACCTCTGTCCGTCAAACCCTATATCCGGTTCTGACTCGCTCTGCTTTCCCTCACTTCTACAGCATTGCTTGCCTCTGCCACTGTTTCTTCACGGCCATTCAGACTCACTTATTCCAATGGATCCATATTAATTGATCATCCATGTTATTGCTGTTAATAGGAACTTTTATACACAATATGGCTGCCATGTTTGCCTCACATGTGACTGTTTTACTTAAAGCACCTTGACATGTTTCAAAATTACAGATGCTATAAAAATGCAAGTTATTTTCTAAGTGTGACCTTGAGTTACTTGGCTGTGGTTAGGATTTGAAACATCCTTGGAAGAGCTAATGGGTTTGGGGTTCCGGCCCATTGAGTAGATATTGACATTCTGGCAGCCTCAAGAGAGTTATGAAATTCAACCTCTCTTCCAGTGAAAGGAAGGTTTATTTGCTCCCCAATATGGAAGTGTGATTTCAGACGTGTTAAGATGTTAGCATATTTCGCAGCACGTTCACTCTCACAGCAAACCAGAATGAAAATCAAGCACGTTGGTCAGAATGTCATGGCTAATGAAGAAACTTTTAACCCTCTCATGCCTCTGTTCCTGTTAAGAGTATTAATAATTCAATTGTGATTCAAAGAGGTAAATAGTACAGTGAAGCCCTGATATAAGAATAATAATCTTTGCATTTGATATAGTGCCTTATCACATCTTCGAGACATCTCAAAGCGCTTAACAGGACATACTGTAAAATGAGTAGACTGTATATTTTGTGGGCAAATTGCATAATGCACTTCTCTATAGTGCAGATTTGCTTTTCACGTGGTTACAGTCTTCATTGTAATTGCGAGCGCTCTTCTTGTGTGTTTGCCATTTTTTTGGTGCTAAGTGGTTTGACTTCCAGTTTTATAGGGTCAACTTTTGTGAACATGGGCAAAGCAGGAAGTGACATTTGCAGTGACCTAGAAGTCAGTTATTGTACAAAAGGACCAAATTCCAGGTCATCAGCTCGTTGCCAAAGTCACTTCACATTTGCAGAAAACAGGAAATGTGTTTATGTCAACCCACCGACCTGGAAGATGACCATATTTCTTTTAGTGTGGGAACTACCCAGTGTGCTCTCTGAGCAGTCAAAACCACTATTGTACTGCGTTATATTGCGGGGTGTAACACTGGAATTTTTGGATGCCAAACGCAAGTTTGTACTGTACATCCCAAAACCAGTGTGTACCCTTGAAAGACAAAGGTTGTATTTCAGGTAAGAACAAGCATGGTCAAATAAATTAGTTATTAAACAAAATAAAATGGCCAATGACACACCAAAAGACAGTGACGAGACTGGAAGGGGTGTAGTAAACATTAAAGAAAGGAAAAAAAAATCCAAAAGTTAATTGAGAATATGAAGCATCAGCCTTGATCAGTTGGTAGCACTCAGAAGATTGTGAGTCCAAGCCCTATGTCAGGAGTTGGAACTCATATACTCTAAGCTGAAACTCTGGTGTAATGTTGGAGGGTGGCTGCATTGTTGGAGTTGCCGTCCTTTGGATGAAACATTAAACCAAGGCCCTTCTTGCCTGCTTATGTGGACTGTAAAGATTCCATGGGACTATAAAGAAAAGGGAGTTTCTCCTGGTGTCCTGGCCAACAATCCCCCAAATAAATTTGGTCAGTCACCCCATGGCTGTTTGTGGAACATTGCTGTGCTTCCCTCACAAAACACAGTCACTACACTTTACAGTATATCCTGTGAAGCTCTTTGAGATGTTCTCCTGATATGATAAATAATAATTCTTTCATTTGATATAGCGCTTTATCATGTCTTTGAGATGGCCCAAAGAGCTTCACAGAATATACTGTAAAATTAATTGACTCCACTTTGTGGGTGGAAGGTACTATACCAAATATAAGCATTATTATTATTAACAAAATATTTACTGTTACCCTTGATCCTATTTGTTTTTTTCATGTAGTAATAATCCTTGCATTTTATATAGCGCTTTTCGTGTCAGGAGGTTATTCCACATCGCTTCACAGGACTGACTGTGTTTCGTGGGTAAACATAGCAACCAATTTGAGGTTGGCAATGTCCCACAAACAGTCGTGAAGTGAATCACCAATCTTATTTGTGTGGGATTATTGGCAAGGACTCTGGGAGAAATATCCTTTTCCTTTCCAATAGTGATATGGGATCATTTGTGGCCATCTGAATAGGCAGACAGGACCTTACCTTACTGGAGTTTGTGAGTTCCAAATCCTGCCATGGGGCATGAAGCCAAAACCTTCTGACTTGGAGGCGACAGCAATAAAACTGATTAGACCGATATACACACAAATACGTCAAGAGAAGAAAATCTGGTGTGACAGGAGTGGAGAATAAGCGCTGGGAGTGGAAGTCTTTTATACAACACAGTACAACTTTACATTTATACAGAGCCTTTCACATCGGGAAGACATGCCAAGGTGCTTGAAAGACCTGGCTTGGCACATGAGCTGAGGGGGGTTGGGAGCGGAAAGATGACCAAAGGCACAATCAAAGCGGAAAGTCTTGAGACGGATCTTGAAAGAGGTGAGGGAGTGGGCAGAACGATGGCGGATGGAGTTTAACATTGCAAAGCGTGAGGTACTACACATGGGGCGCAATATTGGTTGGGAATGTGTTCTAAATGGGGAAGCACTGGAAGAGCAGAGAGATCCAGGAGTTCATTGATCATTACAATCTAGGTGAAGAAAGCAATAAACAAAGCAAATGGGACTCTAGCCTTTTTACAAGAGAATAATTAATTATTTTCACTGGTTGGTGAGTCAGTCATGAGATGGCCCAAATTAAAGGGGAAGTTAGAAAATGTCCCTACACAGAGGGTAGTGGGAATGTGGAATTCTCCATTACAAAACCATCATTGGTGCTCGAAAAGGAGGTTGTGGGGGATAAGATTAGGTGATTTGTGGAGAAAATTGCTGGTACAGACTGGATGGACCAAATGACTTGTTTTTTCGTTGTTACCCTAACCTGCGATTTTCTCACATCACAGCTTTGTTTGCAATTTTCCAGTCCCAGGATTTATATAACCTGTAATTTTCTTTCACTGAAAAGGAAAAGGTTTATATTTCCATGATGCAGAGAAACGTGTTACAGCTTGCCCAGAACAGCCCTTCCCCTGAGTGGATCGAGCTATTCCATGGTGACAGTGTTGTGCTCACTTTGCCATCTGAAGCTCACTCACAGACACAAAGTGTCTGGGCAATCAGGCACAATTGGAACACAATGACATTTTCAGTAAGTACTTGCTTTGGATTGGCTTTATTTCTCTACAGCTCTGCTAGGTTGGTAGGGTTCAAGGCCAATGTTGGGGACATGAGTTCCATCTTGTCTGATTCTCAAATATGGTCAGGGAGGAACGGTGAGATGTTTAAACTGAAGATGGTTAAAGATTTCTTGACAAAATTCAAAACAAGAGGCTAACTTGCGGAAAATCTATGCTTTGATTGAGGATTCTGCACTGAGTGAAATTGTATGTTGAAAATCATTGCTCGGATGCATCACTGATTGTAAACTTATTGGTTATTGTTGCTGGATTTTAAAAATGACCCAGTTTGTATCAAATTGTGTAAAGAATCATGACTGACACATTCCCTATAAACCCGTCAAGTCAGTGAAAAATTGTGGTGTTCCCCAATTGGAATCCTTAACAAAGAATCCCAGTTGTGCAAATAGGGAATACCATTTGTTCTCCGGAAGTCACATTGACCCTGGGAATACTGCACTCCTGGAGCACAGTAGAATTGGAATTCTAAGGGAATTCCTTGTTAGGAATCTGGTTAAGAATTATCACAAATTAGACCCCAAAGAATCCCAACTATGATCTTTCTTAAGCTGTGCATGGGATGCTTCGGTCAGATTCCACTATGTCTGCAGAGAGATACAAAGACTTTCAACAATAAGCTGCTTTCCATTGTCATGTGGGTCCCTGTCATTCACATATATGGTATGTTAGGGAGAGCAAGAGAGTGGAGAGAGACAGAGTGATTGACAGAGAAGGGGGAGAGAGGGGGAACACAAAGAAATGGAGGGAGAGAGGCAGAGGGAGAGAAAGTGATTGAAAGCAGGGAGAGAGAGTGTGTATGAGAGAGTATGAGTGAGAGTTGAGAGAAAGAGTGTGAGTGAGAAAGAGTAATTGATTTCAAGGCACATCAAGACCTACCTTTTTGACTGCATTTTCAGTCATTTTTTTCCCTTCCCATTCCACCTCCCCTGGCTCCCACCCCCAGCCGTCAGTGTTGAGAGCTTTGAGACGTCCTTCTGATGTGAAAAGGACGCTGTGTAAAAGTTGTTATGTTTCTGTAAGGGAAACACAAAAATGTTGCCTTTGCGGCCTGCAGACGTTTCTCAAATAGGTCATCCAGTCCTCTTCAGCCAAACGGTTGGACCCCCCCCCCCATGTTAGGGATCATCTCCCCTGCACTTCTTCAAAAATCTGTGTTCATACAATACAGCGCAGAAGGAGGCCATTCAGCCAATCGTGTCTGTGTTCTGGTTTTCATGATTTACATTCCCTTCGCATCTAACTTGAAACTAATTGGGTACTCGTCCTGTTATCTGTGTGACATTACTGGATCAAGTTAGCTGCCAAGTGTGCCTGCATAACATTCACTTCATTTCTAATTATCTAATTTTAGAAAAAGCACATTGTGATATTTAGTTTACATGAAAGGTGCTGAATATGGTTAACTTGTTCATTGCGGCTCCTGTGACAATCTTTCCCACTCTGTCAGCATGCGCTGTACTGTGTGTTACGTATAAGACCAGGAGCCAGTGTTGTAACAGAGCTAGACTGTGCATGTTTAAGTAGTTTTAGCTTTCCTGTGTAATTGCAAGTTAATTGGCAACGCTTGTCACTTTTGTGTACTAATCTGTGTGACCTCTTAGGCATGTTCTGGAGGAGAGAGAGGTTGTGGTGTACCCTGAAAAAGCGAGGAATGTGGAGAGTAGTCCTCTACATTTTTTCAGTGAAAGGTTTTGTATGCTGACTATCTACCATACCAGGAGTAATGGTTATTCTCAGTCATTCTCACTGCAGTCAATTCCAAATGCTGTAGTGGAAAGCTCCAGTGAATTGTAACATAAGGTGTGTTTACTTGATGGTAGGTATCTGAATAGTCAGCATGAGCTCGTATTCATGTTTTGTTAATTACACAGAAAAATTCTGTGGTGTGTTACAAGGCCCATTGATGAGAGGGGACTGCACTAGATGGCAGTGCAAATGTCACAGGCCCCAAATTCTCCTGGCCTCAGCCTTAATAATAATACGAATAATAATAATAATTCTTGCATTTGATATAGCCCTTTTCACATCTTCCAGATGTCTCAAAGCTCTTTACAGAATATACTGTAAAGTGAATTGACTGTATATTTGTGGGCGAAACACTACAGCAAATTGCGCACAGCAGACTATTGTCTTCAAATTTAAGATGTAGAATTTTGAAGAGAGCTCAGGAAGACATTAAAAACTATGACATTGAAGGGAGATTCTCCTGGTGTCCTGACTACCAATCTTTCACATCAATTGTTCATTCATCCCCTGGCTAGCTGTGGGATCTCATTGTACACAAATAACTTGCTTTTCCCTGTAAAACGATCGCTATTCTTTTTTTTCCAGGAGAAGATGGAGCTGGAGGATATTCTCAAAAGACTGCAGGAGGATGGGGTTGACACCGATGTCTGCACCGCGGATGAAAATCTGCAGCACCTGTGGCGAATTTACCATCGCTCGGAGGGCATGCTGCAGGCCACTGTCAAGGACCTGGAGCGAGTGCAACAACAGCAGGCTACTGAGATGAAGGAGGTGAGGTGGGGCGGGTGTTGGGACATCAGGGTGTGTGTGTCTGCCTGGCTCAGTTGGTAGCACTCTCTCTTCTTGACTCAGAAGGCTGTCAGTTCAAGCCCCATATTGGAACTTGGAATTCATCTAAGCTGACACTCCAATGCAGTGCTGGGAGTGTGCTGCATTGTTGAAGGTGCTAGACTTTGGATGAGTCGTTAAACCAAGGGACCCGTTTGCCTGTTCAGGTGGATATCAATCATCCTATGGCACTAATGACAAACGTGGGTGTGACCCCTCACTCGGTGGATGGTAAGTGTAGGAACTCCCTGTGAGCCTCCCATGGGCAGCACAGCTCAGCATGAAATGCATGGGAGCATTGCCACCATCTTCCTGCCCATAGCTCAGACAAACATCCCTTCCAAGTGAGCAATTGTTCCACCAGTTGGAGGTGTGAAGCTTGGAAGCAGCTGCTTACCTCAGTGCAAACCAATCAAGGTGGATTCCCAGGCTGTATGAACGCATGTGAATGAACACAGAATCCAGGTAATGTCTTCCTTAGAGTTAAGTCTTGAATGGCATCCTTCTGTGCTGTGAACTATTTGTTCCTTATGCCACCATTGAAATTCTAATAAAAATAAGACATTATTTGCAGAGTGGTCTTGGTTTTTCTGTAGGTAGAGAATTATGTGACTCACATCCGGAACCTGTCGGAGGAGCGGGAGGCAGTGACAGGCGAATTTGAACAAGAGAACGAGGTGCTCAAGGTGGAGCTGCAGCAACTGCAGCAGGAACAAGGTCAGAACATCATCACCTTTGAACTCTGGCTCAACCACTGTGCTGTGACCCTATGGCTTTATCTAAACTTCACATTGTTAACTTGCTCTTTTCCTACAATCTTTCCGGAATATGTGTTTAATTAAAAATTAAATGCTATTTCTTCAGAGTTGTCCAATTCTGAGTTTTATTTTTTTAAATGTTTATTTTTCATCTTCCAAACCCATCCATAGCATGACAAGCATCTCCTAGAATTAGCGAGAGGCTCGGTTCTGAGACCAGAAGCCAATGATAATTTAGAAAAAACAACAAATTTGCATTTATTTAACATTCTTCATGTAAAAGAAAACCTCTTTACAGAATGAGATTCATTAGAAAAGAACGTTGTTATGGAAACAATGCGGCTATTAATTTGTGCCAGGAACATCTTACAAGCAAGAATGAGATGAGTAGCAAATTAATTAGAAGTAACAGCACTTCCCCACCACTCCACTGGGACCATCAGCCTCGTCTACGAGTTTAGAAAGTCCCAATGTGAGTTTTGAAAACGCAACCTTCTGATCCAGAGGCAAGAACTCTATCAACCGAGCCAGGCTGACAGCTAGCTCACTGCGCACTTTGGTCCAGGATCCAACGAAAGAGAAAGTACAAAAGTATTGAATAACATCTGTATTCCCTTGAGTTCAGAAGATTGAGGGGTGATTTAATTGAGGTTTTCAAAATAGTAAAGGGATTCAATAGGGTAGCTACAGAGAAACTATTTCCTCTGGTAGGGGAATCCAGAACAAAGGGGCATAATCTTTTAAATTAGAGCTAGGCCATTTAGGAGTGAAATTAGGAGGTAGTTTTTCACCCAAAAGGTAATGGAAATCTGGAACTCTTCCCCCCAAAGGCTGTGGCTGCTGGATCCATTCACATTTTCAAGATGGAGGTAGATAAATATTTGTTAGGTCAGGTTAATAGGAGATGTGGGGCAAAGGTAGGTAACTCGACTTGAGGTAAAGATCAGCCATAAGCTTATAAAATGGCGGAACAGGCTCGAGGGGCTGAACATCCTACACCTGTTTCTGTGTCTATGTATCTATGTATCTCGAAGCACTGCACAATGGTGGGGTTGGATGCCAAGCAACGAATAAGGGGAAGTGATCATAGATACAGTCAAAGAGGTGAAATTTAAAGATTAAAAAGGGAGCGAGGCAGGGGGCTGAGGAAGAGACTCGGGGTGATTTGAGGTATGTAATGTGCTAATTATCACAAGGAGAAAATGGACAAGGTCCTTTTGGTAATTAGTATGTAACATAGCTTTAATTCTTTGGCTGATGCTTGTGCAGATACTCAGCTGAAGGAAGTGGAGGAGATGCTGGGTCAGGAGGGTCTGGCAGACATCGCACACAGTGGTCCTAGTGAACAGATTGCCTACCTGTTAGTGGAGCGAGCTACACTGCTGGAGAAGCTGGAAATAGCAGAGAGGAAAGTGGATTCGCAGAGTCTCGCAGGCAGCCTACGGGAGACTCATTTACAGGTAAGATAAATACAATCGTTCAAGGAGCAAATGGTTCATAATTCTGATTGGTGGAACAGTCGCTCGCTGGGAATGGATGTGTGTCTGACCTGTGGGCAGGAAGATGGTGGAAATGCTCTCACACATTTCCTGCTGAGCTATGTTGCTCACCCTGAAGCTCGCAGGGAGTTCCTGGTACTTGACATCTGTTCAGATCCTCGCTTGTCGGAAGGCAAATGATCAACTCCTGACTATTCTCCTTCTGGAAGAGGTAAATGGGGTCTCCTTGGAACAGAGGTGACATGCTTGGCATTGGTATGTTAGAATCGAACCTACACACTGTGTGGTCTTGGTCATTCAATCTCTCTGCCAGGTGGGTACACAGTATTCCAGGGCACTGCTGAAGACAATCCAGCCAGCCTGGCTCATTGGAAGGACTTCAAAGGGCAGAACAAAGGACTTCACTGGGGGCAGGGATTCTTACCACTCAGCTCCCATTAACCCTGTAAGCCAAAGCCCTAATGGGTAGGGTGGTCCTAGCTAGACAATAATAATTACATTTGATTTAGCGCCTTATTACATCTTCTAGACATCTCAAAGTGGAAAGCTTGCCAGACAGCTTTACCAGAAAGCTTTACCCCTGAAAAAGCGCTCCGTTAATCGACTAACAACCAGATTCCTACTTATTGCTAGTTAAACAAAGGCGTGTGGAGCAAGGAAAGTTTTGCCTGCCCAGTAATTGAACCCAGGTCCTCTCGCTTGTGAGATGAGTTCTCTAACCATTGCACTGCAGGACTCTATGTCTCGACGTCCCTCTCCACTTTATCATCTCAAGTTTAATATTGCAGCGCAACTCTTTGCACTGTACACTGGAGTGTCAGCCGAGAACCTGAGCTCGCAGTTACAAGCCGCTGCCGGTATTGGCAGCCGCAGATGCACTACCTCCCTTTTGGTGTTGGTGTTGGTTAGTATAGAGTTCAGCTGCACTCGGTACAGAGTTCCATTGGTAACTGCAGCTACTCCTCACAGGAAGAGCTGGAGCAGATGCAACAAACACTGGAGGAGGAGTTAAGGCAACAGCGGGAATCCATGCAGCGTACCAAGGAGGCTATGGCTCAGGTAAGCCAGTCTGGCCCGCCCACCCACTACGACACTCAGTGTCTGCTTGTTCTACCTGTTGCTTGAAAGAATAATATTTTTGGAATGAAAACCTGGTTGGAGAGAGAGAAATTTGAGTTAAAATATTGGTGGACTTGTTAGGTTGGACTTGAGCTAGGTGCATTCAGAAGTACACACCTGTGACTTGCAGGAGTATGAAGCGATGCAGTAGGCAATAGGGGGCACGGGAGCTCAGATGAATTTCGGGAAGCAGAAAGGGAGAGGTAGCAAGGAGATGAAAGTGGCAGGAGTGGGATGAAGGAGTTAAGGGACATGAAGTAATAGTCCAAGGTGCCTTTTATCAGTGATAGTGATGTCAGCGCCTTGGGACGTCCTCCTGACGTGAAAGGCGCTTTATAAATGGAATCTTGTTGTTGTTGTTGTCAGAGCGGATAATCACCAGATCAAGCAGGTGATCATGGAGGATTCATGTGGAGGGAGGGATTGAGAGAGGAGAAGAGGGAGGAGAAGTCAGCAGACGAGGAGCAAGAAAGGGTGAAGTGGAGATTCAAATCACCCAAAATGAGGAGAAGCTTGGAGCAGAGGAAGATAGAAATGGGGAGATGTTGGGGGAATGATAGATGAGGAGAATTTTTAGTGAGAGATTGGAGAATGAGGTTGCGAGGGTGTGAGGAGTTCAAAGGAGGGGAAGATTCTGGAGGAATGAAGAGACAAAGTGAAGACTTGGAGATGAGAGCTACATCACCACCACTAGGGTTAGGTCGTGGGGAATTATGAAAGGTGTAACTGGGAGAAGTGCCCTCAGTGAGGTGGAATGTGTATTCAGGAATGATCCAGGTTTTGTTCAGAGCAAGGATGTTTCTCTTTGTTGGAGAGAGAGCAGACATTTTGAAGGGCGATTTGAATGGGATAGCTATCAGAAAAAATTGCAGGATGAAGAGGGGGATGAGGAGTGATAGGAAGGGGATGGATGTGGATTAAAAAAAGAGAGGTTCACTGCTGGTGGTGTGGGGGTGGGGGACAGAGTCCATCCCTGGTCCATTTGATGAGGTAAATATCACACGAGCTGCAAACAACCCCATTTTGTTTGGTATTCCTTTGTTATTGATTGGAAGTTTGTGACCTCTGCTGATGTTTTACGCTTTGAGTTAATAAATTTCAATTTCACTCTTTCAAAAGGAACCTTTATCTCAGCCTCCAAGCCCGTGGAAGAAGCTATTCGGGGTCCATCAGCAAGCGCTCAGGGTCTCCACAGACGCAGCAGTATGTCCCGTCCACTGCACCAAGCCATTTGGCCTCTCTCTCTCTCCACCTACATCCATGCAGAGCAGGACAATAAACCACATCTCAAAACGTTCCTTGAACAGCAGATTTTCCAGGTGGCTTTTAAGATCAGACAGTTTTGCAAATAGTCCACGTTATATACATTTCTGAGAGGAATTCGAAATGTCTTGCATTTACATTGCATCTTCTGTGAAAGATGTGAAGCTTTGAGCCATGAGTGTTCGTCTGATGGCTCGTGTGGGTTTTGATTTTCCTGCTCTGTCTGAGGTTCCAACTAACCCCATTAACCCTGGATTCCCACTCCCCTCACCTCACTCACCTGGTGCATGCCCTCACCATTCCCCCCTCTCCCTGAAACTTTGCATGGATGGAAACACTTCCTTCTGACATCCCACACTTACTTGAAAATCCAACCCAGGGGTGTGCAGGCCAGCCAGGCCAAGATGCTGTTGTAATACAGTGTCTGTCACATTGTACTGAGTGACCGTCTTGCTTGCACCCAGATGATATCTGATTAGAAGGGACATTGTGAAGGATTTGGGAATGGCAGACTGGTCCTCCCACTCATCACCTGTTAACCCTGTAAGCCAAAGGCTTAACGGGTAGTTCTAGGTGGTCCTAAGAGGACAAGCAGCGGGAAAGCTTGCCAGACAGTGCTCTCAATGGCAAACTGTGTGGTTTTAGCTGGTTAGACCCAGCAGTTACCCCAACACACAGCCCGAGCCTAATACAAACAACAACAAGGTTACATTTGTATAGCGCCTTTCACGTCCCAGTGTGCAGCATTTCAGACCCGAGCTGGTGTCAGGGAGGGAGAAGGGAGGGGAGGGGAAGGGGGCTGACCGATGGAATGGTCGAAGAGGAGGGTTTTGAGGCGGGACTAGAAGCTAAGGAGGGGGCAAGGTGGAGTGATTCGGGGATGGAATTCCAGAGGTTGGGGGCAGAGTGGCTGAAGGCTCTCCCGCCAATGGTGGGGCAGGTGGGTCGGGGGACGTGGAGCAGGCCGGAGTCATACAAATACTCTCAGTAATCAAGATGCAGGGTGCATTCCTCCAGAGATGAAGTTTGCATTACATTCCAGACATGGAGAACTTTCTATATGTAAGTGGAAATCAGTCTGATTTGGCTGAGTTTCCATGTGTGTCAGACACCCGGCCGACCAAAAGATTCACTTGTTTAGGCACAATGGGAAATGAAGAGGGAGCGTTGCTTTCTCTGACTGTGTTACAATAGCATTTGCATTGGAGCACCTGGGACTTGGCCTGGATAAAAATGTGTGTTCTGATCCCCTGATAATTGCTCTCTATGTTTTCTGGACCTCCTCAAAATCTACCGCTCCACTCTAGCCTCGGCCAAGTCGTCCTTCTACTCCAGGATAATCCTGGAGGCGAAGAACAACCCCAGGCTTCTGTTTTCTACCACATCCCGACTCCTCCGTCCCCCCCGCCACCCCGCACAGGTCATCTCCTCCAACCTTCAGTGCGAGAAGATGCTGGATTTCCTTCAATCTAAAATCAAGGGAATCCGCTCCCCGGTCATTCTCCCTCCAACTTCCACCCCGCCACCCCTTCCCTCCCACCCTCCGACTCCTAACCATCCTCCCCTACACACCTTTGAACCCGTTTCCCCACCCTCTGTCACCAAACTCATCCTGTCCCTGAAACCCATCACCTGCTCCCTTGACCCCATCCTTACTCCACTCCTTATCTCTCAGCTCCATCTCCTTGCCCCACCTATCACAGACATCATCAACCTGTCCCTCTCCTCTGGCTCTGTTCCCATTCCCCTAAAAACTGCCATCATCACTCCCACTTTGAAAAAAACCCTCCCTTGATGTGTCGCAGCTATCAAGCTACCGGCCCATCTCCAACCTCCCCTTCCTGTCCAAGGTCCTTGAAAGAGTTGTTGCCTCCCAACTGCACTCTTTCCTCTCCACCCATTCATTATTCGAAGCCCTTCAGTCGGGTTTCCGTGCTGCCCATAGCACAGAAACCGCCCTGGTCAAGGTCACCAACGACATCTTGACCATCTGCGACCAGGGCTCCCTCTGCCTCCTCGACCTATCGGCAGCATTCGATACGCTATCCTCCACCGCTTGTCCTCCCACCTCAACCTTCAAGGCCCTGTCCTTGAGTGGTTTAGGTCGTACCTCTCCCACCGTCTTCATTTTGTTTCCACAAACGGCTTTTCCTCCAGCCCCCGCACTGTCTTGTGTGGTGTCCCTCAGGGCTCTGTCCTCGGTCCCCTCCTCTTCACCCTCTATACACTCTCCCTGTGGTGACATCATCCGCAGACATGGGGTTAACTTCCACATGTATGCGGATGACACCCAACTCTACCTTTCCTCCTCTACCCTCAACTCCACGACCCCCGATGTCCTGACAGCTGCCTGTCCGACATCGAGTCCTGGACGAGACACAACTTTCTTCAGCTCAACGTGTGCAAAACTGAGGCCCTCCTGATTAACCCGCGTCAGCGCCTCCGCACCTCAGGCGCTGACAGCATCAGCATCCAAGGCTGCATTCTCCACCTCTCAAAGCCAGTCAGGAACCTCGGGGTTCTGTTCGACCCTGAGCTGTCCTTTCTTCCTCATATCCGCGTCACAACTGGCACCGCCTTCCATCACCTCCGGAACATCGCCAGACTACGACACTACCTCACCCCTCACGCGGCTGAAACTCTGGTCCATGGTCTTTATCACCTCAAGGCTGGACTATGGGAACTCTCTCCTCGCCGGCCTTCCCGGCACCTCCGTCCACAAGCTGCAGGTCATTCAGAACTCTGTAGCTCGTGTACTGTCCCGCACCAGGCTTCGCGACCACATCGCCGTCGCCCTCACCCTCACCCTCGCTCGCCTCCACTGGCTTCCCATCCCCCAGAGGATCGAATTCAAGATCCTCATCCTCACCTACAAGGCCATTCACGGCCTCGCTCCCTCCTACCTCTCTGACCTACTATCCCCCTACCTACCTGCCCGTAACTTCCGTTCCTCTGGCTCCGGTCTGCTCCACATCCCCCGCCCCAACTGCCCTACCATCGGTGGCCGGGCCTTCAGCCTCTCAGCCTCGAGGCTCTGGAACTCCATCCCCCAGTGCCTTCGCCGCTTCCTCCCTTTCCTCCTTCAAGGCCGGTCTCAAGACCTTTCTCTTCGACCGTGCCATCCCCTCTCAACTCTCTAGCCTCTCCTCACTCACACCCTTCCCTCCCCTCCCCCTGACAATTTCCCCCCTCCGCGCTCCCTCCCTTCCCTCCCCCTGACCATTTTCCCCCCAAGGCTCGGGTCCTGACCCAACTGTCCAGCGCCTTGGGACGTCCTCCCGAAGTGAAAGGCGCTCTATAAATGGAATCTTGTTGTTGTTTCATATTCTTTATGTCCGCATACGCGCGCGCGCGTGTGTGTGTGTCCGGCATTGCAGACTCATAAGGAGGACGTGGAGAGAGAGCTGCGGCTTCGCGAGCTAGCGGAGCGAGACCTGGAGGAAGCGGCACAGCGACTGCAGATGGCACACGAGGAGATCCGCCACCTGACGGACAAACTGGATATGGAGAAGAAAATGCTGGAGCAGAACGGTGAGTGAGAGACCAAAGCTGTCATTAGGATGCGGGTTGAATATTGAGTGCTTGTGAATGAAAGCAGGACACAGTCCCAAAATGTCGCAGTATAGACACCGGACATTCAATCAGGGCCTGTGTTTTTCTCCACATAAATCACCGAGTCTTCAGTCACTACATTACTCGCCTCTGTATCTCCTTACCTCTATCCCTCTGCCTCGCCCCTCTATCTGGCTTTAAATCCCACCTTAAAACCTGTTTCTTCCCCCACACCGTTAAGTACCTTCCCCTCCCCTTTGCTTGGCGACTGACCCATCTCTGTGAACACATCCTATGTGAAGGGGTCCGGATAAAGGCAAGATAAAACAATATTCCTCTTCTTCAAGCACCTGCCTCATTTCCATGTGAAAGAGTCTGATTAACTTCTTTGGGTACGTGTTGCGGCAGAGCATTCCAAACTTCCCTCTAATATTTTTCACCGATTTTCTTAAGTTTGTGCTTTCCTGCAACTGATTCACCGACTAGTTGAAATAACCCTGTAAGCTTTATACTTAAAGACTGTAAATTTTTACCGGCCCCTCAGACCCCCCAAACTCCAGCTCATCCAGAACTCTGCCACCAGCACATAACCATCACCCTTTCCTCACCAAGTTACAATGACTCAGATCAAGCTCATCACTCACGCCTACAAATCCTTTCATGTTGTCTCTGTGATCTCTAGCCTCACTCTCCTGCTGGTCCCCACTTCTTGACAAACTCAGGTTCCCAGTCCCCTCTGTCCTGCCTTCATACACCATCTAGAACCTTATTCCCTCTATTTATATTTAACAGTTGCTTAAAAACCTACCTCTTTGCCCATGCACTCCCTCCTCCCTTTTCGGTATCCGGCATTGCCTCTGTAAAACATTCCCAAGACTCTGCTGTATGTGAAGGGTGCTGTACGGATGCCCCAAATTCTACACAGTGCATGCACCAATGAAGGTCTTTACAAGTTTGAGTTTTACATTCCATGCCTCCAGATAGCAAAACAAGGTCTGTTTGTCTATTTCTGGTCCTTGGTACTTGTGCTGCCACTGACCACTTGTGTTTTTGGCTCTTTATTATTATTATTATTATTATTATTTTATCTTCAGACCCTGCTCTGCAGGCAGCTCGTCGGGAGATTGAAGTGCTCAAGGAAGAAGTCGCTGAACTGAGGGAACGTGGTATGTGGAACTCGCACTTTGTGAAGCTTGATCATGAATCGAGTTACATTTGTTGCACTGTATCTTTTAGGTTTCAGTTGAAGCTATCTTCTCTAATTTCATTTCCCATACCAATTAATATTATTTTCCTCAAGTATTTATCCAATTTCCTTTAAATTCTATATCACGCACACTTTATTTAAAAATAAACCCTGAGCCTTTCTCCAGTTTATTGTCATCAAAACTGAAGCTCACGGCACTGCCTCCTCATCTCAGGCTCTGACCGCATTGATCTCCTCGTTTGCTCACTCCAACTCACTGAGTCTATGTGGAACCTCAACGTTTTGTTTGCCCTTCAAATCCCTTTCAAACCTTTCATCCAGACTCTGACCAAATCCCTCCATCCCTGTGGCATTATTTACCTCCGTACTACCCTACCCTCAACACAGCCAAAACCCTCATCCACACCTTTGTCACCTTCAGACTTCTTCTATGTCTTGTGGCCCCCCAGCTCCCCTCTCCATAAGTTCCAGACCATCCCGAATTTGTGTGTCAGCCTGGCAGAGTGAGCAGGATTTTTTTCTCTGAGTCAGAAGGTTGTGTGTTCAAGCCCAAGTCTAGGCTGACGCTCCAATACAGACCTGAGGTGTGCTGCGTTGTTGGATGAGCTTCCTTTGGATGAGCCGTTAAACTGAGGTCCCATCTCCCTGTTCAGGTGGACGTTAAAGCTCCCATAGCAACAAAAACAACTTGCATATATTTAGCACCCTTCACGTCCCAGAGAGCTTGACATTGGCGGAGCACGCCGCTGAGCTGGGGGAAGGTGATCATAGGCACTGTTGAATAGAGAAGGGAACTTGTACCAGTGTCTTGGCCAACAATCCTTCAACTAAAATTGGTCACTCATTCAATGGCTGTTTGTGTAACATTGCTGCGCGCAAATTTGCTGCCACGTTTGCATATGCTCCACTTTACAGTATATCCTGTGAAGTGCTTATTATTATCATCATCATCTCCACAGCCTTCATCCTGTCCCGCACCAGGCTCAATAAACCAATCACCTCCAGCCTCACTCGCCTCCACTGGCTTCCTATCCTTCAGTGGATCAACTTCAAGATCTTCATTCTCACCATCAGACGTCTCCATGGTCTTGAACTTTGTGATCTCCTGGAACCTACCCCTGGCTATTCCTTTCACTCTGCCAATTCCAATCTGCTTCATGCCCTCGTCCACTCCCCCCCACCATCAGCAGGCAAGCTTTCAGCCACTTTGCTCTCTCCCTTCAGACATTTTGCTCTCTCCCTTCAGCTCCCTCCTCCTCCCAAGCCTCTATCCACTCCAGGTCCCTCCCAGCTCAGGCTCCTATCAGTCTTCAGAAAAAGAAAGAATCCTTTCGCATCACAAAGCATGACCTCACACTGCCTGAGCCCATGTATAGTAGCCGGGCCATTCAGACCCATCTGGCTGAGAGTACCCTGCCCAAGTCCATTTAGTTGGAGGCACCAACCTATTTATAATGATCAGAACATTGCAGAGAAGTCCGTGGTGTCTACGGACGCAGTAGTTGTATATGTTTTGGGTCAATGTTCAACTCAGAGTTGAATCATGGCCAAGAGGGAGAACACGAAGTTGGAAGGAACGGTGGACCCAGATGATAAAAATCTCTTTGTTTTCTTCACAGATGTCAATGACATTGACAAAGCCAAAGAACAGAATAACAAATTGGATAAAGAAATCCTAGCGTTACGCGATCGTGTGAGATTGTTGGACGCGGAGCGGAAATCTCTATTAAAAGTGGTATGTTAGTGTGATGTGGATGGGTGGGGGGTGGGTGGAATGTGAGTTGTTGCTTCCCAGCTTCGCTCCTTCCTCTCCCGCCACTCCCTTCACAAAACCCTCCAATTGGGTTTCCATGCCGCCCACAGCACAGAAACAGCCTGGTCAAAGTGACAAATGACATTCTGTCCATCTGCCTCCTCGTCCTTCTTGACCTTTCTGCTGCCTTCGACACTGTCGACCACTCTATCCTCATCCACCACCTCTCCTCTCACCTCAGCCTTCACGGCTCTGTCCTTGACTGGATCAGATCATACCTCTCATGCCACCTCCACTTCATCTCTACAAATGGTTTCTCCTCTAGCCCCCGCATCGTCCTTTGCGGTGTTCCTCAGAGCTCTTGTCCTTGGTCCCCTCCTCTTCAATATCTATATGTTCCCACTTGGTGACATCATCTGCAGACATGGGGTCAACTTCCACATGTATGCGGATGACACCCTCTCTGCCGACACCCTCTCTGCCTCCACCCTTGATTCCAGGATCACTGCTGTGCTGCCAGAATGTCATCAAGTCCTGGATGAGAGCTAATTTTCTTCAATTAAACGTCAACAAGACCAAGGCTCTTCTGATTGGCTCCGGTCAGCGCCTCCACACCTCAGGCGCTGATAGCATCACCGTTTGACCCTCAACTATCCTTTCTACCCCACATCTGGACCATGATCTTCCCCTACCTCCGCAACATCGCCCGGCTCCGCCACTGTCTCACACCACAGGCCGTTGAAATCCTCATTCACGCTTTCCTTATATCAAGGCTTGACTATGCAAACTCCTTGCTTGTCGGCCTCCCCAACTCATCCCTCCTTAGGCTACAGATCATCCAGAACTCTGCAGCCTGTGTCCTCTCTCGCACCAGGCTCCGTGACCCTATCACACCCATCCTCGCCCAACTCCACTGGCTTCCCATCACACAGAGGATACAGTTCAAGATCCTGGTCCTCACCTTCAAAACCCTCCATGGCCTCGCTCCCCTCTATCTCTGCGACCTCCTAACCCCCTATCATCCTGCTTGCTCCCTCCACTCAGTGGAGGGAGCACTTCACTGCCACGCCTCGCTTGCCCCACTATTGGCGGGTGGGTCTTCTGCCACTCTGTCCCCACCCTCTGGAACTCCATCCCACAGTCCCTCCGCCTCGCCCCTCCCTTGCCTCCGTAAAGACCCATCTCAAGACCCTTCTCTTCGACTGTGCTTTCGATCACCCTGCTTCCCCCCCTGGCCTCTAACCTCCCCGATCCCGACTCCCAGCTCGGGTCCAAAACTCTTAACTGTCCAGCGCCTTGGGACGTCCTGACTTGAAAGGCGCTATACAAATTTTGTTGTTGTTGTCTTCTGAACTGGTGCTGAAGTTGAAAGTATGTGTTTTAAGAATTATCCCTGCAAATCCTTTGGCTCCTGAAGTGTGTTAGTCTGGCTCAGTTAGTAGCACTCTCACTCTTGAGTCAGAGGTTGTTGGTTCAAGCCCTATGGCAGGACTTAATACTCATATAGTCTATGCTGACGCTCCAATGCAGGGCTGGGGTGTGCTGCATTGATGGAGGTCCTGTCCTTTGGATAAGATGTTAAACCCAGATCTTGTCTGTCTGTTCAGATTAAAGATCACACAAAATAATTTGAAAAGATTTGATTTGCAACAATAATTTGCAACAATCTCTCATAAAATTGATCATTCACTTCATGGGTGGTTGTGGGACGTTGATATGCACAAATTGACTGTTGTGTTCGCCCACAAATTATACGGTCACCCCACTTTACAGTATATCCTGTGGAGCACTTTGAGGCATCCTCCCGATTTGAAAGGTGCTATGGCAACTGTAAAGGGGTTATTATCATTATCCCTTTGATTCCTGGAATGTGATTGCCAATATGACAGTGATGCCTGACACAATTTGGGGTAACTTTACCTTACTTTACCGTTCTATAGGCCAGTAAACATGACTAGAGCAGTTTACACACAAAGCTTGCAATGAATTACAGTAGAGCTGTGTCTGGCTGAAGCACTCGCCCATGTTACATCTTTCCCAGACCCAATCTCCCGAAGTCTCTCTGACTCTTTTTCCCGCATTCGCATTTTTACTCTTTTTTTTCTTCCTCTTCCCATCACATTTTTCAATTTTTGAAATGTTCTTTCTTATTCCTTTCTTGTCCAAAATTCACCCCCTAAAAGATTCAATAAATGGCAAAGTGCTGTGCGCAATTGGTTGTCGCATTTCGCCCACAAACTATGCAGTCAATTCACTTTACAGTATATTCTGTGAAGCACTTTTAGACGTCGCGAAGACATGATAAGGCTCTGTATCAAATACAATGATTATTATTATTATTAGTGGGTAGCACCCTTGCCATTGAATCAGATGGTCAACAGTTCCCATCATCACTTTGAACTCACATAGTCTAGGCAGATGCTCCAATACCATGCTGGGGTGAACGCTGCATTGTCCTTCAGATAAGATGTTAAACCGAGGTCTCATTTGCCTGTTCAGGTGGAGTAATGGTGGGGTAAAGAACCCAAAAAGAAAAGGGAGTTTCTCTCTCCCGGTGCTTTCACTAGCAATCCCCCAAATAAAAATTGGTCATTTACTTCATGGTTGTTTGTGGAATATTGCAGTGCATAGATTGACTGTTGTGTTCCAGCTACAAAATACACAGTCATAATGCTTTACAATATTGCAACTTCCTTCCAACATAAAAGGGGCTATATCAACTTCAAGATTATTATTATTAATATTAAATACAAGTTAACTAATTTGTTAATTATTTATTTATTTGAGTCATTCATTTAGGTTTTGTTTGCCTTATGATTTGTGTGAGCATGAAGGGAAACCCCTTCTATGATTCTAAGCAAAAAAAATTAGAAAGATTAAGACGGGATGTGAGGAAATGCTGACAGGTGACTTAAAGAAAAGCTTTGAAGGATTTTATAAAAAGATGAAAAGCAAAAGCAATAATTCAAAAAAAAGTTAGAGCCAATTAGAGATTAAAAAAAGGAAATCTAATTGTGGAAAATCTGAATCAAGGTTTCACCTCAGGTTTATGCCAGATAAAGTGAAACTGAGTACAAGGAAAGGAGATGCAGCAATAGGGAGAATTATAGAAAAGTAAATGGAACAAGATCCCAGGGCCTTTTCTGTGAAGCACTTTGAGTTTGAGATGTCTCGAAAGATGTGATAGGACATGATATCAAATGCAAGGATTATTATTAACCAAGCTGCTCTCTGGAGACAGCATTAGAATTCTATTACTTTCTCTGCAGAATGTACAAACATTTTTCAAAAAAATAGCCAGCTTCACTGCTAAAGCCAAACCTGTTGTAGAAAATGGAAGGTGTCAGTGTCAACAGGTGTGTGAGCCCCCCTCACCGTGGAGAGGTTTAACCCCCTGAAGCTGCTTTGTGAGGTCACTTTGTATTGTGATCTGGGGCACATAAAATCTGATTTCATTTCCACTGGTATTTTCCTGCCCAGGTGTTATCCAATGGGCAGAATATTTATGGCTATTTCCATCAATTTGGCACATTTGCAGCGGGGAATGCTGAAAATGACAGGAGTTGGCCGTTGAAAGAGGTGCGTAAAAAGTGATCCTTGGAGACGTGCCTCCTCCCCTGTGGTGATGCACTTCATTACAAATAATTAAGACTTATTCTGTTGCACGCTGACTGGAGCTGAGTGATGAGTTGAAACAAAATGAGCTGCAAAATGTGTATACCTAAGACTTGCCCATGGCAGTTATTGATTTGGGCACAAGTCAAGTCTGAGCCTAGTGTTAAACCAATTTAGGTAAAAAAAAATATATATACTTTTAGATTCATAGTGTTGGTAATTCTTGTGTTTTTGGTGAGCTCTTACAGTTTCTTCCCCTTCACTCTTTAGCCTTGTGACTCGCATTGTTCCTCTGACAGATAGAACAGGAGGTCACTAGGGATGAGGAGTTTGTTATTAAGAGAGAATTGAAAAGTTGGGACTCTTTCCACTCGAGCTGAGAAAGTCAAGAGCTGATCTTTTTGGACGTCTAAAAAAATCATGAAGGGGTCTGACAGGTTGAATAGTAACAATAAAAAAATTTCTACATTTGATATAGCGCCTTTCATGTCAGGAGTGCTTTATGAGATGCACTGTAAAGTGCAATGAGCGTGCATTTTGTAGGCGAATGCAGCAGTCAGTTTGTACACAGCATACATAGACGTGAAGTGAATGACTAATTTTATCTGGGGGATTGTGGGCCAGGACACTGGAAGAATCACCCTTCTCATTTCCAGTAGTGCCGTGGAATCTTTAACGTCTAACTGTCCCAACAAAAGTTTGGCAGCTACTCAGAACTGGATAAGAGGGTAAGCCTAGACAGTGTGAATGGACATGGGAAGCGAACAGTAGAGTGGGAGTAGGTTAGGTGGGTCAGACAGAGGATAGCATAAATATAGACTTGATGGGCCTGTTTGTTTGCTATACAGTTCTATGATTTGAACTGACCTGCTCTCTGGTACCATTCTCTTTTTTGTCATTCATAATATAATAATAATCCTTGCTTTTGATATTGCGCCTTGTCATGTCTTCGAGACGTCTCAAAGCGCTTCACAGAATACACTGTAAAGTGATTTGACTGTATATTTTGTGGGCGAAACGCAGCAGCCAATTGCACACAGCAGTATCCCACAAACAGTCGTGGATTATGTGACCAAATTTTTTTTAAAATTTATTTTGAAGGAATTATTACCCCTGGAAAAGCATTCCACCAATCATTTAACAACCGGGTTCCTACTTACTGCTAGGTAAACAGAGGCGTAGAGAGTAAGGAAACTTGCCCAACATTTTGCCCTGCCACAAATTGAACCCAGGTCCTTTCGCTTGTGAGGTGAGTGCTCTAACCACTGAGCTACAGGACTCCACAATGTGAGGAATAAAGACATATCAGAGACCAGACTCAGTGCCGCTCACCCTTTCTCCTCTCTTTTATGAAAGAGAAGCTCTCTGACCTTGGCTGTGTGACTGAGGGCTGACAATGCACTGTGCTGGCAATCAGACATTTCATACTGGAGTTCCAGTCAGCTGTTGCCAAATCGTCCGGACATCTCTGATGCCTTCATCACCAGCCTACCCCAGCAATGCTAATTAATTAAAAACTAATTCACAGCCTATATTCTCACCCCATCATCCCAGTCCTTCAGATCATATCTGAAGACCTTGCCAACAGTCCATTTCCCTACTCGCCGTCCAACTGCATACACCATTGTTAAGCAATGCAGGGTGCAACCCCACATGAAGGGAACTATATAAGTGCACGTTGTTGTTGAATTAATGCAGTTTTGTGCTGCTTACTATATAAAATTAAAATTTTCCTTCAATGCCAATGGCACCTCATGAGTTGCCACAACTGTCTGTCAGACATCAAGTCCTGGATGAAAGTCAATTTTCTACAGTTGAGTGTCGACAAGACCGAGGCCCTCCTGGTTGGCTAGGTCAGCACTTCCGTACCTCAGGCACTGACAGCATCATGCATGGATGCACTTTCCACCTCTCTGTGCCAGTGCAGAACCTTGGTGTCTTGTTCGACCCTCAACTGTTTTTTAAACCCCACATCCGTGCCATTACCTGTTCGGCCTTTCCGCACCTCTGCAACATTCTGTCACTACCTCTCCCCTCAGGCTGCTGAAACCCTCATCCACGCTTTCATTATGTCCAGGCTTGACTACTAACTTCCTGTTCACTGGACTTCCCAACTCTTCCCCCAACAACCTATGATTATTAAGAACTCTTCACCTTGTGTCCTCTCCTGCACAAAGCTTTGTGAGCCAATCATCTCCATCCTTGCCCTGCTTCACTGGCTCCCCATCCCCCAGAGGATTGAGTTCAAGAACCTTGTCCTCACCTTTAAAACTCTCAAAAGTCTTTCTCCTCCTTACCTCTGCGACCTATTAAAACTTCACCAACCTGTCCACTTCCTCCGCTTGGCAGGCACTGGCCTGCTCCACGTCCACCGCCCTTCCCGCTCCACTATCTGTGGTCCGGCCTTCAGCCTTTCTGCCCCCACCTCTGGAACTCCACCCCGGAGCCCCTTGGCTAATTACCTCTCTTGCCTCTTTCAAGGCCCGTCTCAAAAATTTACTTTTCAATTGTGCCTTTGCTCTTCCCTTCTCAGCCCACCTTGTTCTCCACTCCTTTCTGATTCCAACCCGCAGCTCGAGTGCAAACCCTTCACTGTCCAGTACCTTGGGCTGATCTGACATGAGTGACCAATTTTATTTGGGGGATTGTTGGCCAAGGCACCGGAAGAAACTCCCTCCTCTTTTCGAATAGCACCATGGGATCTTTAACGTCTAACTGAACAGGCAGACAGGTCCTTGGTTTAACATCTCATCTGAAGGCTGGCACCTCCAGCAATGCAGCGCTTCCCCGGTGTTGCATTGGAGTGTCATCCTAGACTATGTGAGTTCAGGTCTCAAGAGAAAATTCGATGTATACATCAGAGATAAAGGAATAGAGAGATATGGGAGGGGTGATTAGAAGCATAAATACAGTAACAGATTTTGGCGAAATGCAATCTCTGTAATTCTTTGTAAGTTCTGATCTGCAACCCAAACCTTCAGACTCAGAGACAAGAGTTCTACCAACGGAAACAGACTTACACTCGAATCATTGTAAAAGTTTTTGTGATGTGATAAGTTGCAATTTTTTTAATATACTAAATCTCTTCCCTTGTATATCTGAGCAGGTTGAAAATCTTCAAAAATCTCTGGGGGTAGCAAAGCCTGCGGAAATGGAACAATCACCATTTTATCAGAAGTCATCAGACCTTAGAATGCATCATAGCACAAACCAGGAGTTGGTAAGATGAGTTATTAGCTGACTTATTCCACACCCCTCACTTTCACATCAATCTATACTGATAGGTCAGCCTATGGATAGTTGGAAGCAGTCTCGGCTCCGAGTCAGAAGCTTGTGGGTTCACGCCCCACATCAGGACTTTGAACTTTCAATCTCAGCTGACCCTCCAATGCAGTGCTGGGGTTGGAGATGCCGTGCTTCAGATGTTACAACAAATTGAGGTTCCCTTGTGCCTGTTCAGGAGGACTTCAAGTTCCCTCCCATAGCATTACTCGAAAAAAGAAGGGAGTTTTTCAAGACCATTTGAATCCCTTAGCTCTCGACAACCTAAGGAATTGTATCAAATGCAAGATTTATGACACCCTTCCTCCACCTTGTGCCTGGCCAACAATCCTCCAGATGATTTGTTCATTCAGCTCATGGTAGTCTGTGGGAAGTTCATTCTCACCCTGTTGAGCACAGAAGGCAGTCCTCTCTTGTGGTGAGGTGGTTTCCTGCTGCATATTGTACAAGCATTAGCAAATTGTTATCACAATTCTAAATATTGACTGTACCATAGAGCTTGGCTCAGTTTGTTGCAAACTTGCCTCTGACCAGTACATTCGTAGTATTGAGCCTGACATTCCAGGGAGAGTGCTGTATTGTCAGAGATGCTGTGCTTCAAATAAGACACTAATCCATAGGCTTCAATTGGATGTGAAAGACCATCCTGACCAATAATTCTCCAGATTAATGGGTCGTTCACCTCATGGCTCTTTGACAATATGCAAAACAATAATAATCCTTGCATTTGATGTAGCGCCTTATCATCTTTAAAACGTCTCAAAGTGCTACACAGAATATACTGTAAAGTGAATTGACTGGATATTTTGTGGGCGAAACGGCTGCTATATTTGCCTTAATAAACAGACTCTACACTTGACAAAATTGTGAAGTAACAGATGTTATTAAAAAGATTTGTTCATTCATTGAGTTTGATCTCGATCCACACCGTCACTGTACAATAACAGTAATGTTCTCCATCTGTGTTGTTGAAACTCAGTGGGATGACAGTCGCAAAGAGGAAGTCCACGCATCACCACAGATGACTCCCGTACCAGCGACACGCAAGAAGAAAAAGCCACTTTCAGGTGCCTGTATAGGTCCTAAGGTAAATGATCAGGGCATGCCTCACTTGTTGCAGGTTATACAATGTAATTTGATGATAATTTGAGGAAGATTTAGAAGAAGTCGGGAACAGATGGGTGAGATTATAATCATTGGATGTTACAATTGTTGCTGTGCAACTGCTAAGTATCCTATTTGTTTTATTCAAAGACAGCACCCCCAACAAGCAGGAGTCCCCCAGTATCTCTTTGGAGTGTCAGCCTGGACTGTGAGCGTGATGTGGGGCTAAAAACCCACAAATGGTCCAAAGCGAAATTGCAACAAACTGAGCCAAAACATAAAGCTGTCCTCAACAATTAGCATGGTTACAAATTGTTAATGTTCATTACAATGTGCCGCAGATTCTGTCCGTCATACAATCCTCCCTATTCAAGCTAAGACCGTCCAAAACTCTGAGCCCACGTGCTCTCCCGCACCAGCTCAGCGAGTCCTACACCCCCATCCAGGAGAAAGGGTATCTCACTCGGTGTCCTGGCCAAAAATCCAATAAAATTGGTCATTCACTTTGCGACTGCTTGCAGGATGTTGCTGTGTGCAAATTGGCTGCCACATTGTCGACAAAACAATAATCCTTTCATTACTATTATAAATAGCTGTCAGGGGACAGAACCCCCACTTCCCACCACCCACCCCCGGATTTCTCTCTCAGATCTACCTAAATTTTATCGTTTGTGAAGTGCAGATTTTTCTAATTCTCATCACTGGAGAAGCTTCTGACTTAATATTTTGCTTATAACAAGTAAACACCTGATTTCTTCAAACTTGGAAGTCTGATTTAGAAAGTCCTTCTCGTTGGCTAAGGAGAGAATATGCTTACCACTTCTTTACCAATTGGGTTAAAATAACATATTACTATTGATTTCTGTGTCCATTGTGATTAACTTCAACTCACTGATGTACATTTATAATCCATCTCCATGGTGCCCAGGATTACACTGCTTGCACTTCTTCACCGGAAACAGATGGGAATGGGACTGATCCGCCCCCCGAATGCCCACGTTCCAAGGCTGAAGAACTCCATAAAAGGTACATTTACAGATAATAATTATAATAATAATCCTTGCATTTGATCTAGCGCCTTATCACGTCTTTGAGATGTCTCAAAGCGCTTCACAGAATATACTGTAAAATGAATTGACTGTATATTTTGTGGGCGATGTGCGGCAGTCAATTGCACACAGCAGCGACCCACAAATGGATTGAGTGACCAATTTATTATTTTTTTGAAGGAATTATTACCCCCAGAAAAGTGATCCGCCAATCGACTAACAACCAGGCTCCTACTTACTGCTAGGTAAACAGAGGCATATGGAGTAAGGAAACAAGGATTATTTATTTATAAGAACACCTTCCTCTTTTCAAACATTGTCACGTGATCTTTAATGAGTTTAAGTGGATGTTAAAGATCCCCATGGCACTTTTCAAAAAGGGAAGAGAATGAAGTTGTTCCCTGTTTCCTGGCCAACAATCCCCCAGATAAAATTGGTCATTCACTTCATGGCTGTTTGTGGGACTTTGCTATGTGCAAATTGGACTGCCGTATTTGTCTACAATCGATAGTCACTACACTTCCCAGTACATCTTGTGAAGTGTTTTGAGACATCTCGACAACATGATAAGACACGAAGGCACTAAATGTAAGGATTATATTATTACATATTCACCATACTAAATTCTGTACCCTCATCACACCAGTTCTAGCCAGGCTGCACTGGCTCCCTATCGCCGAATGGATCAATCCAAGATCCTCACACTTGTCTTCAAATCCCTTCATGCCCTGGCACCTCCCTAACTCTTACTCTTACTTACTTACTGCTTATTCCTCAACCCACTACCCACTGCCTCCGCTTGACTGGCTCCGGCCTCCTGCATGTCCCTCATGCCCTCCGTCTCACCATCGGTGGCCACATTTTCATCCAATATGTCCCGAAACTCTGGAACACACTTCCTGTATTCCTCAGCCTTGCCCCTTTACTTCCTCATCTTCAGATTGCGCCTGAAGACCTTCCTCTTCAACCAGTGCCTACAATCACTTTATCCCCATCCCCGGAGTCGTGCTCCGCCACTCTCAAGCGCTCTGCATGAGGAGCTCTATATAAATGCAAGTTGTTCTTGTTAATCTGTAAATTTAGAAATTGATGATCAACAATTTAGCACTCCCGCAGCCCTGCACTAAGTGTCAATCTAGACCAGGGGAGTCCAACCTTTTGGCTGCTCTGGGTCGATGCCATATTTGAGAAACATATGCAGGCCACATAAGCAATTTTTTTGTGTTTCCTTTCGAGAAACAGGACAAGACAAACATTTAGACAATAGAGTTTTACCTAGTGTCCTGGTCAACAACAATCCCCCAGGTGAAGCACTTTGGGACATAATAATAATAATAATAATCCTTGCATTTGATATAGCGCTTTTCACGTCGGGAGGACGTCCCAAAGCGCTTCACAGAACACACTGTAAAGTGAATTGACTGTACATTTGTGGGCGAACGCGGCAGCCAATTGCGCACAGCAATGTCCCACAAACAGTCGTGGATTGAAAATGACCAATTTATTATTGTTTTTGGTTTTGGAGGGATTATTATTAGGCTCTGTGTGGAGTAAGGAAACTTGCCCAAGGTTTCGCCCTGTGCCTGGAATTGAACTCAGGTCTCTCGCTTGCAAAGCGAGTGCTGTAACCACTGAGCTACAGGACTCCACGACATCCTGAAAGGCACAATACCAAATGTGAGCCATTGTGTTGAACCCCGTCTACACTTGGGATTATAAGAGACATCTCTCTCTTTGATTTGAAGGTGCCATCAGGAGGTCAGTCGCCTGGATACCAAGAACCATGAGCTGATGCAGAGATTCCACAAAGTGCAGGAGGAGCTCGAAGAGGTAACAGAAAGGAACGAAGCACTGGAGGGAGCCCTCGAGGACATCCGGAACCAAATGAAAGAAGAGAAAGCTGCCTTTGAGAACGAGAAAGAATCATTGAAAAAGAAGGCAAGTCCGCAGAGCCGACACCCATAAAATGAACCCAAGGGCGCGTACCCCCTGTGTCCTTACTGGGCTATCTATGTTGGCTGTCCACTTAATGTGGTCAAAACGAAATCTCCAGATGAAGCAATGAAACATGTTAACTTTTGCCTTTGGTTAGGCAGGTTTGACAACACCTCCGACAATCCAGCACTCCCCCAGCACTGCACTGGAGTCTTAGCTAGACTAAAGAGTTAAGGACTAAAGTCCTGGTATTGGGGGCAGTTTAAGCTCTAAAAACACAAGGCTGGTACCAGGCTGATAATCGAGGGCGTTGCATTGTTGGAGGTGCTCTGATTTGACAGAGTCGTTAAACCAAGTTCCTGTCTAACTGGGCAGGTGGTTGTAATAGATCATGAGACAATATTTGAAAAGGCGAATTTCTCCTGGTGTCCTGAACAATCCCCCAGATAAAATATAAAATTGGTTATTTTGTGATCCTGGTCAACCCCCCACCACACACATACATACACACATACGCACGCACGCTTACAATTTGGGTAATAATGTTCTGCCTGTTTTTGTAGATCGCAACTATGGAGTCCGATCATATGAAACTCAAACGCAAATACAAGGATCTAAAGGCCAAAAGCCACAATGTGATTGGTGCACTTGGGAAGGAGCAGGATGTGAGGGAGGTGAGTGGCCTATGTAGCCTTGAGTATGTGAGGTGTTGCCAGTTAATGTAGATTTGATAAGGAGATGTGAGAGGAGTTTCAATGATGGGTGACGGACCGCACCTGGAAGAATTCAGAGAGGGTCGGAAAAACATCTCCCAGAGGTGTGTCACGGGGGAAATGATTTGCCATTAATGGCTGTTGGGGTAGAGTTGATTAGGGTAAAATGCTAATATATCCTTGTCAATAATTCTGCTAAGCAGTGGTCTGATGATGGTTTCATCGATGTCACTGTTGAGCTCAGTGAGGGAAATTCAGCCTTGTGTGCCCAGGCAACATTGATCAATTCCACTCCTGACCTTGACTCCACCACTGTGAGGCGCTCCGAGATGCTAACCCGCGTGAAGGGCGCTATATAAATGACTTGTGCATTTCCTCTACAGCAAATGAAGTCAAATGAAGCTACTTGTGCAGAACTACAACAGAAATACGAGGAGGAAAAGAAAAGAAGGGATTATCTGGAAGCGACTCTGGTCACCACACAGCAGGGGAAAACCCGGAACGAGGAGGTAGGGCCACATTCCCAGTCCAGGGAGTCACACTGGCTAATCTAGCTATATACTCAAGGTCTAGGATGCACTGGTGGGCAGATTAGGAAACACTTTAGTTTTAATTCACAAGAATAATCTTCATAAACTGGTGAGGACTGTTTGAAAAGGGTATGTAGAGCCCCTATCAATGCAACATCAAATATACATCAGTTCAGAACTGAGACTAAACTGAGAATGATGGCTTTACGTTACTGCTGTGCGAGCAGGGAAAACATGCTTATGTTTTTGTAGCTCTGTAAGGCATTGAAATATTGCAAAATGATTTACAGTAATTACTGTTTAGGGTTTTTTGTTGGTAAACTTTTCCTAAACTCCTGTGTGCCTGGGAAAGGGCATGAGCACTCACTCACTCCCTCCCTCCCTCCTTCTCCTCTCTCCAATGTCTCCCCTCACTGGAAGCCTCTCCTTGGCACCTCCCAGCTTAGCCTGTCTGATCATGACCTAAGCCTGTGGCAACTGCATGGCCACTGTCCAGTATTGGAATGCTAACACCTCACCATTTCTATCACCTCCCACACAAATCTCCTACTCAGGGAAAGTCAATAATAGGGACAAGCAACCTGTTATCCTGAAACTGATTTTCTCTCTCTTTCTCTCTCTCCAAACTAGAAAAAGACCCTGTCATTTTAATAATTTTAAGAAAATCATTTTGGTCACCTCACCAAAACTTTTCAAACAATTCTACATTCTAGTCATTTGGGACCGTGCATTGCCAGTTCTCTCTGATAATAAAAAAAGAACTAACTTTGAGCATCACCATCTGACCTAGGAATTGGAGGCTTACCGGACACAGGTGCACTATCTGAACACAGAGCTGAAGGAAGCCCGGAACATAACTCAACACACTAATGCCATGAACACCACTGTGGAAAAACTGCAACACGATAAGTGCATTCTGGAGAAAAAGGTGAGATGAGATGCACAAGACATTAGTCATTCGTGCAATCAGAAATGGGGTCATCTGTCCAATTTTGAGCAGCACGGAAACATCATTGATTTTGAACCTGTGGGCTTTGTCAGTGGACAGGGTAGCCAACGTAGGCGAGAACTGGGCTTAATATTTATATAGCGCCCCTCATGCAAGGTGGCGTTCCAGAGCACTCATCGGCAGGACTTGGAAAGATAAACAAGTCACTGGGGACAGGGAATCCTCCCACTCAGCTCCTGTTAACCCTGCAAGCCAAAGCTCTATCGGGTAGGGTGGTCCTAGCTGGACAAGCAGCAGGAAAGCTTGTCAGACAGTGATATCAATGGAAAGCTATGTAGCTTTAGCTGGTTAGACTCCAGCAGTTAAGCCACTGTTTGCTCTGGAGTCCCCAAGCCTTGGTTTTTGCCAACCTGGTCTAATATTCTCCGGAATTAGGTAAGCATGATGTGTTCCTCCAGGGAGAGAGTGTGCATTCCATTCCAATAAATATCTCTGGAATAGGTGGGATGTATGGAAATCTCAACTTGGTTTGGATACTCTTAATACCACGCATTGGAGATGGATTACATAGGAATATCAGAACAGGAGTAGGGGCCATTCAGCCCCTCGAGCCTGTTCTGCCATTCTATAAGATCATGGCTGATCTGTACCTCAACTTGGATACCACGCATTCGTCACATCAAGGCTCGATTATGGAAATTCCCTCCTTATTGGCCTTCACAACTCTTCCCTTCACAAGCTCATCCAAAACTCTGCAGCTCGTGTACTCTCGTGCACCAGGCTCCGTGACCCCATTGCTCCCACCCTCTCCAACTCCACTGGCTCCCCATCCCTCAGAGGATCGAATTCAAGATCCTCGTCCTCACTTTCAAGGCCATCCATGGCCTTGCCCCCTCCTACCTCTCTGACCTGCTGACTCCCTACCAACCTGCCAGCTCCCTCCGTTCAGCGGGCTCTGGGCTGCTCCATGTCTCCCGTCCAACCAGCCCTAACATCGGTGGCCGGGCTTTCAGCCTCTCTGCCCCCACACTCTGTAACTCAATCCCATGGTCCCTTTGCCTCGCTTCCTCCCTCACCTCCTTCAAGGCCGGTTTCAAGACCCGTCTCTTCGACCGTGCCTTTGGTCATCCTCCCACCTCTCTGCTTTCCCTCATCCCTACTCCACCCTTCCCCCATGCTTGGGTCCTGACCCCTGACTGTCCAGGGACTTGGGACATTGTCCCGACATGAAAGGCGCTCTGTAAATGTAATTTTGTTGTTGTTATTGTCTTAAGCATGGTGATGGGTTTCTGCATGTGTCAGACTGACCCGGCTGACCAAAAAAAGATCTTTTCCTGTGAATTCAAGTGCTGATTTGTCAGATGTAAAACTTAGGTGTGAACTGGATGTGTTTGCTCCCTCCCTTGCCTCCTTCAAGTCACGACTCAAGATCTTCCTTTTCGACGGTGCCTTCAGCTGCCCTCCTACCTCTCTGCCCTCCCTCATTCCAACCCTGCCCTCCACCCCATGCTCGGGTCCTGACCCCCGACTGTTCAGCACATTGGCACGTCCTCCCAATGTGAAAGGGCTTTACAAAAGTAATTTTGTTGTTTGTTAGGTGTGCAAACTGGAGGAGGAGTTGAGGAAGGCTCGGAAGGAATTGAAAAGCTGTAATTGGAAAGAGAAAGCGGAGGGCTATTCACACCAGCTAGCAGACCAGCAGAACTCCCTGTATAAAATGGAGGAGGTGCGGACCACTGCAGAGCAAGAAATTAACAAACTACGGTAAATAACATGAGCAATGGGAGAGAGGTAAAAGCAGATAAGAGACATCTCTGGGAGTTACAACTAGTCAGCTTTATGACACAAATCACTGAGAAATCACCTCACAACACACCAGTTATACAGTCAGGTCTGTACTAAGAAACGGAGAATGGATTACAACAACAAGATTTCATTTATAGAGCGCCTTTCACGTCGGGAGGACATCCCAAGGCGCTGGACAGTTGGGTCAGGACCCGAGCATTGGGGAAATGGTCAGGGTGTGGGGAGGGAAGGGAGGGAGCGAATAGGGGGGAAATGGTCAGGGTGAGGGGAGGAGAGGGAGGGAGCGAGGAGGGGGGGAATGGTCAGGGTGAGGGAGGAGAGGGAGGGAACGAGGAGGGGGGGAATGGTCAGGGTGAGGGGAGGGAGTGAGGAGGGGGGAAATGGTCAGGGTGAGGGGAGGGGAGGGGAGGGAGGCAGCGAGGAGGGGGAAATGGTCAGGGTGAGGGGAGGGAAGGGAGGGAGCGAGGAGGGGGTAGAGAGTCGAGAGGGGAGCTGAAGGCACTGTCAAAGAGAAAGGTCTTGAGACCGGCCTTGAAGGAGGAAAGGGAGGAAGCGGCGAAGGCACTGGGGGATGGAGTTCCAGAGCCTCGGGGCTGAGAGGCTGAAGGCCACTGATGGTAGGGCGGTTGGGACGGGGGATGTGGAGCAGATCGGAGCCGGAGGAACGGAGGGTACGGGCAGGTAAGTAGGGGGATAGTAGGTCGGAAAGACAGGAGGGAGCGAGGCCGTGAATGGCCTTGTAGGTGAGGATGAGGATCTTGAATTCAATCCTCTGGGGGATAGGGAGCCAGTGGAGGCGAGCGAGGGTGGGAGTGATGTGGTCGCGAAGCCTGGTGCAGGACAGTACACGAGCTACAGAGTTCTGAATGACCTGCAGTGTGGAGGGAGGTGGCGGGAAGGCCGGTGAGGAGAGAATTCCCATAGTCCAGCCTTGAGGTGATAAAGGCGTGAACCAGAGTTTCAGCCGCGTGAAGGGTGAAGTAGTGCCGTAGTCTGGCGATGTTCCAGAGGTGATGGAAGGCGGTGCCAGTTGTGGCGCGGATATGAGGAAGTAAGGACAGCTCAGGGTTGAACAGAACCCCGAGGTTCCTGACTGGCTTTGAGAGGTGGAGAGTGCAGCCTTGGATGCTGATGGTGTCAGCGCCTGAGGTGCGGAGGCGCTGACGCGAGCCAATCAGGAGCTCAGTTTTGCGCACGTTGAGCTGAAGAAAGTTGTGTCTCGTCCAGGACTCGATGTCGGACAGGCAGCTGGAGTTGAGGGTAGAGGAGGAAAGGTAGAGTTGGGTGTCATCCGCATACATGTGGAAGTTAACCCCATGTCTGCGGATGATGTCACCACAGGGGGAGCATATAGAGGGTGAAGAGGAGGGGACCGAAGACAGAGCCCTGAGGGACACCGGACGAGACAGTGCGGGGGGTGGAGGAAAAGCCGTTTGTTGAAACAAAATGAAGACGGTGGGATAGGTACGCTAAACCACTCAAGGACAGTGCCTTACATGAGAACATCAGAACAGGAGTACAACAACAAGATTACATTTGTATAGCGCCTCTCACTTCAGGAGGACGTCTCAAGGCGCTGGACAGAGTACTTGAAGGAGGCTAAGGAGGGGGTGAGGCAGAGTGACTGGGGGATGGAATTCCAAAGGTTGGGGGCAGAGTGGCTGAAGGCTCTCCCACCAATGGTGGGGCGGGTGGGGCGGGGGACGTGGAGCAGGCCAGAACTGACTGTGTGCAGGGAACGGGCAGGTTGGTAGGGGGTTAGGAGGTCGCAGAGGTAGGGTGGGGCGAGGCATGGAGGGCTTTTATGTGAGGACCAGGATCATGAACTGGATCCTCTGAAGGATAGGGAGCCAATGGAGTCGGGCGAGAGTGGGGGAGATGGGGTCATGGAGTTTGGTGCGGGAGAGGACATGGGCTGCAGAGTTCTGGATTATCTGCAGCCTGTGAAGGGAGGAGTTGGGAAGGCCGACACGCAGGGCGTTTGTATAGTCGAGCCTGGAGGTGATGAAGAGATCACTCTTGAAGATCAAGAGTTTCAGCGGCCTAAAGGGTGAGGTAGGGCGATGTTACAGAGTTGAGAGAAGGCTGATCTGTACCTCGACTCTCAATTACTGTTCTTTGCCCCATATCCTTTGATACCCTGACCCTAACAATCATCTATCCACCTCAATCTTGAACATTTGAATGGATCCAGCATCCGCAGCCTTTTGGGGACAGAGTTCCAGATTTCCACTACCCTTTGGGTCGAAAAACTTCCTCCTCATTTCACTCCTTGAATAGTCTTGCTCTAATTTTAAGATTATGCCCCCTTGTTCTGGAATAGAATATAACAGTTGATATTTGCTCTCCCAAGAAGCCATCTTTCGGGAATCAATCTCAGGTCCTCTCGCTTGTGAGGCGAGTGCTCTAACCACTAAGATACAAATCATTATTTTTGACCAGTAGATTTTGGGTTCTCAGGTGAGTGTTTATTTTAACTTTCTTCCCCCTCCACCCGGTCCTTTCTTCCTCAGTTTCCAGATGAGCGAAGCTTGTAGCAAGGTGGAAGGTTCACAGAACAAGCTGACCTGTGTAGTGAAGGAGAACCAGCAACTGCTCCAGGAGAACGGTGCCTTACGGCAACAAATCTGCAGCCTGCAGCAGGAGTGCAAGCTGCTGACTCAGGAGAACACTGACCTGCGGCAGAAGTTCTGTAATTACCAGGTGGAGACCAGCCACCTCCACCAGGACAACGCTTCCTTTCGGCAGCAGCTTGTGTGCTCTCAGCAGGAAAACCAGCGACTGAACCAGGAATTGTGCAACATCCAAAAGCAGCTGGGTGGCCAAATGCTGTGCAAAGAGGATAATAATAACCAGGTTACACAGTTCACTTCTATTTGTTGCATTCTAATCCTGTTGGTGCCTTCAGCCTCTACGCCCTGAAACTCTGGAACTCTCTCACTCAATCCATCCGCCTTGCCCCCTCCCTCTCCACTTTCAAATCCTGCCTAAAGCCCTTCCTTCTTGATCCTGTTTACAGTCACCTCTCACCCCCTCCCTCCCCACTGGCTCGGGGTCAAACTATGCAACTGTCAAGCGCTCCAGGAACCTACCCCGCTGAAGGGCGCTATATAAATGCAAGTTGCGGTTGTTGGGTATGTTTGAGCCACTGCTAACTGAGCAACCAGTTAATTTAATTTAATTTAAAATTACCAGCCCTTTGGAAAATGGGTCAGAAGACTCAAGCCCCACTCCAGGACTTACAGAGGTTTACACTTAAGCAGATGGAACCACAGATACAGGCCACTCGGCTCAAAGAGTCCATGCCAGAGTTTATGCTCCACATGAGTCTCTACCCACCCCTTACTCCCTCCCACACCGGTTCTGTTCCCTTCTCTCCCATGTGTATGTCACTTGATTTGTGCTCACAGCCTTGGCTGGTATTCCATTGTAGTACTGGGGAACCTCTGCATTGTCAGAGGTGCTGTTTAAGGCACTAAGTCCACAAAGCTGAGGTTCCATCTGCTTCTTGTGGTGGTTCTGATGGCATTAAAGACTCAATAGCGCTATTTTGAAGAAAACAGAGCGTTTCTCTCAGTGTTATAGCCAGTATTTTGATTCCTCCCCAAATTGACCGAAAAACAGATGAACTAATCTGTGCATTCTATTGTTGTGTGTGGCACAGATTAGCTAACAATCACTGCACTTCCATGCAATTTATAATATAATAATCCTTGCATTTGATATAGCGCCTTGTTTGTGTGAAGTGCCTTGAGACTTAATAAAGCACTGTGTCAAACATAGAATCAGTTTGTACTATACTATAACCTGTGCTATAAAATGGGAGCCCATCTTTCAGTCAGCGGCTGCCAACATTGTAACTTGTAGGACTATTCATAATTTCAGAACAGCAGTGATTTTTGTTTTAAACACGTTTTCTGTCCTATAATAATTAAACATTTTTCTTGTTACTTACGCGATGAAACAATCTGGAGTACAATCCACCCAATGTAATGAACAATTATAAATTTCACTTATACACGCGACAGTGCATAGCCAGACTATCGGTGTAGCAAGTTCTGAAATACTGGTCAAGTACTGTTTGAGACGGTGATCAGGAAACAATTACAGTCAATATAATTTTGCATTTTCCACACGTGGAGTCCTGTAGCTCAGTGGTTAGAGCACTCGCCTCCCAAGTGAGAGGACCTGGGTTTGAATCCTGGGCAGGGCGAAACGTTTGGCAAGTTTTCTTACTCCACACGCCTGTGTTTACCTAGCAGTAACTGGGAACCCAGTTAGTTGATTGGTGGATCGTTTTTCTGGGGGTTATAATTCCTTCAAAAAAAAATTGATCATTTAATCCACTACTGTTTGTGGGACACTGCTGTGCACAATTGGCTGCCACCCACAAAATACAGTCAATTCACTTTACAGTATATTCTGTGAAGCGCTTTGAGACGCCCCTTATATTTGCCGGGTGATTTGCCGCTATCTCCATTATATTGCCCAGGCACCACCATGAAATTAGCTGCCATGAGAATGGCCGTGAAGTTTAGCCAGTGTCACTGTGTTTGAAAGGTGCGCTCAGTGACGTTACTTCATAAAGACCAGACAACACTTTTGAGTGGCACCTAGTGAAGATAAATCCCTGGTCTCTCTACAGTGGAGAGATACAGCACAGTGACCCTTAGTAAAGTCTCCTTACATTTCCCGCACTGGTGATACAGCAAATATGTCCCCCTCTCGACACACAAAAACATTAAATCATCTCCTCTGTGAACCACACTAAGCAATAGCACCCACCACCTGTTTATCCCATTACTTCATTAACTATCCATTCTTACAGAGGGAAGCGTAGGTCATTCACCCATTGTACTGCATCACTTCTCTTTAATCCCTCTCTCGATCCTTCTCCTCATCACTCTATGGTGCTTTTTGGGTGCTAAGCCAGCTCTGTTTGGAATGATAATACTGATCCAGGTTTAAGAGCTTTGACCACCCCCCCACCCACCCCCAACAACCCTCTGAAGTGTGGAAACTCCTCACATGTTTCTTCTGCTAACAATCCTGCTATTCCCCAAAATACTTTTCCATTATTTACTGTGTTTGCTGGGAGAATTGTAAACACCCAATTCATATCTTCTCTCAATCATTCTGCTCTGTTTAGTCAGTGTTTCTTCATAGGTGTATCAACCACCACAGCCTTATTTCTAAAATTCCTCAAACCAGAGGCAGCAAGCAACCTGGGATAATGGACTGAACCAGAATTCAGCCCCATTACACTGCTTTTGACCTCAAGCCCCCAAGACAGCAACAATTTGCATTTATATATCACCCTTCATGCGGGGTAACATTCCAGCATACTTGACAGTCTGACAACTAGCCAGGGGAAGAGGGAGACAAACTCTTATTCAAATTTTAATTGATTGATCTTAAAGGGGGACATTAAGACAACCCTGCCATTGAGGGTTGTGCTGTAGATAGATGTAGAAATGTACCTGAATATCTAGGACTATCATCCTTCAGCTCATGGGGGCGACTTACAAAGGTTTCTGCGAGATCGCCCCACAAAATTGATTTTTTTTTCTGGGAAGGGGAGGGGTGGCTGTGGAGTCTCAGCCTGGTGAGGTGACATGCAGTGACTGCTGACGGGTTTCAGGTGAGAAACACCAAAAAAAAGCATTGCATGTGTGAAAAGGTCAGCTGGCAAAGCCTCTGTGTTCTGAACTGTGGATGAGAGATGAGCATAACAGCATGCTAATAAACAAGAATTTATTTCTTTAACAAAGTTTAATAGCAAACATACTCCCTGTTGCTATTGCGTACATCCCACTAGTCAACCACAGGGCTCTCAGCTCTCTCCTGATCTTGTTTTAGATGGAGTTACAATCTTTGAGGAAGAAGGTGGCTCGACTGCAGTGTGCCTTGGAATTTGAGCAGCAGAAGGCTTGTCAGGAAAGATTGGCCCTGGAGATGCAACTGGAGGAAGCCAACAACAGAACCAAGGTACTGTGCAAGAGTACCCAGTAGGTAATTATTCTTTTATAGAAAGAAAAGCTCCTTGTTTATTGAAAAGGTTTGAAATGAATTGCAACAACAACAACTTGGATTTATGTAGCTCCCTCCACGCCGGACGGCGTCTCAGAGCGCTTCACAGTAACGGATCCCAGGGCCGAGCCGGGGGGAGGGGGAGGAAGGTGACTGAAGATGCAGTCGAAAAGAAAGGTCTTCAGCCGAGACCTGAAAATAGGAAGAGAGGGGGTGAGGCGAAGGGAGTGAGGAAGGGAATTCCAGAGCCTCAGGGCATAGTGGCTGAAGGCACAATCACTGAGAGTGGAGCGGAGGACTCGGGGGACAAGGAGGAGGCCAGACCCAGTGGAACAAAGGCAACGGGTATTGTTCTGAGGAGAGAGGAGGTCATAGAGGTCGGGGGGTGCAGAGGAGTGGAGGGATTTGAAGACAAGGGTGAGAATAGCTGGCGACGAGCGCAGCGTAGAAAAGTCTAGAATGCATTTTCACTTCGGAAAAGGACCCATTCATTTGGGAAAGGATCAGAGAACGTAACCATGGTTCAGAGATTCAAGTGACAGATGCACAAGGAAACTCAAGTAGCTGCTGTGTTTTCCACTTGTTTCCTTGGTTTGCTCACGTGTACGTTTGTAATACTCAATTACGGCCACAAGGAGGCAGTGCTGTGCCTCACACTGGATGGCATTGAAGCAGTTGCAAACTTTGCCACCAAATGGTCTCTGTCACTTGTACTTGGTTTCAGTGAGTGTTCACATGGCTTTGGTGGGCAATGCCAGACTGTTAATGAAGAGTGGGTTGGTAATGCGGTGTTGTGTTCCAACACACTTCAATGTTTGGAACCTTTGACCTGTTTCATTGCACATTATAACACTGGGGAATAATCAGCCGGATTGTTTCAATTTTTTTTTAAAAATCATTAATTGCACAATTCTTATTAAAATGAGCAATATCACAGTTTAGACACCTCTTTCCTTCAGGTCTGTAATTGCAATACAAATGTAATTTGTTGTTGGGGGAGGCTCACGTATTGGGAGGTGATGTCAGCCAACGTGGGATAATGGCCTCATTACCTGAGTGTTCCAGGTCTCTAAAGCTCAGAGCCTACCTTCACACACGCGTAGTGTTACTCTGAACTCGTTGGTCCAGAGGCCTAGCCGCTGAGGCTTCCAATGTTACATGTCTCAACAGTTTAAGAATTGGCATGAGTTATGGCTAATTTTGTAACTATCACATTGTGCAATAAGGATGCTATTAGGGCATTTTGGGGTTGGAAAAAGTAGTCTTTTAGACCTACTCCGACACCAGCAGGGATTCTCCTGCTTCCCCCTCACAGGAGTAGAGAGCATGGCTGGCAGATTCTGTTAGGGACTCTTTGATTCTTTTCTTGTGCGTCCTATGGTGAACCAATACTTTTGCCCTCCCCCTCTCTCTCACTGTTAGATCTACACACACCAGTCCTTGCCAGGTTCCACTGGTTCCCAATTACCAAACTATTGTTTTCAAATCACTTCATGCCCTCTCAACCTACCTACCTATCTGGCCTGCTTACCCCCCACTCCAGCACTCGCTGCATCCACTCGGCCAGCTCCGGCCTCCTGTTTCCCTTGTCCCCTCCGCTTCATCACCGGTGGCTGTGCATCCAGCCACTACCCCCTGAAACTCTGGAATTCTCTCCCTCAATCCCTGTGTCTTGCCCCCTCTTTCCCAACTTTCAAATACCACCTAAAGAACTTCCTTTTTCATCGTGCTTACGGTCACCTCTCCCCCTCCTTCTCCCCCTGGCTCAGTGTCAGACCCCACCACTGTCAAGAGCTCCAGGACACTACCCCGTCTGAAGGGCACTATATAAATGCAAGTTGTTATTGTGCTACATTACCACCATACAATATCTGGACCAAGACCACACAATAATAGCGCAGATCACCTTTACTGACCTACAAAGTAACTTTTTGCATCTTTTGCTTTCTGAGAATCTGTTTGGCATGCATCACCATGATGTGCAGTGTGTTAGGATGGGCTGCTGGATGCTGGGTGCAGTACAAATGCCAACTCCGGCAGGCAGTGTTTACAGCAACAACCATTCGTATGCCATGTGTGTAACAGAGCATTTCAAAGCACTTAACACCCCACGACATCAAGCAAGAAGTATGATGACTTAGGGGTGACCAAAGGCATCATTGAAAAGATGATTTTGGAAGCGAGTTCCCAGAGGACATGGTGGTGGTGGAGGAAAGCTTGGAGTAAGGCATAAGTAATAGCCGAGCTAAGAGTCTGGGTGGAGATAGTTATACAGATAGGGTGGAGCAAGGTTATGGAGATATTTGAAAACTATGGTCTTGAAAATAGTTTGCTTCCAGAGAAGCAGTGAAGCTTTGCAAAGGGACGAGCGGGTGATGCAAATCTGGGATCCTGAATGGGACAGGTCTTGGACAACAGGCTCTGAATGTGTTGGTTTGCAAAGATTGGAACCAGAGAGGCCAGCCTTGGTGCTGGTAAAATAAACTTGGGCCATAAAGAGGTAACGTTTTGAGGATGGGATTTGAAACTCGGTTTGATGTTAACACAACACAAAGATGTCATTAGTAGATGTATTATGGGGCAAACAAGATGGCACAACAATCATCACAATGTTAAGCTGTAGAAAATTACAGTCTAGTCAGGATTTTATGTTGGATAGACAAATCAGCAACAAGAACAACTTGAAACTTGCAAGGCAGCAATGATGCTTGAATTGAAGGTGGTTCTGGAGAAATACGATTGGGTGATTGGTTGCACATAAAGAGAATAAGCCAGGGCCATCGGAAAGATGAGAACCTGGAAGGGTCCAAGGTTGGGTTTGGAGAGAGACACTATTTGATGGGATGAATTGATAACAATGGGTTTCCACATGTGTCAGACACCTGGCTGACCAAAAAAAAGACAATGGGGGAGAGAGGTGGATGGAGAGATAAACCGCCTTTGAAAGAAATCAAGGGGAATGAGAAAGGAAAGCGAATCACAGTGCTTAACTTCAACCGGTTCATTTTTCAGTACGATGGGCAGGTCAGAGGCTGAGCTAAAGGGATTAGGAATAGTGATCAAGTGAGCAATAGCTACATGTTCAAGCACCTTGGTAAGGAAGAGATGTTTGACTGTTTGTGGGACATTGCTGTGCGCAATTGGCTGCCGCGTTCGCCCACAAATATACAGTCAATTCACTTTACAGTCTATTCTGTGAAGCGCTTTGGGACGTCCTCCCGACGTGAAAAGCGCTATATCAAATGCAAGGATTATTATTATTATTATTATTAGATGGGGCAGTGTTTGGTGAATGTATCTGGGTTTTGTAAGAATGGGAGTGATCACAAAAGTTCGAAATAAGGTGGGATTGAGTCCTGAGGAGGGAGGTACTTCACATTGGTTAAATGTGGGGCTGAGAAGTGAATGTCTGGAGCTGGATTAAGGGAAGGATAGACCATAATGGAGATGAGGTTGCTGAGAGGAAAATGGAGAGAAGGAGACGGGTGCTGGAGTAGAGAGAGCTTGGAGAGATGATAATAATAATAATAATCCTTGCATTTGATATAGCGCTTTTCACGATGATGGAGGATAAAATGGCAAATAAGGTGTCAGTTTGCTCTGAGAACCAGTGCATCACCATGGGATTCCAGGGACACTGTGCCTAAATCAACTAGGGATCCTACACGAGGACAGCGACATGGGAACCAGGACAGACACAGTCTGTGGTGTGGAAATTGAGCACCAAGGAGTTTGAATGCAAGGCAAGAGCTGATCTACACATCTGAAGTGGATCAGGATCTACCTCCACCTTCTTAGCCAGGATCTGAGAGATCCAGAGATCTAAAGCGGAAAGGAAAAAGTATAGAAAATACCTGGTTGCTTCTTCCAACAACTTTCGCTTACATAGAGGATTTCGCACAGGATCAGCATCTTAAAGTGCTTCACAAAGACGATGGGGGTCATTGTAGCAGAAAGCAGGGTGGTGAGGGGGTAAGTTTGATCAAAGACACTGTGAAAGACAGAGGTTCTTCAGAGGGCTTTGAAGGCAGAGAGAGAAGGTGCAAGGCGAAGGGATTCTCCAGAGTTCCCCAGAGCAGGTCAGGGCAAGTAGCCAACAGTTGCAGGCCAGAGCAAGTGAGGGCCGAGCAGTGAAGTAGAGTTGGAAGAGAGGAGGGTGCCTTTCTAGGATTGAAACCGGCTTTCTCTCTCTTTCTCTCTCTCTCTCTCTCTCTTGTTCAGTCACAGGAATGCCTGCTGACACAGGACACAGGGGAAGCCAGGCAACTCCGCCAGGACCTGCAGCGGATCCACAACCTATGCAGCGCCGCAGAGAAAGAACTCAAGTACAAACGGGAGCAACTGGTGGACGTACAGAAACACAATGCTCTCCTGAGCCAGGAAGCTACCAGGGTGAGCTTGTGGCATGGAGAGCAGCCAGAGAATTCCAAGACCTGGATTTGGATTTGTCAGCATTTGAGCTTGAGTTGAGTGCGGTGGTGAAGTGCTTTTTGGTGTTGTGCAGTGACCGATAGTGTGTGTCCACCTAACTACTTGAGAAATTGGAGTACTGTGTGTAGTTTTGGGCAGCCCGTTAGAAGTTGGATGGATGTTACCAGAGTTGAGGAGTTTCAGTGATTACAGAGAAATTGGGTTTTTTACAATAGGGTTGAGAAGGTTAAGGGTGACCTGACAGAGACTTTTGAGAATATGAAGGGTTATAATCAAGCATATGGCTGGGCACTGACCACAGGCTGAGCACTGGAAACATGGAGCTTTGAAAACAATAGTTATTTTAGAACTGCGGCTGTGGGTTGGGCTGTGGATCGATGCTCAGCAATGCCAACCAGGAATCAGATACTCAGTCGCCTTTTGCTGCATTTCTGACAAATATCCCAAAAAACAGAAGTCGCTGGGAACACTCAGCAAGTCAGGCAGCATCTATGGAGAGAGGAAAGTGGGTTAACATTTCAGGGTGATGACCTTTTGTCACAGTACTGCTGAACTCTGTGTGTGGGGCGGTATGCGTATTTGTGTGTGAGTGGGTTGCTGTGTGTGTGTGTGTGGGGGGGGGACGGGACACTGTGTGTGGGGAACTGTGTTTGGGGGTGCTGTGTGTATGGGGAGTATGTGGGCGGAGGCGGCTGTGTGTGGGGGATGGGGGAGGGGGCTGTATGTGTGTGCGGGGGCGCGGTGGGGACTGTGTGTGCTCATAGGTCTCACCCTGCTGTCTGTTCAGCCACTGGTCTCTCAGTTTGTGCCCCAAACTGAACGCTCTGCTCGGTGTTTTTCTGTACCTACAGGTGGGCGTGGACCTGAAGGCCATTCAGGATAAAATCTGTGCACAGGAACGGGAGAACAAGGCTCTGAGATGTGAGATCGAGGAGAAGCAGGAGAAGATAAAGGGGCTGGAGCTGGAAGCAGCCAAATCCTGTCAGCTCAGCAAGCAGCTCAAGTGCCTCCATGATGAGCTAGCATCTGAGAAATGCCGAGTGCAGGCGGCGGAGAAAAAGGTAATGTCACAAGCTCACATTTTATCACCTCAGCCTCAATGCCAGCTCTTAACGTTTATTACTGTGCTGAACTTTGTAAAAATATTGCAAATTCATTTGAATATTAATTTGGAACTTTGAAAAAACAGCTTCTATATTATAATAAATAATAATCCTTGTATTTGGTATACGTCTTATCATGTCTTCAAGACATCTCAAAGCGCATCACAGACTATACTGTAAAATGGATTGACTGTATATTTGTGGGAAAAGCACAGCAGCAGAGTCCCACAAACAGGCTGAGTCTTGGCTGACACACACTGAGCCGGGTAACAAACAGAGTTTTCTTTATCTGAACTTCTCGTGGGATCTTTTGACATTGTAGTGTCTATCGTTTGAAGCTATTGAGAATGCTCTTTGTGTTTTGTCTTGGACTGGATGAAATCACCTGCCTGGCTGGATGCGGCACTGGAAACACACTGGCTTAGATTATGTGATTTTGAGTCCTGATGTGAGCTTGAACCAACAAGTTTCTGACTCAGAAGCGAGAGTGCAACCACTAAGCAAGGCTGACACACACCGAGCCGGGCTGACACACACCGAGCCGGGCTGACACACACCGAGCCGGGCTGACACACACCGAGCCGGGCTGACACACACCGAGCCGGGCTGACACACACCGAGCCGGGCTGACACACAGGGTTTTCTTTATCTAAACCTCTCTTGGGATCTCTTTTGAAACGTTTGTCATTTGTGAATATTTATTATTTGAAACTATTGAGAACGCTCTGTTTTTGCTTTTTCCCTCTTGTATTCCCTCCCTCCCTCCCTACCCCCACCCATCCCACCTTTCTCTTCTCTCCTCTCCTCCCTCTTGTCAATCCTCCTCTTTTGGACACAAACCATGGGCCCTGGGCTGAAGTTTGCAGAGATGCAGCAACACCTGAACTCCTGCCAACACCAGGTGCGTCTGGCTGAAACCCGAATCAAGGAGAAGGAGATAATGGAAGCAGAGCTGAACGACAAAAGGGACTTGGTGTGCATGCTCCGAAATGAACTGCAGGAGGAGCTGCTCCAGAGGTAATCCATGGGCTGGATGGTTCAAATGGTAGTTCAGGGGTACCTGCTGTCAGGATAACGGTGGGTAAAGAAAGGGGAAACAGGCCTGTTGATATGTTGCTTGAGAGCCTTGCATTTCCAACTCTCTTCCCTCGCCCTCACAGCAACACACGTTCAGGTACACAGATGAACACACACCTATATCTATGCACACACACATATATATATGCACACATATACATGCACCCCAATCTACATGCAAACTATCCCTCACGTTCACTTACACATTGAACAAATTCACACACATGCATACATATACATGCATACCCATACAGCCCACACATATATATACATATGTATGTATAATACATGCGTATTGTGTATTACACAGTGCACAGTTTGTGAGCTCACATGTGAGGATTAGTATCTTCGGGCAAGACACTTAGCGCTGTTTGTGCTGAGTTCCTGTGTCAGCAGTGTCACTGAGGTTCAGTCCAACGCCTTGGGATGTCAACAAGAACAACAACAAAATTGCATTTATAGAGCGCCTATCATGTCGGGAGGACATCCCAAAGCGCTGACGTCCCAAAGCCCGTCCTTCCGATGTGAAAAGCACTATATAAATGCCATTTTGTTGTTGTTTTTCCAGCTCAGCCACCAAAAAAAGTTCTGAAATAATGCTAATGATTGATGTACAAATGTTTAACAATATTTGCTGTGTAATCTCTGCCTGTAGTCCCCTGATGTTCTGTCTGCCTGCTTGTCAGACATCAGGAGCTGGATGAGTGCGAATTTCCTTCAGCTGAATGTTGACAAGATGGAAGCCATACTCTTTGGCTCTCATCAACAACAACAACAACAAGATTCCATTTATAGAGCGCCTTTCACGTCGGGAGGACGTCCCAAGGTGCTGTACAGTTGGGTCAGGACCCGAGCCGGGGGGAAATGGTCAGGGTGAGGGGAGGGAAGGGAGGGAGCGAGGAGGGGGGAGATTGTCACGGTGAGGGGAGGGAAGGGAGGGAGCGAGGAGGGGGTAGAGAGTCGAGAGGGGAGCTGAAGGCACGGTCAACGTCTAAAATCACATGGTTCTCACCTCCTCCACCTACCCGACCTCCCCCTAAAACTCTCCGAACCCGTATGCAACCTAGGCATCAGGTTCGACCCCTAATTATCCTTCCTCCCTCACATCTGGTCCCTCATCAGCACCACTTTCTTCCACCTCCGACGCATCGCCCGTCTCCACCAATTCCTCACTCCAAAAGCCGCTGAAACCCTGGTCTATGCTTTTGTCACTTCTCGGCTGGACTATTCAAATGCCCTCTCTGGTCTCCCCTCCACTACCATTCATAAAATGTAGGTCATACAAAACTCTGCCGCCCGCATTCTCACCCGCACCAAACTCCGCCCCCCTATTACCCCAGTCCTGGCCAGACTGCACTGGCTGCCTGTCCCAGAGAGGATCGACTTCAAGATCCTCAAACCTTGTCTTCAAATCCCTCCACTCCTCTGCCCCCCCCCCGACCTCTCTGACCTCCTCTCTCTGGCCTTCTCCTTGTCCCCCGAGCCCTCCGCTCCACCATCAGCGGCCATGCCTTCATCCACTACACCCTGAGGCTCTGAAACTCCCTTCCTCACTCCTTTCGCCTCGACCCTCTCTTCCTATTCTCAGGTCTCAGCTGAAGACCTTTCTTTTCGACCGCGCCTTTGGTCACCTTCCTCCCCCTCTCCTGGCTCCCCCCGTCCCCCCGGCCCCTCCCCTTGACTCCCCCCTCCCCGGGCCCCTACCCTGACTCCCCCCCTCCCCTGGCTCCCCCCCCCTCCCCCTGGCTCGACCCCGCGATGCATTACTGTGAAGCTCTGAGACGCCGTCCGGCGTGGAGGGCGTTATATAAATCCATGTTGTTGTTGCCTAATGCACACTGGCTATATTCCCTGTATAAAGGTTGCTCTGACCTGATCTGGACTGTTGGAGTCCATCTAGCTTAACAGATAAAATGTGGAATGAGAAAAGACCATTTGGCTGCTCAAGCCCCTCTCCTTTCTCAGACCATGTAAACCATGACCTCACCTCACCCATTCTATTTTGTGTAATAGATACTCTGGACTGTAAAGGTAATCCAGCCAAAAGCCCAGGATATTCAACCATCTTCACGGTTGAAATCTGGGCTCTGTTCCTCCATAGAGACATTCTCCTTACTGTTCTTCCCTCACACCCCCTCCATCTAAGTCAAATAGATATAGATATCTCCATCTGTGTCACATCATTTAAAGACCTAGAGTGTGCCCCCTTTTGATCTCTCTAATGAAAACATATTCTCCATGTCTCTACTCAGAGGTAACCGCAGAATTATTCTCATTGTTCTTCTCAGAACTCTCCCCAATGTTTCACAATCCTTTTGGGAGGAGGTTCCCGCCAAAATGTGCACCCAAAGGGATATAATTTCTGTTATTTCTTAACGAATCCTATTAGAATTCCCATTGCCTCCATGAGAAGGAGCTTGCGTTGCAGGAGAGTTCCTGTAAGCCGGAGCGATGTACGTTCGCTTCAGGAAAGAACCCCATTTACATGACAGTCCTGACTGGCAAATTGCCTTAATGAACACAGCAAATTAGATCTTTGCTTAAATGGAGTCTCATCGGCCAGCAACTGCTTCATCTTTCGTGCTCTGTTTACATCCCTAAAGCCATGCGTATCTGTCTGTAAATGGCCCTTTCTGCCACTCTAGGAAACTGGCTGAGCAGTGTGCAGATGATCTCCATCATCAGCTGAAGACGATGCAGGACAAGGAGACTTGCCAGGCGAGGATGGTTGCAGATTTACAACACTGCTTACACGAGCAACAGGCCCGGGTCCGAGCCCTGGAAGAGGAGAAAACGAGCATCTCTAATGAAGTCAGTTTGTGGGGATTTGATTAACAGCCACCAGCTGTGCACATGTCCTATATCAACTTAGTTCAACCAATGCCTCTGGCTTGTCGGTCAGAAGGTGTGGGTTCAAATCCTTATGTCGGGAATTTGACCTCACAGTCTCAGCTGAGTGCAGTGCTGGGGGAGGGATATATTTTCGGATATGTCATCCTTCAGATGAGAAATTAAACCAAGGTCCTGGGTGTGACACATCGGGTGGACGTAAAGATCCAGTTGGCATTATTCGAAAAGAGAAGGGAGTTTTTGCTGACAATCCTTCAGATAAACTTGAAGTGGCTGTTTTTGACCCGTCTATATAATGTAGAAAAACAGGCCTTACATTTGACAGTAATTATTTGAGGTTTCAGTTCAATGAGACACTATAACATTAATAAGATTTCTGTTCTCATTGCACACAGTTTCAAGCCTCTTTGTGCCCTTCAGTCATTCAGGTTTTGTCTTTCAGAATGAGTGTCAGCAGAGGGTCAGGAAGCAACAAACCGAGGAGTTACTGGCAACACAGCAGGAGTTAGAGAAGCACAAAGAGGAGCTGAGGAGCGTTCTTCAGCAATTGGACTCTCACGTCAGGCAAGTGAAGGCCCAGCGGGAGTGAGAGCGGGGGTGGTACATGATGTGGTAACTGTCATACAGTGGGCATTTTGCTCTGGGAGATGTCCCAATTTGTGAATGCTAAACTCTTTCTTCCCTCTACCTTCTCCCCAAATGGTTAATAATAATAATAATCCTTGCATTTGATATAGCGCTTTTCACGTCGGGAGGACATCCCAAAGTGCTTCACAGAACACACTGTAAAGTGAATTGACTGTATATTTGTGGGCGAACGCGGCAGCCAATTGCACACAGCAATGTCCCACAAACAGTCGTAGATTGAAAATGACCAATTTATTATTGTTTTGTTTTGGAGGGATTATTATTAGGCTCTGCGTGGAGTAAGGAAACTTGCCCAAGGTTTTGCCCTCTGCCTGGAATTGAACTCGGGTCTCTCACTTGCAAAGCGAGTGCTCTAACCACTGAGCTACAGGACTGGTTGGGTCCAAAGCCACTCTCTGCAGACACTATGCTGGCCGGCTGTGCCTTCAAGTTGGCACTGTGCACGCAGCCACTTTCCCCTTTTATTGTTCCTAAATCCCAGAGTGATTGAATCACAATAATGTATTTGAGACAGGAAAATCTCGCCACTTGCCCTTTTGTGGTGAATGTGATCATAGAATCATAAAATCTTACAGCACAGAAGAAGGCCATTCGGCTATTTGAAAGAGCTACCAACTAGTCCCACTCCCCTGCTCTTACCCCATAGCCCCGCACATTTTTCCTTTTATAAGTACCTATCTATAAGCTCCCCTCTCGACTCTCTTCCCTCTCCTCGCTCCCTCCCTTCCCTCACCCTGACCACTTCCCCCCTGCTCGGGTCATGACCCAACTGTGCAGCGCCTTGGGACGTCCTCCTGACGTGAAAGGCGCTTTATAAATGGAGTCTTGTTGTTGTTGTTGTTGTATCTAATTCTTTTTTGAAAGCTATTATTGAATCTGCTTCCACCCCACCTTTCAGACAGTGCATTTCGGACAATAAATAACTGGTGCTTTACACACAAAATCTATTGAGAGAGAGAGCGAGAGAGAGACAGTGTGTTACTCTATACTGTGCTCTGCCCATAGCAAGTAGATTGCACAAGTTCAAAAACATGGTCATGAACTCGCCCGACTTTGCTCACGGCGTGTGTGTGTGTGAGAGCGAGAGAGAGAGACAGGATAACATCCGGCCTGTGTGTGTGTGTGTGTGTGAGAGAGAGACAGACAGAGAGAGAAAGAGAGAGAGCTAGGATAACATCCCACCTGTCTGTTTGTGTGTGTGTGTTTTGTGAGAGAGTCAAGGTAACAGCTTGTACACTTTTCAGGCTCCACAACGACAAACAGATAAAACATAAAATGAAGCTACGGAAAGCAAAGGAGATCTTTATCCGTGAAGTGATGGCGAGGGACGGTAAAGTCAAACAGCTAGAAAATGAAGTCAAACTGATGAGAAACCTACTGGACAAGGTGGGTCCAGAGGGCAAGGTGTTATTATCCACTTTATGGTTCAAAATCTCCTGTCAGCAGCTCCCTAGCAAAATGGTTCCAAACTCCAACTGTGAGGAGTTGCTGGACTTCCTTGAATCTAAAATCAAGGGGAAATGTTCAGCCACCTCAGCCCCGTCCACAGCCACCCCCACATCACCTCTCCCTCATGACCCAGCCCCCACCCATCCCCCCCTATACTCTTTCGACCCTCTCACTCCCTCCCTCACCACGACTGTCTGCAAACTCAAACCCATCACCTGCTCCCTCGATCCCATCTCCACCTCTCTCCTCACCTCCCAACTCCACCTTCTGGCCCCTCGCCTGTCAGAAGTCTCCTTGTACACCGGTTCAGTTCCCACCCTCTAAAAACAGCCGTCATCACCCCCATCCTGAAAAGACCTTCCCTGGATCCATCCCTCCTCTCCAGCTACCGCCCCATCTCTAACCTCCCATTCGTCTCCAAGGTCCTGGAACGAGTCATCGCGGCCCAGCTCCACTCCTTTCTCTCTCGCCATTCCCTCTTTGAATCCCTCCAATCCGACTTCCGCGCTGCCCACAGCACGGAAACAGCCCTGGGGGTCACAGTCACTGATGACATTCTGAACATCTGTGATCAGGGCTCCCTCTGCCTCCTTGTCCTCCTCGACCTCTCTGCCGCCTTCGACACTGTCAACCATTCCATCCTCATACACCGCCTCTCCTCTTTACTCAATCTTCACGGACCGGCCCTTGACTGGTTCGATTCCTATCTCTCTCACCGTCTCCACTTTGTTGCCTCTAACGGTTTCTCCTCCAGCCCCCGCACTGTCACATCTGGCATCCCCCAGGGCTCTGTCCCTGTCTCCTCTTTAATATCTACGTGTTCCCCCTTGGTGACATCATCCACAGACATGGGGTCAACTTCCACATGTATGCGGATGACACCCAATTCTATCTTTCTGCCTCACCCTCAACTCCAGGACCACTGCTGTCCTGACAGTGACTGTCTGTCGGACATCAAGTCCTGGATGAGAGTTAACTTTCTTCAATTGAATGTCAACAAGACTGAGGCCCTCCTGATTGGCTCACACCTGCACCTCAGGCTCCGACAGCATCAACCTCCATGATACAACTCACCAACTCACCAGCCAGTCAGGAACCTGGATGTCTTGTTCGACCCTCAACTGTCTTTTCTTCCCCACATTCAAGCCATGACCTGCTCTGCCTTCTGTACGTCGCCCGACTCCGCCACTACCTCAGCTCTCAGGCCGCTGAAACTCTTGTTCATGCCTTCATCACCTCCAGGCTCGACTATACAAACGCCTGCGTGTCGGCCTTCCCAACTCCTCCCTCCACAGCTGCAGATAATCCAGAACTCTGCAGTCCGTGTTCTCTCCCGCACCAAACTCCGTGACCCCATCTCCCCCATTCTCGCCCGACTCCATTGGCTCCTTATCCTTCAGAGGATCCAGTTCAAGATCCTGGTCCTCACCTACAAAGCCCTCCATGGCCTTGCCCAACCCTACCTCTGTGACCTCCTAACCCCCTACCAACCCACCCGCTCCCTCCGCTCACCCGGCTCGTGCTGCTCCACGTCCCCTGACCCACCCGCCCACCATTGGCGGGAGAGCCTTCAGCCACTCTGCCCCCAACCTCTGGAATTCCATCCCCCAGTCACTCCACCTCGCCCCCTCCTTAGCCTCCTTCAAGTCCCACCTCAAGACCCCTCCTCTTCGACCGTGCCATCAGCCACCCACCTACCCCTCCCCTCCCTTAGCCCCCCCCAATCCCAGCTTGGGTCTGAAATGCTGTACTCTGTCCAGCGCCTCGGTGAAAGGTGCCATACAAATATAATCTTGTTGTTGTTCCAATCTGTGGGCACTGCTCCAAGCAGCTGGTCAGTTTGCGGGGAAAGAGGGAGCAAGAACACAAGGACACAATGATAAGAATGGAAAATCCACCTCAACGTTAGTTTTTACAGGTGTTGCCCAGTGCAGCAGAAATGTGTAGCAATGTCCAGCAGCAGCGCTCCCCCCAGCTCCAAGCCTGAAGTGAGACTTTGAACCCATGATCTTCCAACCCTGAGGCGGGAGTGTCATCACTGAGGCCAGCAGATCCTGTGCCTTTAGTCATTCTGGGCTTTACTCTGAAGAGAAAATTTAGGGAAGTGGTAACTGTCACTGAGCTGTTGTTGCCCTGTTAATTACATGTGACTATGTCCTTCTCATATTTCCCTGTCCAAACCTCACAGGAACATACGTGGAATATGAAGATCACGTGTGAAAACGACCTGCTCCTTGCGGAGAAGCGCGACCTTCTGCAGAAGCTGAATGAGCAGGAGGAGCTCGTACGCAACAATAGTTCAATCGCTTGTGGTGTAAAACAGAGGTATACGTCCCCCAAAAGTCCATTATTTCTGCTCCTGGAATAATAATCCTTGCATTTGATACAGCACCTTATCAGGTCTTCGAGATATCTCAATGCACTTTGCAGAATATACTGTAAAGTGAATTGACTGTATATTTTGTGGGAAAAACGGAAAGGAAATGGATATAGATTAAAAATGATTTGATGAAATAAACTATACAAATTTTGAAAGCTGAGATATGAATCTTATACAGTCAGCAGCTGAGAGCACACGTAAAATATTGTAAGATTTGATCCGACACAAAGGGCACAATTTCTGATTTTGCTGATTGAAGAAGAATTTGAGCAAAGTTAGGAGGACACAGTCAGACGAGTAAATTGGACAACCAGATGGCAGATTAAATTTATGCAGAAAAGTGCGACCACGGTCTGCATTATATGCGGTCTGCATTATACACGGTCTACATTTGGAGGAAGACTAGGGGAAGCAAGTACATTGTAACTGGAGCGTGAACCAAATAGATAGATACTGAATGTTCTGGGACGCTACCCTGCTAATAATAATCTTTGCATTTGAGATAACGCCTTATTATGTCGCCGAGACGTCTCAAAGTGCTTCAAAGGATATACTGTAACACTGATATCCGGCGGGCGAAGGGAGCTAGTGAAGAATGCTAATTGGAGCTTCTGTTTTTAACCTGTCTAAATCATTAGTTAGATCACAAAGTTGTGTGTCCAGTTTTGATTGCCTACAAATCTACAGGAGTATCTGGCATTGAGTGCTCCCTCTGACTGTGTTCCAGGATTAACTATCTGGAAGATGAAAACAAACAGCTTCAAGATGAGACGGTGACGCTAAGTAGTCGGCTTGGGTCATTGGAGCGAACATTGAAAAACATCCAGTCTATCCGTGCTCTAGAGGTACGATCCCTCACTCGTGTTCCTGGTATCACCATAGTCTGCATTATACACGGTCTGCGTGAAACACGGTCTGTTACAGTATTACACACAATCCTTGCACTTGTTATAGCGCTTTATCACATCTTCAAGACGTCTCAAAGCGCTTAACAGAATACAATAACAACAACTTGCACTTATATAGCGCCCTCCAAGCAGGGGAAAGTCTCAGAGCGCTTAACAGTGACAGAGCCTGATTCCAAGCCGGAGGGCGGTAGGAGGTGACTGTAAGCACAGTTGAAAAGGAAGGTTTTCAGATGGGACTTGAAAAAGGGGAGAGGAGGCAAGGCGGAGCAGTTGAGGGAGAGTGTTCCACAGTTTTGGGGCGTAGTGGTTGAAAGTGTGATCTACAATGGTGGAGCGGAGGGTGGGAGGGATGAGCAGGAGGCTGGTGCCAGTCGAGTAGAATCGCTGGCTGGTGGATTGGGGAGTGAGGAGGTCGGAGAGGTAGGGAGCTGCCAGGGAGTGAATGGATTTGAACACGAGTATGAGGATCTTGGAAGTCAATCCATTCGGTGATGGGGAGCGAGTGGAGCCTGGCCAGAACTGGTGAAATGGGGGTACGGAGTTTGGTCCAGACTATACTTTGAAGTGAATTGATTGTATATTTAGTGGGCGAAACACTAAAATGAAAAATGATCGTCTGATGACAAAGGAAAAAATTACAAATTGGATGTTTCCTACCAGGTTCTACCTTATTCCATAGGAACTTGAATCATTTAAGCACCAAAAACATTTTCCACCCCCTTCTGCTAGCTGTGGAGATCCCCGCAGCCTGTGGTGGGTAAACACATGCATAAGGTGCAGACAAACAACACCTCGGCTTTCTCCAGCACCGCAAGCTGATATTGTGCAGCATTTGCCAACTTTTCAAACCAATTATATTTGTGTGTGTCCATGTCCTTGCTACAGGATCTTAAAAGGACTCTATCCAATGAAAATCTGCTATCAAAATGCCTCCCCTCCTCTCTAGCCAGGTAACTTCACACAGCGCTTCGTCTCTGCACTCAAAGTAGTGCCTCAGCACTGGGGCTGACACAGAAATAATCAGGTTAAAGAGAGAAAGAAAATAATAATAATAATAATCCTTGCATTTGATATAGCGCCTTATCACGTTTCCTAGACATCTCAAAGCACTTCACAGGATATACTGTAAAATGAATCGTATTTTGTGGGCAAAACAGAAGGCTTGAAGCAGTTGAGTTTGCAGGTAGGCAAGGACACCAGGCCGAGGTGGGGGTGGCGTCAGGTGGATGGGGGGACACCAGGCAGGGATTGGTGGGGGCCGGCCAGGCAGGCATAGAGAGGTTTGGGCCTGAATTTGGACGAACAGCTTCTCGGTTTCCATCACAGTGTCTGGCCGGCCACTCTAACCCTCGCTGTAACATTCTGACTGTTGTGACCTCTGCCCTCTTGCCTTCCAGTGATTTCCCAGGCGGCAGTGGGACCGACAGTGTTCTGGATTGCATTCGCCGGGTGAAATTGAACGAGCCGGCTGACTGTATGAAGTTCTCCTACCTGGGATCCTCCCGGGTGCCGTATTCCGACATTGGCTACTTAAACGTCAGTGGCAGCTCGGCAGGTGTGAGGTTCAGGGAACAGGAAGACAGGCACAGTTTGTGCAGTGACGAGGTGTGACCTAACCGAGCCAGTGTTAAAGCGGATCCTAACAGTGCAGCCTGGGTCCTGAGCCCATGTTTGGAGTCGAGAGATGTTGTCAGAGAGTGTTGCCAGAGACATGTTGATTCTCACCAGCCTGTTGTCTTTGTCACGTTACCTAACAGGAATATTAACACACCTTTTTCTTACTAAGTGGTGATGGAATTGGTCCAAATGGCCTCACTGATGCTGGTTCAGGTTTTGCACTTACAGGGCATATGAACGTGGATCTGTGTGGCTACCACAAGGGTCATCAAAGGTTACTGATTCAGTGTATTTTTATTTGTATACAAAAAGGATTGCTCTGACATGCCAGCCCCAGTGTGATCTCTTCTCCAATGTAAGGTGAGCTTAACGGTACCGGCATAGGAACGTGAAAGCCCCAGAGCCAGCTCAGCCCACAAGGAGCACTGGCCAGCGACATTCGAACAATTCAAGTGTCCGTGTGGTCAAGTGACTCCATGACTCGGCTGCATTGCCATCGGGTTTAAATAGCAGTGGGCTTACATGTCATGTTGGGGAGGACCACATACAGGAATGGTATTTGGGCAGGTCAGGCCCAAGGCAAAGGACTAGTGTTGGCAGCCATCCTATCCTCAGAATTCCTCTTACATGAGCTCTCTTTCTCCCTCTCACCCCCACTCCAATTACTTCTTTCTTTGTCTTGTATTGTCTGTATCCAGCTTTATTTTTTTTGCTTAGAACTGCATAGGTGGTGTGTGTGGCAGGCAGACCATTGGGTCTGTATGTGTACCTCATGCTTTTCTGGGCAATACGTCTGATATATGCCCTCGTGTGCAGTCCGTGCTCTGATGGCATAGAGTTAATGGACAGACACATGTACCCACAGAGTGGGCATATCAAAGGCTTCCTTGAGTAGCAAAAGGCAGACCTCCACAAGGGAACTGAGGTACCAGCCTGGAGCTGTGGGAGTAGCATTTCCTGCCTCCACCAAGATCAAGGGGCTGGGGGATGGGGGGGAAGACCAGGAAAGGAGAAAAATGCCATTAAAATAAATGGAGCGAAGAAAAATACTATGATTGGTGCTCATTTAATTTAAGAATGGGAAAATAAGACAGGTATCAAAGTAACTTTTATCACAACACTGCTTAATTAGGTCTTAGTTTAATACCAGCTGCACAGAAAGGTCCTTGACATGGGCTCTTCTTTGTAACAGAGAGATCACATTTATCAATCAGTGAGTGGAGAGCCAGAAACATGTATAAATGATCATTTAATCAGAATATAGGAATAGGAGGCCATCAGATTACCAAATCTGCTCTAACATTTCATCAGATCATGCCAGATCATTTCATTATTTCCTCACTCTCTCTCCATATCCCTCTACTCTTCCCAAATATCTGTCCATCTCCTTTCAAATATCCCCATCAATTCTGTATCTGTAGTCTTCTGGTACTGTAAGTTCCAATTCTAACCCTCTCTGTGGAGAAATGTTTCTCATCATTAACTCTGTGTTAACTCTTGCTTTGGATTCACAAAGTCAAACCAAGTGTGAGAGAAGTGGAGACTAAGAATATTGTAGAATTGTTGAATATTTCCTTCACTCTCACAGTGGACAGGAGGATGAGATACCAGAGATTCAGAATTTAGGGAGTGGGAGAACACAACAATAACATTTACATTTATATGGCACCTTTCAATGGAGAGGACATCCCAAGGCTGTAGTAATGATAAATTAGAAAGTCTGAAGCTAACAAATCTACAGGCCCATTCATTTTCACCCCAGGAACTAAAGGAATGAGAGGAAATTGCATAGGATTAATTATTATTTAGCAAAATTCAATAGATTCAGGATTCCTACAAGAGGAGAGGACAGCGAAGGTTGCTCCATTATACAGGAATGCAGAATGGGACAAGCAAGCAGCCATACTGTGAGCATAACAATCAGTGGGGGGCAAATGATGAATCTATCATCAGGGAGAGAATAACTGAGTATCTAGATAATTTATATCTAGATAAATCACACAGATCAGAGAGTTGCATGGATTTGTGAAGGTAGATCATCGAGTCTTACCAAACCACAGAAGTGATGGGTAATGTGGAGTGGATGTCTTTTATACAACACAATACTATATATTTATGCAAAGCCTTTCACATCGGGAAGACATGTCAAGGCCCTTGAAAGTCCTGGCTTTGCAAATGAGCTGAGGGGAGTGGGGAGCAGAAAGATGCACAATCAAAGAGGAAAGTGTTGAGACAGACCTTGAAAGAGGTGAGGGAGAGGGGCAAGTCAGAGCGACTCCAGGATAGTTGTAAAGTGAGGTAGCACACAAGGAATAGAAGAATATTGGTTGGGAATGTGTTTTAAATGGGGAAGCACTGGAAGCGCAGAGAAATCCAGGAGGTCATTGATCATTACAGTCTAGTTTAGGTGATGAAATCAGTCAGGAAAGCACGTAAGATGCTGGCGTTTACTATAGTAGGTCTGGAAAATAAAAATCATTAGGTGTTTCTAGGAAGAATCATGGAGCTGACTGAAGTATTTAAAAATAATGAAACAAACTGATGGGTTAGATGGTGAACTCTTCTCTTGAGTGTGTACAGAAGGCAGAGCTGTGTTAAGTAACGGTGCTGTTCAAATCTAAAGTCTACAACAACAACAACTTTGATTTATATAGCGCCCTCCACGCCGGACGGCACCTCAGAGCAATTTACAGTAACAGATTCCCGGGGCCGAGCCAGAGGGAGGAGCCAGGGGGAGGGGGAGAAAGGTGACCAGACGTGCGGTCGAAAAGAAAGGTCTTCAGCTGAGACCCGAAAATAGGAAGAGAAGGGGCGAGGAGAAGGGAGTGAGGAAGGGAGTTCCAGAGCCTTGGGGCGTAGTGGCTGAAGGCATGGCTACGGAGGGTGGAGCGGAGAACTCGGGGGACAAGGAGGGGGCCGGACCCGGTGAAGCGAAGGCAACGGGCACTATTATGAGGAAGAGGTCAGAGAGGTCGGGGGGTGCAGAGGAGTGGAGGGATTTGAAGACAAAGGTGAGGATGTTGAAGTCGATCCTCTCTGGGATAGGCAGCCAGTGCAGTCTGGCCAGGACTGGGGTAATTGAGGAGCGGAGTTTGGTACAGAGTTTGGTCTAGACCTTGGAGGGAGGATGTAGGTGGCTGGGTGGGGCTCCAGTTTTACCCACCTGGCAGTGCAAGATCTAAAAAGTCAACTCTCTGCGGCCGTCTCTGTGATTATTTGGTTCCTGAGCCAGGCGGGTCCACAGTGCACTACCTCAGCCAGCCTGGCTCATCAGAAGACTTGGAGAATCTCTCGGGGGTGGGGGCGGCACAGATTCTCCCACTCAGCTCTTGTTAACGCTGCAAGCCAAAGCCTGAATGGTTAAGGTGGTCCTACCCAGACAAACAGCGGAAAACTTGCAATGTACACTCTCACTAACTCTCCAGAAATAGGTAAGCAAGGTGCATCTCTCCGAGGAGAATGCATACTTCATTCCAGACACAGAGGGAACGTGCAAAGGTTTGAAGACTCTTAAGCTTTGTGATTGATGAATTGCCCATGTGTGAGACATGTCCCAGATGATAGAACAGAATCCAGCTTCCAGCTGTAGCTGTAGCTTGCTTCGCCTCACACCCGGTGTACAGGTTGGTTCCAATATTCGTAATCCTTGCATTTGATACAGCTCCACAAACGTCTCGAAAGAGCCACACAGGTATTTATAGGCATTTTGCACAAGACAAGGTGCAACAAACAGCTGTTAACTCAATGATAATTTGATCTGCAGGACTGTTGGCCAGAAATATCCTTCCCTTTTGAAATAGCAGGATCTTTAACATCTGCATGAAACGTTAGACCGGGACCTGAGTTGAACATCTCGCTGTGAAGAGCAACACCTCCAACATCGAATACTCCCCTCCAATAATGCCAAAAAAACCATCCTTTTCTGCTCGTGTTCTAATTATCACATCACATACTGCATATTTTTTCACAGGATGTTTGTAACACCTGCCCTGTGGATACACAAAGTGACTGACACAAATTCAAATATTTTTCCTGTTACCAAAGCAACCAGAGTTGATGTAGCCACATCGTAATCCATTTTCTCAGATCTTTTGGCAAACCTCACTAGCATAATTCCCTGGTAGCAATACTAGCTATTATGCTTTTTTGGGGCACTAAGGTATTTCTCAATGGATGGGAAGATGTACATGAGGAGGATATACGTAGTACACAGTCCACGGCAAACATACACTATTCTTGTATTGATCGTCTGTTGTAAGGTGTGAAATATTAGTAATGAAAATGTAACTATTTTTGACACAGATTATATAAATACATTTTTGATAAACAAATGCATCCAATGACTGATTTTTCTGCAAATTCAGATTACATTTAACCAATGAACAATCTTTAATTGTTCCTATTCCAGGAATTAAATCCCAGCTTCACAAATCCCAAATGAAACTTTAATTGTTTGCTTTTAAATTACTCAGTGCATTTCTTTGAATGATTGCAGTTTACATGATGCTCATAGATACCCGCACACCCATAGAGACAAAACACTTGTCCATGCGTTTGTCACCTCCTGCCTTGATCATTCAAATGCTCTCCTCCCCAGCTCCCCAGATGTTGAATTTATACAAAACCTCGTTTGGAACACATTCGGAGTATTGTGCCCAATTCTGGTCTCCACACAATAAGAAAGATATAAGCAGTGATGGAAAGAGTGGCAACAGTACAGCGTAGTTTTAGGAGGATGATAATATCTGGTCTGGCAGGTTACTGCTATCAGGTTAGGTCTTTTTTCGCTAGAGAGAAGACATCTAAGAGATGACCGAATAGAGTTGTTCAAAATTCTAAAAGGGTTCGATAAAGTTAGCATAAATAGGCTGTTTTCACTGCTTGGTGAGTCCGTAATCAGGGGACGCGAATCTAAGATAGCGACGAGAGGATCCCAAAGGGAATTTAGGAGGAACTTCTTCACGCAGAGCGGAGTGCGATTGTGGAACTCGCTGCCTGAAGCAGTGGTTGAATCAGATAGTGTAAGTGGGTTCAAGAGGAAGCTAGACCTTCACATGAGTGAAAAGGAAATAGGAGTGTGTGGGAGGGAGAAAGGAATTGGGGAGACTCATGTGGAGAGTATAAATACTGTCAAGGACTGGTTGGATTGCGTGGTCTGTTTCCATGCTGTACAGGTTTTGTAAATGTTGGTAAACCTTCCACCCCTAAAAATCGTCACCAGGTTGAGAAGTTACATAGCACAGAAGCTGAAAACCAGAGGATGGAGCAGTGGAGTAGAATCTAAAGAGCAGAGGAAGAAGGAAAGAAAAAAATCCTAGACAAGATGTGTGACTAAACATTTCTAAATCTGGCTTATCTGAACAACAACAACAAGATTTCATTTGTATAGCGCCTTTCATGTCAGGAGGACGTCCCAAGGCACAGTGTACAGCATTTCAGACCCGAGCTGGGGTCAGGGAGGGAGAGGGGAGGGGAAGGGGGGGGTGATCCTGGTTAAAGAGGAGGGTCTTGAGTCGGGACTTGAAGGAAACTGCCATTAAAAACTGCCATCATCACGCCCACCCTGAAAAAACCCTCCCTTGATGCGTCGCAGCTATCAAGTTACCGGCCCATCTCCAACCTCCCCTTTCTCTCCAAGGTCTTGGAAAGAGTTGTCGCCTCCCAACTGCGCTCTTTCCTTTCCACCCATTCTCTTTTCGAACCCCTTCAGTCAGGTTTCCGTGCTGCCCATAGCACAGAAACTGCCCTGGTCAAGGTCACCAATGATATCCTGACCATCTGTGACCAGGGCTCCCTCTGTCTCCTCGTCCTCCTCGACCTATCGGCAGCATTCGATACGGTCGACCACGCTATCCTACTCCACCGCTTGTCCTCCCACCTCAACCTTCAAGGCACTGTCCTTGAATGGTTTAGGTCGTGCCTTTCTCACCGTCTTCATTTTGTCTCGACGAATGGCTTCTCCTCCACCCCCCGCACTGTCTCATGTGGTGTCCCTCAGGGCTCTGTCCTCGGTCCCCTCCTCTTCACCCTCTATATGCTCCCCCTTGGTGACATCATCCGCAGACATGGAGTTAACTTCCACATGTATGCAGATGACACCCAACTCTACCTTTCCTCCTCTACTCTCAACTCCACGACCACCGATGTCCTGACAGCCTGCCTGTCCGACATCGAGTCCTGGACGAGAGATAACTTTCTTCAGCTCAACGTGCGCAAAACTGAGGCCCTCCTGATTGGCTCACGTCAGCGCCTCCGCACCTCAGGCGCTGACACCATCAGCATCCAAGGCTGCGCTCTCCACCTCTCAAAGCCATCAGGAACCTCGGGGTTCTGTTCGACCCTGAGCTGTCCTTTCTCCCTCACATCCGCACCACAACTGGCACCGCCTTCCATCACCTCCGGAACATCGCCAGACTACGGCATTACCTCACCCCTCACGCTGCTGAAACCCTGGTTCATGCCTTTATCACCTCAAGGCTGGACTATGGGAACTCTCTCCTCGCCGGCCTTCCCGCCACCTCCCTCCACAAGCTGCAGGTCATTCAGAACTCTGCAGCTCGTGTACTGTCCCGCACCAGGCTTCGGGACCACATCACTCCCACCCTCGCTCGCCTCCACTGGCTCCCCATTCCCCCAGAGGATTGATTTCAAGATCCTCATCCTCACCTACAAGGCCATTCACGGCCTTGCTCCCTCCTACCTCTCCAACCTACTATCCCCCTACCTACCTGTCCGTACCCTCCGTTCCTCTGGCTCCGGTCTGCTCCACGTCCCCCGCCCCAACCGCCCTACCATCTGTGGTCGGGCCTTCAGCCCCGAGGCCCTGGAACTCCATCCCCCAGTGCCTTCGCCGCTTCCTCCCTTTCCTCCTTCAAGGCCGGTCTCAAAACCTTTCTCTTTGACCGTGCCTTCAGCTCCCCTCTCGACTCTCTTCCCCCTCCTCGCTCCCTCCCTTCCCTCCCCTCACCCTGACCATTTCCCCCCTCCTCGCTCCCTCCCTTCCCTCACCCTGACCATTTCCCCCCTGCTCGGGTCATGACCCAACTGTGCAGCGCCTTGGGACGTCCTCCTGACGTGAAAGGCGCTTTATAAATGGAATCTTGTTGTTGTTGTTGTTGTTGTTACGAAGAGGGTGAGGCGGCGTGACTGGAAAATGGAATTCCAGAGGTTGGGGGCAGAATGGCTGAAGGCTCTCCCGGCAATGGTGGGGCGGGTGGGTCGGGGGACGTGGAGCAGCCAGAGCTGGCTGAGCGGACGGAGCGGACAGGTTGGTAGGGGGTTAGGAGGTCACAGAGGTAGGGTTGGGCGAGGCCATGGAGGGCTTTGTAGGTGAGGACCAGGATCTTGAACTGGATCCTCTGAACGATAAGGAGCCAATGGAGTCAGGCGAGAATGGGGGAGATGGGGTCACAGAGTTTGGTGCGGGAGAGGACATGGGCTGCAGCGTTCTGGATTATCTGCAGCTGTGGAGGGAGGAGTTGGGAAGGCCGACACGCAGGCGTTTGCATAGTCGAGCCTGGAGGTGATGAAGGCATGAACAAGAGTTTCAGCGCCTGAGAGCTGAGGTAGTGGCAGAGTCGGGCGATGTTACGGAGGTGAGGGAAGGCAGAGCGGGTCATGGCTTGGATGTGGGGGAGAAAAGACAGTTGAGGGTTGAACAAGACCCCCGGG